GTATTTGAACCGTTTATTATTTTATCAACATAATTTGAAAGGGAAGCAGACATTTTTTTTTAAGTACGATTCAAGGGCTCCAAACGACTTGATTTGAAATTAGTGAACTCCACGAAGGTGTATTATATTCATATCGAAGAAAGAGATTAATAACAAAAATAGTAATAATAAAATTTTGGTGTCAACCAATTACTCGTTCGTTAAGAAAAATATTGGCAATTCTTAACCCCCAACCAAGCATTTCAGCTAGGGCTGTGTATTTGTAAGTAAACTATACTATTGTCTACTCCAGAGATCTTAACGAAACCATATTTGCTAATATTCTAGTATTGTACGTCTCCACCAGGTATCTGAGCCTTAGTTGTGTTGTAAGTTGATATTCTAGTATGAACAATAAAAAAGGGGGAGAAACTAATTTGGATGACCTTAGAAATCGATCGAGGTTTTTTTTTTTTTTTTTTTAAAAAAATAATTTGACCTCAAAATGTCTTAGTCTTGAGAACATGAAATTCTTCGAGAACACGTGTAGGGCAAAATTTCCATCGACAACACAATGACCAAATGTTTTCAATTGATCATCAAACGGCTGCATTTAGAACTTACTACACGCGTAGATATCAAGTTTGTAGACTTGAACAATTCTCCTTCAAATAACCTAAACTTAGTACGTTATGACCCTTTCTGTTTAATTGTATGATACGTTACACTTTAAAACCAAAGAACAAAAAGAACGAAATTACCAAACAAGAACTGAAAAGCCATGAACCCTAAGCAACCGGTTAATTCCTCAACCGGAATATTAGTGGGGCAGTTCTGTGTGTTCTAACACAAATGATCGGTAATAAATTATTACGTCACAAGTCGTATTTATTAAAAGAGTTATTTCAATAATTAGCAAACTAATAAAATACTGTAAGACGGGGAGGGAAAATGCGTTTTATTTACATGTTGATGGGTTTCGGAGTCTCTACCGACAATCATGTTTGTTTTATAATCGAAGCAGCAGCATCAAATAATATTAGTATAAAATTTTAAATTCAATGAAATATATGCATGGTTACTTCCTGTTGAAGTCTCTATTTACCAGTTGTAAATTTATGTATATTAACAAAGAGTGGAACTCTTGGTGTCATAATCTAACCAAACTAACACTATCTAACAAATGTACTAAAAGTTAGGATAATCAAGCCCTTTTGTATGGCTAGAAAAATCGTTCATGGTAGATTGTTTTTAACTCATCGTATGTAACAAAACATCTTGGTTTGTCTTTGAAATGAATAACGCTTTTGACAAAAGAAAAAAAAAGAAAAACGAATAACAAAGGTTAAGTAGACAACGGAAATGAATTAAAATAAATTATCATGGCGGCCGGCTAGCTAGGGTTCATCTTCCCCGTATCTCAATAAGTATCATCAGCGTATATAACAAATTTAAAGCTAAATGAATTCAGTGGTTTTCCCACATGTTTCTCGTGATAGCTGAAACAAACATGCACTCGAAACTCAGTTAAACGTAAACCCGCTTAGAGTATATGTTACTACTATCAGTTAAACTCAGTTAAATCACTTCCTCTTTTTTTCTTCCTTTTCTTGGAGACATAAACCAAACCCTTTTTTTTTTTTTTTTTTTCCTTTTGTCCCTTTTACCCCCTGGTTATGAACGTTATATTTTTTGGGACTTATATTTATCTTGTGGAAGTTGGGACAATGGGTAATGCATGAATGGTGTTCATTCTTCAGTCTAATCACTAAGCACCTTCCTACACTTTATTATCTCATTTTAACGCGTATTTTCACTAGTTTAATTATCTTTTTTTTAAAAAAAAAAGCCAACAATCTAGATTGGAAAAATAGCTCTATAACACTTGGTTTAGATCAACAACAATAAGGCCAATTCACACTTCGCTATTACGACACCCCGATACTCCTCCCAGAAAAGGATGTGGCGGTTTCATTTCATGTTTCTCATGTTCCCTTCTCCATGTACCTTTATCATGGGGTCCCCCTGCAGGTTCTTAACTATAATTATCTCTTTTAACATTAAAAATTGAAAAATAAAGATACACACACACACATATATAATATATAAATTAATTTAGAAAGTTATATGGTATATTATATCTGTTTAATGAAAATAATTCACTTGTCAACTAGTTTTCTGAGACAATGAAACATTACAATTAAAAAAAAAAACATTAAAAGAAGAGAAACATGAAATTAAATAAAATAGTTGCATGTTTTACTTATGCGATTCATTCATTACGTCTCAATATTATTCTAAAAAAACAAATTGAGGATTACAAGAAGGGAGAAATATAGTGTGACCGGTCTCGCACGTCACTAGATCAACACGTGTACGGTCTACTTGTATCCAGCCCACACCCCCATCATGTATTTCTCTTTTCTACTTTTATCTATACTCTCTCCTACTTAAAAAAGAAAAATAATCCACCTTATAGTTAATAAACTATGTATACTGTTTCAAGTCCAATTCAAAAAATATAATGTGAAATATTTTTGTGAAACATAAGAACTATCACACTTTAGAATTTCATTGGGAGGTTGAAGAATTATTTTTCATGTATTGTTGTGATCAACATTCGTTGAATTGTATATATTTTAATAAGGAAATAAATAGTTAAAAGGTTTCAGATTATTATTATTTATTGTGGAAAAATTGTAATGTCATTGCTAAGAATGGCGACGTATAAAATGTCTTGTCATTCAAAACTTAATTTAATACTACTTCTGTCTCAAAAAATAAAAATTCACACTAAGTTTTGAGATTTATACTTATTTTAAAACTTATAATATGAATAATTTTTTGGGGGAGACAAAGGGAGTATTATTACTTGTATGTAGTACCGATTATAACGCTTATGACAAATGGTAGATTGGGTACAGAAATAACAAAAAGTAAGGTGAAAATTGAATGATTGGAAACTCTAATTTTATTTAATTTTTTTTTTTTTTGGCGAAATTGGAAACTCTAATTACTATATGGAGGAAGTGCATCCAATTATGAAAATTAACTAACCTGATAAAATGTACACGTTTAGAAAAGCTAGCACTAATAAATGACCTTTTTATGATACATACCTACCTTTATACATTACTCCACTTAAATCGAACATTATGTAACCCTTTTGCAAATCACTGAAATTATTGAATTGCCAAACCCGCTCTTACCCCTCAGAGAATCCAAATAATTCGCTCAAAAAATTTACATTACGAATCACATGGATCAAACCCACTAACCATAACCTGCTAATTCCCAAATCCCAATATTAACATCTTCATGATCTATCCATGGACAGAACACAATACGTCTATTCTCCATTCACATAACATCATACTATAATTTAAATAGAATTTGCCGTTTGTTTTCTATTATCTGGAATAATACTCCCTCCGTCCCATAATTATTGTTCAATTTAGGTTTTCATTTCTAGTTCAAAATGTACTAAAAGTGAAATCTCAAACTGGACAATAATTTTAGGACAGAAGGAGTAATACTGTTCTTTTATATAAAGGAACTTCACATGAAATTTAATAAAGAATAAATCATAATCCCATACTTATAACTTACCTTTAGGAGTTTATTCATTTAAGATTTAAAAAATAGTTAAAATTCAGTCACATTATTTTTTATGAAATTTCTTGTCATTTTTTCCTGGAAGTGATAGTTGATTTCCTTCCGATTAAAAATGAAAGTATTGTTTGTGATATTAAAGCTGCACAACACACTACTTTTATTTCTATGCAATATATGCATATTATTACTTGGATATGTTCCAAATTTACTAATCAGAAAGAAAGAAAAGGGGAAGATTGCAACGAGAATAACGTAAAGCTCGAGTTTATTTTCATGGTGGAAATCAATTAGGTAAAAAGAGTTTAAATAATGTGAAAAACAGCAGAGTCAAGTAAAAATGCAAGGGCAGAAGAGCAGTAATCCGAACCGTTAGCAATAAATCCAAATACAGAGAAGGTAAAACTGTGAAAAGGTCTTTTACTTTATGCAACTGTTAGTTTCATTCTTCATGGTTACAGCGTAACAAGAGTGATGGTCTGATAGAAGCCAAGAAAATAAAAATATTCTGGACTTTTTGGTAGATTTTGGGCTGCAAAAATCTGAATCAATTAATGGCCCAATAGTAAAGATGGGTTTAATCCTGACATGCTTTTTGTTTACATTTTTTCTTTTTTTTTTTTTTGGTGTCAAAGGAAAATGTATTAACCTTACGTCTTAAGTCAATTTAATGAGATCCATTGCACATCCATTGTACAATCTCTTCTTCTTCTTCTTCTTCTTCTTCTTCTTCTTCTTTTTTTTTTTTTTTTTTCCTATGATTGATATTTAAGTTTTGGCATTATATTTTCCCCTAACATATATAATTTTTAATAAATTGGTCAACCTCAAGTAAATGTGCTGTAGAATGATTAATCTCTCGTTACATTTGATCGTGACTTTTTTAATTTCTGATGAAATTTTTGATATTTAAAAAATAAATAAAATATAAAAACACAGAGAGTGTGAGAAACAAAAAAGTATGTCTTTATCACCATCAATTTCATATAAAGAGAAAATAAAATTAACTAAAAGAAAATATTTTTCTTACCTCAACTATAAACTTAGTCGTTGTTGTTGTAAATGGAAGCTTGTTAAATGCTCCAAAAGGGATGCGAAAAAAACCCCTCTTACAATACATTTTATTTTTGTCTATCAAGGCAAAAGGGGATAATTTTCCTAAAACGAAAACTTCCGTCGGAAAGGCCAATTGTTTTTTTTCAAAAGAGAGAGTTGAAGAGAATTAAAAAAAATACATAAAAGCTCAAAACATTAACAAGATCCGTATTTTTAATTGTTCCTTGATTAGAAATTACTACTATTTCATTGACGTAATTAAGTATGATACGCAAAATATATATATTTACGCCAAATTCAAATAACTAGGAAGCTAAAACATTACAGAGTGGCCACTCGGCGAGGAATTGGACATGTCGGCCGGCGAGTTTAGCGATCAAAACGCGCTGTTGCGTTCCAATTCATCGGCGTCGTCGGAGGATGATATAGAAGCCCAATCCACTTCTTCCACTTTGACTCCAAGGTCTACTGCTCGTAAGAAAGGTATCAGAGATCTGTTAAACCGTTTAGATCGAGGGTTTAATCGCCGGAATGCTAGTTTCAACCGCCGGCCATCCGATTCTTCCTCCTCCGCCACCGCCGGCCACCCCCACAATCATTCCCTTCCTTCCCCATCTTACTCCGATAATAACACTGTAGGTTATACTCATGGTAATACTCGCAACAATGGCAATGCCGGCAGCGCCAATGGAAGTGTTCATGCCAGCGGCGACGATGAGATGCTTGGCGATTTCGCACCGCCGGAGTGGGCGTTGTTGCTTATCGGATGCCTTCTCGGTCTTGCTACTGGGCTTTGTGTTGCCGCTTTTAATCGTGGGGTGAGTTTAGGAATCATATGTATTTCAGTTTTTTTTTTTTTTGTGATTTCGCTGGTATCCTTTCTTTTCCCCTTCCATATTGTGTGTAGATTTTGAATTTCATGAATGGAAATGTAGACGTATGAGGATGGGTTTGTTCAGCTGGTCATCAGTTGATTCAACTGGTTTATTCAACTTTTACGTATCGGATCTATGGTTTTAACCATATAAGATAAATAGCTGTTTTTGAGCTGAATTCTAATCTTATTTTGTAAACTTGGAATTTGGTTAAATATATGTTTAGCAGCTCTATTGTCTGAATCATTTAGTTATACAAATTTTTGGAATGAGGATTGATCTTCATCCGCAAATCTATGTGGCATGTTCTGTATTGTTTCTGCAAAGATATGAACATGATCAGAGTTGCAGTTGCATTTAGCTGTTGTTTAAGTGTTAAAAAGTAAAGGCTTTGGAAGAACCTTCAAACAGAGAGGCCAAAGGCATGTATAACATGGGAAAGTAGGACATCTGTTTGAATTTATCCCCTCCAAGCCCCTATTTCCTCATCTTGGTATCCAGGATTGCATAAGACAATTCCCTTTAATATCTCCAAGTTCTGTAGCTTATTAGGAGACTGATGACTATGATTTTCTTTTTCTGGGTTGTAATGCACTCTTCAATTTGACATTGGGTGGTACTTTGAATTGTCTAGGTCCATGTGATACATGAGTGGGCATGGGCAGGAACCCCAAATGAGGGTGCTGCGTGGCTGCGTTTGCAGAGGCTAGCTGATACATGGCATCGGATATTGTTGATACCAGTTTTGGGTGGAGTTATTGTTGGCATGCTTCATGGTTTACTTGACATATTGAGTCAAATTCAGCAGTCAAGCTCTTCTTCTCAAGGCCAGGGATTAGACGTAATTGCTGGAATATTTCCCACTGTAAAAGCCCTTCAGGCAGCCATAACTTTGGGAACCGGGGGTTCATTAGGACCTGAAGGGCCGAGTGTAGACATCGGGAAATCGTGCGCTTATGGATGCTCTGTGATGATGGAGAACAACAAGGAAAGGAGAATAGCTCTCGTAGCTGCGGGTGCGGCTGCTGGAATTTCTTCAGGTTTGTTACTTTTTCAATTGAAAGTTTATTATTGGCTTAGCATTTGATTATGGCAAAGCTATTTTCCAGTTCTGTATTTATCTAGTTTTTATTTTGGATAACTTTCACATTGGATGCTATGTTCAAAAGAGGAGTTACAATTTGGGGATTCCTCTATTGGATTTCTTACTCCCTACAGAGGTTTCTATTGATGTGTAAAAGTTATAATCTCTGTTTTTTTTCTCCATCAAATTATGACCATTTCCCCTTTATTGGGTGCTATGCAGGTTTCAATGCTCCTGTTGCTGGCTGTTTCTTTGCTATTGAAACTGTATTAAGGCCCCTTCGTGCAGAAAATTCTCCCCCATTTACAACTGCGATGATAATATTAGCTTCTGTTATCTCATCTACGGTATCAAATGCTGTGCTTGGAGAGAAACAAGCTTTCACCGTGCCCACGTATGAATTGAAATCTGCTGCTGGTATTTGATCTAATTCTGGATTACATTGCTATAAAATGTAAATTAACAAGCTGCTGTATGGACGTCAGTATTTTTGTTTCATCTCCCAAAAGATCTTTATTATGTGGTGCATGAACTTTGCACTCTTATTCCCAAACCACCTAAAAGTTTTGATGGTGATTGGAATAACTGAAAGAACCTATTTACATTCGCAGTAGTCTCTCTTTTTCTTTAATTTAATTGCTATGTATTCTGTGAATTGGGTATTCACATTTGTTCCTTTCCAGAGCTGCCATTGTACCTGATACTGGGGATGCTCTGTGGTGTAGTGAGTGTGGCTTTCACTCACTTGGTTGCTTGGTTCGGTAAAGCTTTTCAGTTTACTAAGGAGAGATTTGGGATCAATGATGTCGTCTGCCCTGCAATTGGAGGTTTAGGAGCTGGGATAATTGCTCTTAGATATCCTGGAATACTTTATTGGGGTTTCACTAATGTAGATGAAATCTTGCATACCGGGAAAACTGCATCTGCACCTGGGATTTGGCTTCTAGCACAGTTAGCTGCAGCAAAAGTTGTGGCGACTACTCTGTGTAAAGGTTCTGGCCTTGTTGGTGGCTTATATGCTCCTAGTTTAATGATTGGTGCAGCCGTGGGTGCTGTATTTGGAGGTTTGTCTGGGGAGCTAATCAATTCAGCTATTCCAGGAAATGCTGCTGTTGCCCAGCCACAAGCCTATGCATTGGTAGTCTTCTGCTACTATTGGCTTATTTCTTTGCAGCTTTTAATCTCTTATTATGAAATCTGACAATTCTTATCTTCCCTCATCAATTGTTCGGTTTTTGACAATGCAGGTTGGAATGGCTGCTACTTTAGCTTCTGTTTGTTCAGTGCCTTTGACTTCTATTCTGCTGCTGTTTGAGCTGACAAAAGATTACAGAATATTGCTTCCTCTAATGGTAAGTCTTCTTACTTAAGGAGGACTTGGATGGAACCCTTGTGGGGTCTGTTCTTGTTTCTTGCAGAAATTTACTATTTGCATTTCTACATGACATTGTTATGGTGTGAAAACTTCCCTTTGGTTTTTCCAAGGATCTGAAAAGGGTTCAATTTTTAATCTGTCTCACATTGTGGATAAAAAAGCCAACTAGTGCAGATCACTCTTGATCTCTTGTGCTTATTTCACACTTGGTCACTAAAATTGCTGTACACAGGGGGCGGTTGGATTGGCAATATGGGTGCCCTCAGTGACCAATGAATCTAAGGAAACCGATGCATCAGATTCGAAGAGTTTGACTAGAGGTTATTCAGTTCTCTCTCCTTTAGAAGACAAAAATGAGGAAGAAAGAAACGGCATGGAGCTTTCTATTGTTGGTAGCCGCAGTAACGAAGATGAAGTGGATGAACTGTTTATTTTGGAAGAATTGAAGGTCTTTTACCTCAAATTGATTGCTAGAAACAAGAATGTAGAGCGGTCCCGTGAAAATTTTCTGTTCTATACCAATTGTTTTATCCTTGTTACATTTTCAGGTCTCAGATGCTATGTCAAAAAACTTTTTGAGGGTTCGTCCCACCCAAACTATCAAAGAAGCTCTGAATTCCATGCATGATAGCCACCAGAGTTGTGTACTTGTTGTTGATGCCGAAGATTGTTTGGAAGGAATCTTAACTTATGGTGATATTAAGCGGTATCTGTTCAAGCAGTCTGGTGACACTTCCAACACCAATCCATCCCTTTCTGATGTACATGACTGTTTCTCGAGATCATGAAACCTATTATCTGTTCTTCTGTTACAGAGTATCGTAATTAATTGTTTCTTGCAGGTAAGCATGTGTCCTGTTTCAGCTGTATGCACTCGAGGGATAATCTATCGCGGACGACATAGTGGATTACTAACTTGTTATCCAGATAGTGATATGGCAACTGCTAAGCAGCTTCTGGAAGCCAGGGGCATCAAACAGTTGCCAGTGATCAAACGTGCAGGAGGAGATCTCCAGAAGGAAAGAAAACGCAGAGTTGTTGCTGTTCTTTACTATGACTCAATCCAGAAGACTCTAAGGTTTAACCTCCCTCCTGAATCATATTATGTTTCATTTACTGCCCGGCGTTTACTTGTTCAGTTGGTGAACATATCTCATCTGAATATTCAAATGGAGTATCTAAAGCTAGAAGAAGATGTAATGTTAGACGGTAGTTAGTAGGACAGCCATTCGTTCTACTCCTTTCTTAATCTTGTCCCTTGGTTTATTGGCTTGTACAGAGATGAGATGGATCACCGGAAATTAGCAGTTCAACCGGGAAAGGAGAACAGTCAATGATTCATTGCATAGCTCGATACAACTCAAATTTTTTTGCCGCTGGTTTTTGGCTTCAGGGAAGTACAGTTTATTGCTTCAAATGAAGAAAGAGGTCTCCCTTAAATTGGTCTCTGATACACAATTGTATTATGTACTCTCTTTCCATGTGTATAGGATTCTTTACCTAGATTAACAGTTAGAAGCATACAAACTAATGTATACGGTTTCAGAGAGCAGGAGATTTTCTTCCACCCACCTTCTTTCCTACTAGTACAATTTCTCCCCCGAGAATTCAATTTTGCACGGACACATTTACCAGTCCTATGAATTAGATTTGTGCTCCATTTAACCACCTTAATCTTTTTGCCTAACTTGCATCAAAAGCCAAAAGAACCAGTCTTAAAAGAAAAACATGAACTGCATGGATTTCTGTACTTAGGACGTAAATTCCATCTGGATTGATCCGTTAGCGCTTACCTGAGCGCTCTGATTGTCCGAGATCAGTTACAGATTCTCTCCTATGGGATTGGGAATTTGCACCCTCTTCCACGGTACAAAACAAACCCTGTATAAAGATTTTCTCCTGAGGTTTGCAAATGAGCACTTGTACAAGCGCATATTAATCAAACACGTTTTGATCCATGTAGGTTAACTTCACTTCAAAGCAAACACTTATTAATTATTAAATGATTCCAACACATTAGAACTTCGTAATAAGAGATGGTGACAAAAAATGTTTCCATTTTCGAATACCAAAACTATTTTTGGGTACGATGTTCAGGAGATCGTTGGTAAATGATATCCCAAAAGGAAAAGAATAGAGGAAAATGTGACAAGAAAGATATACCAGAAATTTAACTTATAAACGTTTGACATCTTCTTTACTCTCTCTTTCTCTCTCTCCACCGGGCAAACAAAATTCTTAATATTTACATCTTCTAGGGTCCAAGAGGCAGCCTATTCATAGCTTGCTGGTAAACCGATGATGAGCCATTAGAAAGATTGTTCAAGCCTGAAGAATCTGACATTGGCTCAGCCTTAAGTTCTCCCTTTGGAAACATGAGCCGGGTCATATCGTTACTCATGGGGCGTTGTGGCTGCTGCACAATATATGGATTGACAGGAAGAACCGAAAGGTTTCCCTGACCAGGTCCTCCCACCCCAGCCATTGTCAGATTGGATAGGCCCGGTTGGTTTAATCCATAGCCAAACCCGTGAGGATGGGGCCCTAGAGGAGGCCTTCCAGCCAAAGCAAATGAACTGAGAGGAGGACGTTCGAATTGTACCATGCTGTTATGAAGATGTGAAGGCTCAGGCCTACTCAGCACATGGTTTTGAACAGCAACAGCTGCATGTTGTGTAGGAAGGTTGTTGCTGGAAATCATTCCCCCCGAGTTTGCGTGACTGCTATTTCGAGCTGCAGGAACATCATGATTGTGCTTTCCTTCATATGTTGTGATCACTGATTTCAGGTCATGTGAAGCCCTTTCAACATGTTTCCTGACATTGCAGCCGGCACTTGTGCACTTATAGTAACTCCTGCATCATCAAATATTGCAGAAATCCTTAGTGTCTTCATAACTTGCAACTAATTGTAATTTAATACTATTAGGAGGATTTCGAACCTTGGATTAGGATTTCCTTTCACAACTTTTTGCCCATACTTGCGCCAGCGATACCCATCATCTAGAATATCCACTTCACTAGTGGTTTGAACAACAACTCTAGGCTCCCTGATGGCTCTGGTGGCTCCACTCATATCACTTCCATAAGTTTCAACCTTCCTGTAGCGGTGTCAACTCATACAAATGATGCAGTATACACTTGAAAACCTAAATTTAAAGGTAATTTCCAAAAATGCAACGAATACAGGAATGCAGTTTAAATAGCAATTGTACGAACCTTCTTTTTGACTCAGATTCATCTCCTTCGCCATCATATCCTCCTAATGATACACTGCCATGTGTAACTCGATCCTCGTCATCTTCATCATTTGAAAATGTAGAAGAACCATCTACTGCATCTCCAGATTCCAACTGGCTACCATTCTGAGATGCCTGTAAAGAAGTAGTAGTTCCATTCCCATATTCGCGTCTCACAGCACCAGAAGATGTCACCTCGAGATTGTCATGCCTCATTGTTGTCCATCCTGGACGATCACCATCAGTGCCTGTTCCGAATTGCTCCCCATTCTCCAGTTGGATATTCTCGCCAAGTGCATTTGAGGATGATCCAAGTCCCGATCTGCGATTAGGAGGTGGTTTTGAGTGATTATGTGCGCCCTTATAAATAATCTCTGTAATATGTCCCTCTTGTGATCTTTCCACCTTCTTCTTGACCGGGCAACTGGGATGTGTGCACTTGTAATAACTTCGTGGATATTCACTCCCTTTTACTTGTTTTTGTCCATACTTCCTCCAATTATAACCGTCTTCCGCCGGGCCGCCGATGAAGTTTGGATCTCCACCGCCCCTTTGGTCTGTATCCTCATCGGGCAGCTCGTCAAGAGGTGGAGAATGGTCAACCCTACCAACTAATTCTGCCTGTTGATTCAGTAATGTGTTTTCGGAGGGTTCCATACTTTGAGCGGGCAATGTGTTCTCTGAATCTACAGATACCTCAATATTGGGAATAGACTGCTGAGAAAGACTAGTTGATGTAACCTACAAACAGAAAACAAATATTCTATTCAAAATGAAATCATAACGCATGCTTTCTTCTTACTTTAGAAATAATTACAGATTTCAACCTTCAAGCAAATATAAATATTCAATCAGTTATAGCAAAATCAAACACTTAAATTGTCCCAAATTAAAATTTGTTCACTTCTTGAGTTATAAGCCTCTGAATTTCAATCTGGATTGCCGACTAGGTAAAATCAATTAAGAATTCTGTTATCGCTGCAATTTTATAATATGGATGATGTGCCTTCCAACTTAAGCAATGGAGAGGGAAAGATAGAGTGTGTACCTTGTTTGATCCATTAAACTGAAAAGGTGGACCAGAGTTGGGAATGGGCTTGAATGCAAATGATGCCGAGTTCAAATTCTCATAAAAGTTGCTGTCTTTAACCTTGTCTGAAAACTCCATCAATGATGGGTTTTGGCCACTGAAATTTGGGAGAAATCCAAATTTACCAGTAGTTGGAGATGATTGCACCTGCAGAATAGAGGGTCAGTGTTGACAGCATGGTAAAAACCAAATAAAGAAATCTCATCGACAGAAAGAGCTTGGAAGACCAAATATACTCGAACAACTCCGGGGAACCCAAACTAATTGACTAGCAAACAAAAGTGAACTGGCTGATGAATAGGTGCACATACAAATATCTTAAAAAGTTTGGTAACGGCTTTGACAGGTTAACTTTGTAATGCCACCTGCGCTCAGGCACGTGATACAACATCAACTGTGTTATACCACAGTAATCTAGTACTTTTTTTTTTGGGTAAAGAAAAGCCACCATTTATGGAGTGATCTCATAGTAAAGATGCCCATTAAAAGCAAAGGAAAGTAACAAATTCTACATGATATTGAGCCACGTGATATATAATGTATTTTGCACAGGTGAGTAGTTGAATTTTCAGCTGATATACCCACTTCAAAAATCAGAAACTATTCTTAGCAGAGTACTATATTGTAGTGCCGCCCAAATTGGAAGCTACTAGTATTCGTTGAACAACATGATTTGATTCAGGCAGCCGAAACAACATGACACAGGGCACATAAATAACAATTCTAGAAGATTTTTAGGCCCACAAAATCGGCAGACGAGTTTTATTTTTTACAATCTTGCTCAATATGTGCAGTTCATAATCGCTAATGCGTCAAAAAGTGAAATTCAAGGAATAAAACCAAAGATAAAGCCAAAATGAAAATGATTAAGGAATGCCAATTCAAAGATAGAAGTCAAACAGCTCTCATAAAGTCAATCTGAAAACAAACCTTTGACTCTTTAAGCACATTTTCGCATAGAATTAAACTACTTCTTGCATAAAACTTGAGCTTTGTTCATTACGATGAATTTGATGCCTTGACTTACCAAAGCATTCGACAGGAACACAGGAGAATCCAGCAGGGTTGTAGGGCTAAGACCAGGAGGAATCGTTAAGTACGGTGACCGTACACCATCAACGGTTGGTGAAAGATCAACAGGAGGTCTAATGCTTTCTGTATTCAACCTTGGGGCATTAAAACCTCTGGCTGCCACCCTTTCCACAAGTCCCCCCCTGGTGGCGCTGCTCATTCTCTGCTCAGACAGCAAACTGAAACTACCCGTTTGACAAACAGAAACCCCATCATTCTTTTGATTAGAATTAGTAGATGCACGATTGTCTAGGGACCCCGGGAAGGAGAATCCAGATTGAAATCCACCGGCCATTGGGTCCAGAACTGACCTTGAAGTACCATCATCACCCGACATAGACGAAAAGCGGGATCCTGGACTCAGGCTAGGAGGCATCCAATCCCCAATTATAGCAACATGGTCATCAAACCCGCCCATTATAACAACCCTTCTATACTAATAACTCAGAAAAGACCAGATCAACTTGTAAACAATGAGCCGAACGCAACATAAACAAACCTGAACAATGAAAAGGAAATTTCGAAAGAAATCAGGATCACGTTTAATCATAGTAAGTAATTATTCATTGTAAGTAATTACACTAATAACTCAAGGGGGAAAAAAAAAAAACTAAATTCATATAATTGAACACAACATGAACAGGCCTGAAAAATGAAAAGCTAAGGAGCATGTTTAACATGAATTTTCAATGAAGACCAAAATTTTCAACAACAAACAATTCACCATACTCTCCAGTTCAGAGCCACAGCAATTAATTCCACTCTAAAATTCGAGAAAATGAAAGGGTTATTATTTTTCTTCGCATTAAAAGGGTTGAAGCATGACACACAACCAGCATGAGTTCAGACATCTCCATCAATCTGCTGTTGTGGACATAGGTCTTTTTCATGGTTAAACATATCCGCAAAACATAGGTTACATCTCAAAAAAGCCAAGGTGAAGACAATCCATCATCTAAGTGGTCAGACAACTGGAACTGAGAACATTTTCACAAAACTAAAAACACAACTCATGAAAAAAAGTCCCACTTTTAGACTGAACAAAAAAAGTCATTCAAAATTTAGACTTCAGCCTTGCCCTTCTATGTCGCCGGAAAACATACCAATTATTCGAGGGAAAGCTCAAATGCATGTATGCTTATCGTGAAATTTCAAAATTGACAAAGATCAAAACACCAAAAGAAATAACAACTGAAATGAAAGAGCTAACCAAGACCACTGATAAGATCTTAAAAGGATGACAAATGGAAGAAAAATTGCTCAAAAAAGAATTAAAAATCATTTCTTGGCATGTAGAAGAGAAGAATCGGATACTAATACCATTATTTTAACAGTACATAAACCACCGCCTCTCAGTTGAATTGAAAGACACCATTGATTTCCAAAAAAGACCCCAGAAAGTTAAATCAAAAAAATCAAAGAGATCAATGATTCAAAAATGATGATGATCATCAAAAGATATAAATGTGTGTACCTGAGAAAACAAGAGAAGGACAGTCAAAAAGGGCCAGGCCAGGCCAACCCCCCCCCCAGAAACCCAGAAACACCAAAATGAAAAAAATTAAAATTAAAAAAAAAAAGGGAAAAGAAATGAATATGTTTCTGATGAAGATGACACTTTTCTGACTCCCTCAGATTAGTTTTCAGCTAAAATCCTAAATGGGTTTTGGTCTTTTAATTAAAAATTTGCCATTTTTGTGTTATAATAAAAGAGAAGTCTTTTCTCTATTGTTCAAAGGAAAACAGAGAAAGCAAATAAGCAATCATCCCTCCCTTCATTCTCTCTCTCCCTCTCTCTCAATCAAAGTTCCCCTTTATTGTGAGTTTCTCTCTCTCTCTCTCTCTGTGCAAATTGGCTCGCTACAAATAATCTGATGATATCATTTGATTTGCGTATGCCTATCATCCAAAAAGCAATTCCTTTCTACAATGTGATTTTTTTTACTTAGTAGTATTAAAGAAGAGAGAAAAAAAAAAAAGAAGAAAAAAAAAGTGGGCTGATATGGTGGACCTTAATAAATTTTGGATTCTTTTGAGAAAACGGAAATGACAAGAAAAGAAGAGATAGAACGGATTTTAAAGCTTACACAATAATCTCTTTCGTTAATATGATTTTAATCTCTTAATAATAGTAATAAATTACATTTTTAATCTTTATTATTTTTACTTAAACAATCGTCGTTTTTTCTGTAGTAACGGTTAATACAAAATTGTTTTAGTGATAATATGTATGAAAGTTAAAGGCAAAATTGTAAAGAAATTATAGAATAATATAAAAAATGATTACATTATTATTGAAACATAACTCTAATTATGACAAAGATAAAATTAAGTTAACGTTATTGATTATTACATTTGATTAGGATTGTACTTATTTTGTGGCATAATAAAAAGTGCCATGATTATAGAGTTTGTTGCCACTTCCGTTATATTCATTTCATGCTTTCGATTACAGGCTTTTTTATTAAAAAAAAATGGTAATTTTTCTCATAAAAAAAGGCAACTCCTACCATCTTAGGAAAATATTTATTTTCCATTTTGTTCTTTTAAAACTGTTCGTGTTTTCATGAAATACCAGATATATATGATCAATTAATTATAAGGATAATTTTATATTGTGATTTTTTCATATAAAAATGGCAGTACAAATCCAGATGCAATTTATTAGTATTTAGTGTGAAATGGGAAAAATAACTGAATGGGAATATTATTTTATGGGGTAAATTGAAAAAGTGGGGTCAGGCTTACATCAGCGGTGAGGGTGAGTCAAGAGTCAAGAGAGTGGAGAGTGTTTGAGTGTGCCAATTTGGAGAATTTGGTCATCGTTTGACTGGCCAATTATGGCAATCCACGTGGAAATTGAGGGTTGACCGCAATTAAAGAATGAGAGTACGAATATATAATAAAGTAATGTGACTTCTTTTTATTAGTTTTAAAAAATTAGAACAAAGTTTAATTTTTAGTAGTACTATTATTTTTGTACGACCAAAAGAAAAAAAAAAAAAAGGAAAGAACTAAAGTAAAGAAAAGAAAACATATGAAACGCCCATATTGTCACATTGACAGTCAATAATACCATGCCATATTTGTTCTTGTTTGGGTATTGGGGGACTTGGCTGAGTTACATTTCTTCGTTTATTTGAAACTTGAAAGGTAGTATTGAATAATTATATTCTCTACGTTCCAAAAAAATTAAAATTATATTTGTTGTAAGTAAAGATTATTTATTTTATTTTAAACAGAAGATTTCGGTCACGAAAAATTATAGGATTCTTAATGGGTTATTTTCTCTCAGAATTTATTTATACAATCATGATGAATTTTTCAAGAGAGACATAAATGTGAAAACCATTGTTTTTTTCTTTAATATTCATTATATATATATATATATAATTGTTGACAATTGGGGATCTTGGGATAAGCTAGCATTATTGATTATTCGTTGTGATTTTTATGACGATATATTAAATGGCTATCTTTCACTCATGTTGAACTTTGTTGTGGATTAGATTTCCTAAATATTGACCAGCTATAAAATCTTGTATTTGTTCATCATATTTAAAAGAAACTTAAAGAATAAATAAAAAAAAATTGCATATAAACTTTCAAGTAACTTGTCATCAACGTAGCTGAATAAAGTCTATCCATTCCAAAAATCGAAAATAAAAATAAAAATTAAAATGACCATTAACAATTTTATTGTAAGTACCACTGGTACTGATTGATAACAAGAAACTTCTAAAATTATTTTTATCATTATATTTTAACTTTATGAGTCATCTGATCTTATAGTTTAATGTGTTGTTGTTTCGTTTGCAGGAAGAATCACAAAAAAAATCAATTAGTATCATGTTAAGAATCTCATACAACGGCTTTTTCTGTTTAATTTACAAACAAAACAATATTTATAAATCATAATAATAATATAATAATCCTAACCGTAAACGCTTAAAATATTATTGAGGAAAAACCAACTAGATGTTAGATAAACAAAAGTATTTTTGTTGCAATTAAAAATATGTGAGAATTACTGGTCAGACGGTTTGGATTTTACATTGGAATGAAAAGTAATCGGTGCCCCCAATACTAAAAGTGTTCCCTTAATCTCAATATTCATCCTCATATATATAATAAAACAAATTTACATATGATTCAACTGCTAATTGACAAACAAATAATGACATGACATAGAAAATACCAGCTTAATAATAATGATATTGTCTGTTATAAACTAGCTGACCTTTTGTGTAGAATTTTATATTTGCTCCATTTCTAAAAAAAAAAAAAAAAAAGAGTTAAACATTCATGTATATGCACATACATTTTCATTTTACAAAACAAATAACTCAAAAATTTATCTATTTTGCTAAAATGACACTTATTTTGAAACGGATAGAGTAAGTCTTGCACTCTATATTGAATCATGTTAAACAGAGTGCGTGAAAACTCGTTCACAAAATTTTTTCCAATACTTAAAAGTTTAGAAATGATATTTTTATTCTGGAACCGAAGAACTACTATTTAATTATCATACTTCCTGCCAAAAAGAAAAGGTTAAAGTTATTAAATTGCGAAACTAGAGTTACATTTCATTTGACATATTTCAATATTTCGTATCGTGGAATTAAAACAGGACGGAGGTCGGAGGGACAAGTATCTTTCTTCGGAGGAGCAAATTAATTGAAGCCATTGCGAATTTGTGATTGACCAAAAAAAAAGACATCAATTGGAACAACTTACCAAAGACCATTTCTGTGGATTTTAGAACTGAACCATTTTTCCGCGCACGACAACAATGGCTTCCAATCCAATCTTTTCATCAATTTTTTGACCATTTATTTGTTCGAAGAATTTCAAAATAATAATAAAAGGATCCTCTGACCTATCCGGTTTATATACTACTTATTTATTTTTAAATTACAGAAACAATATTTTATATTTAATATTGGAACAGTAAAGTTACTTATATACCATGCATACTAATTTTTTATTTTTTTTCCTTTATGAAAAATAGAAAACCAATTCTAATAATCTCGATTACAAATTTACAACCTTCCGAGGATAATAAAAGATATTATTGGGCAATGTGTGTAATATAAACGGTGGATCAAGTTAATCTTTGGTCTATAACTTCCACATACTACGAACAAACGGGTGAATATTCCTAAATCAACAAGGACATTTTTCTCTTTGATTTATTAGATTATTCTGACCAAAATCTGGATCATTAATTTTTTTATTATTTTTTTCTTTCCGTTAGTCATTGACGGGAACCACTTGAATTAAAATACAATTTCATCCTCTCTTTTTTTTTTTTTTTTTCTTTTTTTGTGGTGATTCTATCTACTAGCTACTAGTAGCCATAATGCATAAGCAAACTAGTGGTGTTTGGCCCTTCGTAGCATACTATTTGTTTCAGCATTTTCAACCGATCCAGTCATTGTGTTTAATGCAAATTTCAAGTTAGGACTCCGTGAAGAAGCAAATAATTGATATTTCTATCGTTTTGAAATAATTACTTAGTTTATTGTACTGATAATTATTTTAGAACACAAAGATTCTAATTTTATCGTAGATCTAAAATAATAGAAGCTAGTTGGAATCGCTCTGAGAATGTATAAACTAAATTTATTCTTGGATGAATGTATTAATATTGTGAGTGCAGGATAAGAATTTGGGGGGACATTAGGCACCAAAATGTATTTAGGTTTGGGTTGATACTACACAAACATGATTTTAAAAAATAAAATAAAATAAAATAATGAATAATTGCAACCAATTTATCAGGTGCTTCTCTTTAAAATTAATATGCCTCAGAATAATAATCTAAATTTAAAATTTTATTTTTAGTATAAATTAGATAATTATCTCGAGAGTGAAAGAATATTTTATATTTGATGTGATCATATATAGGTGTTTATTGATTTTTATAGTAATCAATAGTTTTTATACTTCTAATCATCTCTGAGCTAAGAAATTATACGAAAAGAATTTGAGTAAAAAGGTGAATAAAATAATAACTCACCATGATTTACAGTCCAGGTGGGGGCCAGAGCTCAAACAAAAAGATGGAATTGATCAAGTCTTAATTTAGTCCTTACTGTGTCAAGTTATTACTTTGTATTCACTGGCGCTTTCTCCCGCCAAGTGTAACCGACACTATATTTGCTTTTGTCTACTTTTTTTTTATATAACAATTATCTATTATTTTTTATTTTATTTGTTTAACAATTATTTAATTCATCCGATGATCCTAATGAACTCTTAAATATTGCAGTATCGCAATACCAAAACAATATGTAAGAGAAATTGTTTATGAGCCGCATAATGCATATTGAATTGAACTAGAAAGGCACACATGATGGATCCAACAACCATATAAATTTGACTAAAAGTGACACAATTTTCTCGTGATGAACAACAAAAATCATAACTTAATTATCTTATTAAAAGATTTAAGAGTAAAGCTGAGATGCATGAGATTGATTTTCTCATACAATTGCACTCATTTTAAAACATTGAATACGAGACATAACTTGATTGTCACAATACATGAATAACAAACAACTAATTACTAGAGATTAATTTGCACGCGTTAGATTTGTCATTTTTGTATTGGTTTCTAGTGGAGCAAATAAGGTTAGCGTTACAAACTACTAGTACAAAATTAGGTTACTCACGTGGATTACGACATCTACGTACGTCCACGAGTTTCATATTTAGTTTGTTGTTCCTCAGTTTTGTACTGTACTATCTTATGCTAGTAAATAACGTATGCTGCATACATTGTGTTTTCTGTTCATGCCAAATTTCAATTGCCACTCATTTGTTGTATGCCAAATAGAACAAAAGATGCGTAGATATAGATTATTAGGTTGAGATAAAACGTGTTAATCAAATTTCATCGCAACGTATTTCAAACTACAAATTACAAATCCCGAAACACCAAGTATTTATTTGTCCAATAACTCATTTTCTATTTTCACTTATTTTAACTCTTAAACACAAAACCTAATAAAAAAAAATCATCCAAACAACTTTTTAATTTATTTAAAATATTATTTTTGGTCATTACACTATTGTAAAGTTTTCGTTTTGGTCACTAACCTATTGTAAAGTCTTCATTGCATTTGGTTACTAAATTATTGTAAAGTGTTGCGTTTGGTCACTGAACTATTATAAAGTCTTGTGTTTGATCGTTATACTATTGTAAAATCTTCATGTCAGTCGCTGAATTATTTTAATTTCATAAATGGTCACTATACTATAATACTTTCTAAATAAAAAACTAAACTACCCTTTAAATCTTCTCTCAAATCCAAATAAAAAACTAAAACAAAACGTTGTCCAAACAAGCACCAAATCGTTAAACGCTCCACGTGATTTTCTTGTTTGTTTCTTTATAAAACCGATTACTTCCTGGCTAGCATATACCGTTATGAGTTTGTAAGCGTAATTCTATCTTATGACAATGATGAAAATGGAATTTGAAATTACTTATCAAAAAGATTAGGAAACACGTGATTGTCAAAGTTCTTAAAGTACTCCTAAATAGTTATAGATCTTTAACATAGAGGATTTGATTCTTAACGGCGGGGTGTTTTCGACCCGACTATGTAATTTGTCAGAAAAATAGCCTCTTCATAGACTGATTGACCTTGTTTAATATGCCGGGAAGTATATTTTTTTTAAAAAAATCCATTTATTGTAGTTAAAAAGTTAAAAAAAAGTTTTTAGTACAAATTATAAACTAAAATGTGAACTATTTTTTAGAATAGGTAGAGTAAAAAAAATCTATTTTTCAGAATAGGTGGAGTAACAAAACTCTAGACTAGGGCCGTACGGCATTGCAATATGACCGGTACCTTGATATGACTTTTATTTCCATCAAAAGGGCTATTTTGATAGCTTTAATTAGCCCCCATTTTTTGGGCTTTTCAGCTCTAATTAGACCAGAAATGGGCCTTGTTCATTTGAAGAATTAAGAAATGATTCCAACTTCGTAAACGAGGTTTGAGAGACATTGTAAAGAGGAATACTCAGAAGTAGGGAAATAAATTCCTCTGACAAAATATCCGAGAAAAAGGCCACAACCCACGAGTCAAAATCTCAAACAAAAAGAGAACATTTATGCCCAATTTGGCTTCTGATATGGAAATGGGATAATAATGAATCTTGTAAGGCATTTCAACCATTCTTGATAGGAATCCATTCACAGTACGTACATCTCAAATTCTCATCCGTAGAACTAATATTCTTTCCGTCCCAAACTGATTTTACATAACGGCAATATTTTCTTACTAAGATATTTTTTTTTCCAGAACTTCTGGAATGATTGAATAGTCCACTTGCACAGGAAAATGCAGATGAAAAAGCCGAAAGCATCACTGTCAATTTTGATGTACACAAAGTCCAACTGAGATTCATAAATTGCGCTGATCATCATAGTCAAAATCATCTATACAAATGCCGAAAATCTCTACATCAGTACTAACTATGATGTCATCTATATTAACATAAGATTAACCGGAGGAGGACAAATGATTCGGGATACAAAACCAGTAATCAGTTATTGAAACCTCTAAAAACAGATATTGCCACTGAAAATGAAAAAAACCCCCAAAATTGAAAACTGAACAAAAACAAGTTGAACTAACTGGCAACTTCTGTTTACATACATATGTATACATTATCAAGTGTCTCTCCTTTTGTACTTTTTTTTTTTTTTTTCCAAAGTGTCTTCTTTTAATAACCTAAGCTGAAAATCTGTACTCTTTCCGCATGGCCTAATCATCAGTCCTTTTCTTGCGATTCATCAAATACTGAACTTTTCACTGAGATCCCATCAAGAATATCGCTTTCTGAATCAACCTGCAGCTCTTTAAACATAGCCATCACTTGAATCATTGTAGGCCGGCGGAACGGCTTATCGTCTAAACACTGAAATGCAATGCTCAAATAATGCAGAAGCTCACTCAAAACCGACGAATACAAAGTCAGTTCAGGATCCAAAATCTCTTGACTCCGTTTCTCTTTATGCAACTGCTTAGCCCATCCTACAAGATTATTATCATCACCAAACTCCGATGTATCAATTGGTTTCTTCCCCGATAGAAGCTCCAGCAAAATCACGCCATAGCTGTATACATCACCTTTTGTTGTGCACCGAAAACTCTGATAGTATTCAGGTGGCACATAGCCTGGTGTTCCGGCAAGTGTGCTAACGCTCAAATGCGTATCCAATGCGTTAACTAATCTTGCCATGCCAAAATCAGACACTCTGGCCTCAAAATTCTCATCAATGAGCACATTACTCGACTTCATGTCGCGATGAATTATGTGTGGGATGCAGCTGTGGTGAAGAAACGCGAGCCCTCTAGCCGATCCAATGGCTATCTTTTTCCTAGCAGCCCAGTCCAGCATTGTACTTCCACCATTTCCCTTTCCATTCTCATGCAGCACAGATTCCAGGCTTCCCCATTGCATATACTCATAAACAAGCAGCCTTTCTTCACCAACCTTACAGTATCCTAACAAAGGAACCAAGTTCCTATGTTTGATCTTTCCAATTGTTTCCATCTCAGCCATGAATTCCCTGTCTCCTTGCCCTGTAACATATTTCAGTTTCTTGATCGCCACAATGCTTCCATCTCGGAGTTGGGCCTTATAAACTTCGCCAAAGCCGCCGGAACCAATCAAACTGTCAGCGCTGAAACCATTTGTGGCTTCCAGGAGATGTGCGAATGTGAGCTTCCTTAGGGGCTTCTCAAAGGTTGCCACATTAATGCTTAATGGCTCAGCCACACCAGAAATCTTCCAACTGCTGCTACCGGAGGTTGGGAGACTCTCGATGTATTTGTCCCGCGTTTCCTCCTTCTTCTGATGTTTTTTCACTCTGTACAGGGCTAATACGAGGAGGAAAATAGTTAACATAGAGAACAGAATCCCAATAACCACCCCCACAGCAACAGGCTGGTTTCTCCTCCCTTTGCCAGAATGCTTTGATGATTGATGTCCACTTAATGAAGAACAAGAAGCCAAAGGAAGCCCACAAAGTCCTGAATTGTTACCATATCTTGCAGGTGGAAAAGTAGTCAGCTGGCCACCTGATGGGATGGGGCCTGAAAGGTTGTTGTTTGAAACATCGAAATCACTGAGAAACGACAGTCCACCTAATGACCATGGGATTGAGCCTTGAAGATCATTGTGTGACATGTCAAGAACTCCAACTGATTTTAGTCCTCCGAAACTGTTGGGAATATTGCCTGATAAATTATTGTGTCCCAAATTCAGGACTTGAACAAAACTCATCAGGCCTAATTTATCAGGGATGGATCCTGAAAGGCTATTGTAAGAAAGATCAAGATAGATCATGCTGCCATTGCTAGCAAAAGTGTAAACAGTGATCCCAGTGTAAATCCTGGTTGTTGGACAAGAATGAACCATAGGGAAATTAGCCAGCCTGTCAACACGAATCCCCTCGAACTCAACTAGCCCACCTGCTCCTCTGCATTCCGTCCCTCCTTCATTTCTCACAAAGGCAAACTGCTTGCCTGAAACACTTCCAGGAAGAACAAATCCAGCTTGATCAGCTATTTCTGATGGGATTGAGCCAGTGAGATTGTTGCTGTTCAAATCCAGCCATATCAGGCTTTTGCACTGGCCTATTCCAGGTGGGATTGGCCCTGTTAGTGAATTGTTACCAATTTGAAAGATTGCCAGGTTAACAAGGTTTCCAATGCCTGATGGGATTTCACCACTTAGCCTGTTGCTAGACAAGGAAACCCAAATTAAATTCGTGCAATTCGCGAGGGATTCAGGGAGTTTCCCAGTGATGAAATTGTTGTTTAAGATCAACGTCTGAAGGTTTCCTCCCATGACACAAATCCCTTCAGGTATTTCACCGCTGAGATTGTTAGCCCACATGATCAAGTCTGAAAGGTTAGGCAATGCCCATATCTCATGAGGAATTGCACCAGTCAGAAAATTAAAGCTCAAATCAATTGTTTTCAAGTTTCTGCAGTTCCCAAGCTCAGATGGGACTGTCCCTTCCAAAAAATTACCTGCCAATAATAACTTCTCCAGGGAAGAATCAAATGAGTTTGAGCAAAACCAAGAAGGCACATTTCCTGTGAAACCATTTGAACTTAAATCCAGCACTTGAAGCTGAGTACTGTTTGCCAGAAACTTTGGCAAAGGACCACTAATGTTGTTGAATGGCACAGAAAGATATCTCAAATTATTCTTGAGGGAACTCACCACAGAGTCCAAAAAATCGCCGGAAAGGTTATTTCGGCCAAGGTTGAGGCTAAACAATGAAGAACAGCTTGTGAAAGTCGCAGGAAGCCCACCTGTTAAATGGTTTGAAGAAAGATCAAGTTCTTCAAGTGTTGCACAAGTTTGGCCCAACTCAGGTGGAATCTCCCCAGTGAACTGATTGTTTGACAAAACCAGTTTCTTCAAATTCTTCAGTTTTCCCAACACATTCCCTGGAATTCCAAGTAGCAACTCATTGTGGCCAATATCCAATGTCTCAAGCTTCTGGCAGTTGGCTAAACCAAGTGGAAAACCACCTCCAGAAAGGCTATTGAAAGACAGATTCAGGAGTGTAAGGTTAGGACAAGCCATTCCAGATCCAAAACTGGCAAGATTACCAGTGAAATTATTGTGGGAAAAATCAGCAATTTGCAAGGACAAAGGTGCAAGAAACGTAGGGGGAATATCCCCGGATAAATGATTGCAAGAAATGTCCAAAACAGACAAATTTCTGCAAGAAGAGAGTGAGCTAATATTTGTCAATTTCCCAGCAATAGCGTTGTCAGAAAAGTTAAGCAAACTCAAGCTCTGGCAATTTGACAGAGAATAACTCAAGAGGGTCAAATCAGAAATTTTGTTCTTGGACATGTCAAGCTGCAACAAAGAAGGGCCAAACTTGAGACTACCACCCGGGATTGAATTTCTTGACAGATTCAAAAGGGATAACTTTTGACATGACTGCATCAATGAATCTGCAGCCAGTGGCTCTGACAAACTATTATCAGATATATCAAGAACCTCAAAGCTGCAGGAAGTAGTAGAAGAAGAAGAAGAAAGATTGCCAGAGAAAAAGTTGCCACCAAGATGAAGTTGAGAAAGACTTGGCAAGGCCATAAGGTCAGATATATGCAAATGACCTTTCAGCCTTGCATTAGTAAGATTAAGCTCAATAACTTGTCCATTCTCAGAGCATAAAACACCAGTCCAGTCACAGTGGCTAGAGGAGGAAGAAGACCAATCTTTCAATACACCATCTGGATCAGCTTCAACCGATGATTGCTTAAAAGCCAATAACTTCCCAACTTCATAATCATTACTATTATTATTAGTCCACAAAATCATCCGTGCATTTGATGACACCAAAAAGAGGCAGCAACTCATAAGCAGAACTGTGATAAAGACACCATCTTTGACCACCCCACCACCTAATAACAACTTCTGCAGCTTCATCATCATCATCATCATCATCATCTGGTCCTTCTTGTTGAGCTACAATAAATGCATATCCAACCTTCTGCATAAGCTGAAAAAAAAATCTTCCCCGCTTCTTTTTTTTTTGTCTGATTACATTCACTCAGCTGCTACATCAAACTTGTTTGAGGAACCTGTCAAGTTGACAATGACAAAATCCATGAACAAAACACACACTAGAAAGAAATTAATAGTGAGCTAAAAAAATGCAAAGAATAAAGTACCCCAGAAGAAGAGAAAAAAATCAAAGAATCTTCTCTTCCCACATGCTTGATAAACACCTCCCCAAAACCCACAAGTCAAAATTTCAAAAAGAAGAATATGTAGAGGATAGGAAAAAGAAAAGAAAGAGCAGTACTAATTCCAGCAGCCTACCAGGTGCAAAGTACAGTAGTTTGATTTGATATTTTTTGCCTTATTTAGTGGGGTTGAGCCCAGCACTCTGTCACCAAATTCCAAAAACATATATATATGGTACTAAAATCAAAAAGAGAAAAACAAAAAAAAAAAGGAAGAATTTTTATTCTTTATTTTCTAGTTAGGGAACAGAAGAAAAAAGAGGTGAAGCAAAGAGCAGAGAGAGTACAGAGTACTTGTGATTGTTTGTGAGAGAGTATGAGGAAGGAGAGTGTGTGTAAGTGTAACAGATTGATGATGGATGATGGGATGATGTTAATGTAAGAAAGGAAGTGAAATGAAATCTTAGTACAAAGCTTATTTTCTTGTTTATGTGGTCTGGGTACCATGTTCAGAGTTGTCGGCTGTCACGGGAATTTGGTGTTTTTAAACTCAAATTAACATTTTGTATTCTACTTCTTGGACCCTCTTCTTCTCTTCTTTTTGTTTTTCCCCACAAATAAATAAATGTTTGCAAAAGCCTATTTCAGATTATCAGTATCTCTATTCCATGCAGGAGAAACATAACTCTTCTCAATTCTCATCACAAATTAATGTATTTATCAAAAACGAGAAGTAAAGAGAGAGAGAGAGAGAGAGAGAGAGGCAATTGGTTATATTTTGCGCTTACTTGTCAACGAGATCTTTTTATTGTGAATATTCATACTCCTTCCGCCTCACAAAAATAATTCAAATTGAGTTTTGTACTGTTTTTAGTACAAATTTAAAAAATGTAAATTATTTTTTTTTTTGACCGAGTATTCACAAAATATACCAACTTTCTTTTAGAGGTCTTAATTTGTGTATCATGTTGGTATTGGTGTAATTTTGTTATCGTGCATAAACTAGAGTAATTTTGGTATCATGCGTAAGTTTATTTTATTTTAAAAGTATTTTCGTATGTGTTTCGTGGTAGTAAAGTTCACAATCCTATTAACTGTAAGTAAAACCTTTACTAATTTTGTTGATATTATTAGAAAAGATAAATAATGAAAATAATATTTTTTCTGTCCCAAAGTTATTATTCGGTCTAAATTTTATTTGTAAATAAAAATTTGAATTGGATAATGATTTCGAAACAGATTAAATACTACACCAATAGACATAGATGAGTCGAGTCCACCATTCTAGAGATCCTTGAAAATGGACCGTGGATTAACCTTGTGTATTTCTTCTAGAGGAGAATAGAATAAAATTAATGTAGAAAAAAATATATATAGTACTATATGTAATTAAAAGTAGGGATGAAATCGAAGCCCTCAATACTTACTTCGTATCCATCAATTTGTGTCTTTTCCCAATTTTCTCAGTCAAACTTCGGATTTGATTCTCATTCTTTTTTCCCTTTCTATCTCTCTCCAAACTCCACAATCGCTAAAAAAAATAAAAAAATAAAAAAAAGCAAAAATGACCTTTACACCTCAAAATTGAGTTAACTTCAAAAGTAAAATGAACCCAAAATTACAACGTTTTTGTGATTTTCATTTTTTTCTTTTTCGGATGCTATGGTGTTAGTTAATCAGTAGGTATTTTGAGTGCACGATTGGGCAACTTCAGTGTTCAAATAGTCATCCTTTATTCCAGTAACTTTGTTTCCCCATCTTGCTCTTGTGCTGTCTCCGAATTAGACATTTCATCCACTAATCGTGTTTTCCTTCATTTGATATAATAATATAATCCCGTCGTTCCTATCCTGCTTGCTACATTTTTATATAATATAATATTCAACTCAGTCTATAATCATAATTTCTTTTTTATGTTTTTTAAATTACATCATTCTAATATATTTTTCTTTCCTTATAAATTAAAATTAGATTTAGTTCAAATTAACATCTAGTTATGTTTTCTTTCTCATAATCGAGATGAGATGTACTTGAACTTGATCGCAATCTAGCTGCATTTTTTTTTCTGTCACACAGCTAGCTGGGGGATATTATTTGAATTTGACAAGATTTGTTACGTGGACTTTTTTTTTTTTTTTAAACAAAATGAAAAGATTGTGTATAATGCTTTTCATTTAGCTTTTGCTTCGGTGACATTCTAATCTTCCAACTAATATTCAACTAACTGGGATTTTCGGACAAAATTTTCAAATAAAATGGCCCCCCCCCTTTAGGTAGGCAGAAATTGGACTCCAACTATTTTCATACTACTAAAATCTTCCAAAAAGGGGGCTGATTACGGTCATGAACGATTATCGGAACTAGCTAATTAAGTGATGGTAACTATTCTTTTGAAGGGCCTGTTGAAATTTCTTCGAAAGCATTGCACATGCATCTCATAGTCTCTACTCTCTCGTCCTATAATTAGAGTTGTATTACTAACCAGTTTCTGGTCCTAAAAATAAGTCATGTTACACGCTTTAGGGTTTTATCTCTACTTTCTTCGCCTTGAACACTTGATGTGATTAATAATGTGTAGCTCACGATCATGATACATATGTGTATTTATGAATTGGAAATAAAAATAATATCATGGCGCCTTCTTCTTTTTTTTTCCTATCAGAAGAGGATCAATAGTGATTTTTTTTTACCTCCGACTCAAATATTCGACTTATTAAAAGTTAGCATGTAATGTGTAGTATTACGTTACAGTTCATCTTCAGTAAACACTACTTATATGCACTGTGTTTTGAAGGTTAAAAAATGATTTAAATTATCAAGAGATGAGGTCTTAGCCTGATAATAAGACTCTAAGTGGATTTTTTAGAGGTTTAAAGATTGAATTTCATTTACGGTGCATAAAGGTGGGGAGGGGGAGGGGGGTTCACATTTATAAGCAGGGTATTAGGATAGTTTTTTTTTTTTTTGGTTTATTATTATTTTTATTGAATACGGGAACTATTTTGATAACAAAACTTACAAGGAATTGAAAATTGGATCATTCTTGTAAGAAAGTGACCTCATTTTTATTCCATGGGGATTCGGATTGGGTCAAGCTCAAGCTAGCTAGCATATGTCACGCGTTAAAAAATAACCATGCAAATGCATCACAACACTTTAATCATAGTATCCAAGACAGTCTAAATATTTTTAATTTTTTCTTTTAAACAAAAAAAAAAAAATGGATGTCTCAAATTTCAAAGAGGAATTCAAATGGGAAATGAAGAGAGTCAAGATGGGGCGAAACTCGAGTGAGCATTGTTGGCACCAACGACGATTTATAAATCAATTTTTTTTTAATAAAAAAAGGTACTCAGTACTACTACACAGCTGCCATGAAAACATGCAAACTCTCTCTCTCTCTCTCCTTAGTACGGGAGTTTTATATTCCTACTTGCTTCTCCTACCTGACGTGAAACAGATTTCAATTTTCAAAAATCTTACTATTAATTAGTGTGTAAGCTTGGAGGATATTTTGCGAGGAAAACCCAAACGCGATCTTCCTTCTTCTACTTCTTCTTTTTTTTTTTTCTCGTAATCTTATAGAAAAGACAAGAGGATGTGTTTGTAGATATAAAAAGGATTAGCGGTACAATAACGATAGATATAATCCATATAATTTACTTTATGTACTGTAACAAGATATTTAACTCGCATATAAGACTTTACGGGTTGAGAATATTTTGAGTATATTGTTGTTGTAATAAGACTTTATGGATTAAATCATTTGGTCTCTATTTTCATTTGGAAAATCAGGGTTCAAAATATTCACATATTTTGCTGCAATTTTTAATTAACATTGTTGGATTTCATTCCAGCCTTTATAGTGTGTAATAAGTAACATAACCTCAAAGACGGAACAAAAATAAAATACGCGAAGACAGAGAGAGAGAGAGAGAACAAAAAAAAATACTATTGTAAGGATTAAGGGTGGTGGAGACGAGAGCGTATCGGGTTTTTAAAATCGGGAAACATGGCACATGAGGGGCACGCGACGCAGGACTTAGGGTTTTTGGGGCAACCAAAATTGTGGATCTACTAATTCATCCCAATTCCTACCTAATTCACAAAGACTCGCATTTTAAAATAATAATTGATAGTCATTGAGAAATGGAACCAAAATGGGTTTTATAATGACCAAAAATCCAACTTTTGTGAGAATTTGTAGGTGTGTTGGGGCGCACTTTGCCAGTATTTTGCACTCCACACGAGTCAATTTGTGAATCCTATTCCCTCTTCTCCCCCCTTTCTCTTTCTTTTCAGTTCTCCACCCTCCTTTCTTCTTCTTCTTCTTCTTCTACTTTTTTTTTTTTTGGTTCAAAAAAATAAATAAATGTGGATTGCACCCTTTTTTTTCAGCTTTCAATTGATTCCCATTATCTATAATGCTATTTTGTTTGATAGATATCTTTTAATCATTTTTTGAGTACGACATTTGATTTCTAGAAAGTTTCTTATGAGTTGGAATTTTATTTCATGATACTTCAAGTTCTTTAATCAGTTAAGACGGTTGCTTTGCTGCTCAAGATTTCAAATTGCATATTACTATTCTCATCTGAAATTGATTAATGTTATTTTTTTTTTAATAGTAAAGATACAATTATTTCAGAACAAAAAAAAATGTGATTTTGGTTAGTATTTATCAAATAAATTTAAAAATAGTGAAATGCATAAGTTTATGTAGTCATGATTCCTTAATAATTAAGAACGTGAAATACACTTCAAAAATGTCAACAACGGATTGTCTAAAATCTTTGAAATAAAGAGAATTATAAATATGATCGCATTTGAAATTTATAATCTTCTTAGATTAGGCAATGCACATCATATTTTGCTGCGTACTTCCAAACTTATTACTCCTTCCGGTCCTTAATATAAAGATATTTTAATTTATTTTAAATTTCACTTAATAAGTATTTTTTATTAATAAAAAACCTTTAAAATATTTTATAATAATTAAGAGAACACAACGAACATAAATACATAAAAATTTAAAGATTTTTTTTTATCATTTAAAAATGCGTATTAAATGAAACGTAGAATAAATCAATATATCTTATATTAAGGACACGGTGGTCTTTGGACGAGAAGAATATTGTTCTCCATATTTGTTATGCCATTAGTTATAATTATATTGCATCTGTTTGAGTAGGGGAAGTAGAAAAAAGAGAATGGAGTGGGAAAGTGGAGTAAGAGGGAAGTCCTTATCGTTCTTTTCAATGGCAAGACAAAGTTTTATGATTACAACACCACAGTTTCAAATAAATAAGCAAAGATTTTTGAAATAAAATAGTAGTAGTAAGTTTAATGTTGGGCTCCATAACACCGGAATCCTCGCAAAGAAACCAGGTTATTATTACGGGCCGTTCTTTAAAATTGTCTCTTCCTTTGGTGCAAAATTGACAATTTATTTCTTTTAAATAATCTCAATTAGGCCCACAGACTTTTAATTTCTTTTATTCCAATACGACAATTTACTTGCACGAATCAGTTTATATTTCTTTTTTTTTTTCTTTTCCCCTTTCCGTTAGGTGCTGTGAAAAAACAAGTTTATATAACCCTAACTAATTTGACCTTTTCAATGCCCAATGTGTCTGTTATTTACCTTTTGTTAAAAAATTGTTTTTCGATTTGTTCTTGGATGTCGAATGTAGATCTCTAATCTCCTGATTACAATTGTCCCATTGATTCACCGTTCGATTTAACGCCCATGTAATTTATTTTCTTTTCTTTTTTTTTTTTTAACTTCTGGGCAGGAATTAATCACTAATTGCGCACATTTTGTGACTTACAAACATGCAAATTTATTGGCATTTTGTCATAGTCAATAATACGTAAAGAATAGGATTCCTAAATCAAAATTGGAAAGAAGAAAAAAACGCATTAAAGGAGTAAAAAAACAGAATATAATGTTGTAATGATAGATCAAACGTCGTATTCTCTCCCTCCTTTAATTAATGAACTTATAAAAATTGGGGGAATAAGAAAAGTGAAAGGGATACTTGTTGTGTGGTCCTAGTTCTATTCCAACCTACCTTTGCTGTATCCTTATTGAGAAATTATTTTATTTTAAGCAAAATTAGTTTGAAACTAGCTAATTGACACTTATAAAAATTGTGATGCAAAATTCTGCTAATTTACATTATTGATGTTGTACAAATAGTCACCAATGGTCTTCGCGTGGAAAATTTCAACAATTCAATATGATACTCCTTCTGTCCCACAAAAATAGTCCACGTTGCGCGTTCTGTACTGATTTCAGTACAAATTTGAAAACTCAATGTGAACTATTTTTTTTAGGACGGAAGTAATATGAAATAACAAGTATTCTCGAACAATCTTATAACAAAAAGAATGGAATAAACCTGTGACTTTGTGAGCTAAAAAAAAACAACATTCAATTTACTCCAGACAACTAATTTTTGAGGAGCACTTTCACAACAATAACGTCGTTTCATTAATTTAACAAAGTAGTAAGTAATATTAAAAAATCAATCCTATCATTCGTAATCCATCATAATATATGATGAGACAAAAAAAAAAAAAAAGGTAGGGGGGGGAACAAAGAAGAAAATTCATAATAATAAATTGGGTGGTGGGAGAAGGAAGTGGGGTCTACAGTCACCGCACGAGCGGGTGAATTCGGGGACCCATTTGTGTTTTTTTTTTTATTTTTTTTTAGAAAAATCCCTTTAAATTTTACTAGTAAATGAATTATTTTGATTGAGTAAGGAAGGGGGGTTATGGAGTTGACTTTGTCGTACGTGGCGCTTTCAAGATATGGTGCCTCAAACGTGTCTATTCTATATTTAGCACTTAAGGAGTCCATTTTTCTGACCATAAGTTTTTTCATCCCCCCGCCATCTAAACGTGGCTTTTGGAGGTTTGGCTGCTGGTGGACTTTCTGGGCAGTTTTTCTGGAATCATTTTATTTATTTATTTATTTTTTTAATTTTCAACCATTTTCAACCAAACGTGAGAAATAATCCAACTTCTTTCTTATGTTTTTCCTAACATGCAAAATCTACACGAAAGATAATAAAATTGTATAGGGACGTAGAATTTCCTTTATGATTTTCTTTTTTTTTTTAAAAAAAAAGTCCGCATTATATTACGTGATAAAGTCAATACTAGTTGAGATTACAAACCCGCAATTTTGTTTAAAAGAGCTTAAGAAATACTACTACTAAGATGTACTAATTCCAAACTAGTATTAGCCTATGTCACAAACTCAAACATAAATCCCCTCTTGCTCATGATTCACGCAAGTTAATTGGCCTTCTATACACTTTCACCATGAATAGACTGTTTCTTTATACATATAGAAAAACAAAATTACTCCCTCCCTAACAATTTCATTTTACTGCGATTTTGTCTAATTTGGACCAAATTAAATAATTCGTATTTAAGTACGGGGCAGAGTTTAAATTCTTTTCTAATTAAACTTCATGGTATCAGTTTTGGCTCCTAAATATGAAAATCAGAACATGGTTGGGGAGGGTCTGCATGGCACTTGATTAGCCTTAGTGACATCATTATTGAGATTAGACTAATTAGTAGTACCCCAATAAGGTTGTCTTGTGCCTAACGCTCCAACAATTTTCGCCATTATTGAGGAGACATAATTAGGGATTTTTGTAGCTAATTACACCTCTAATTACCGTCCTATCTGCTACTAACACAACTTTTAAGATCAACTTAAAATGATTATCACTTTCCCTACTTTTTTACTCAAGATTTTCTCTTTGGAAGTAATTATCATTAAATTAAAAGAAACTGTTAGCATTAGTGGGACTCATGTTACATTAGTTAGGTTGAAGCTAGTCCGCGGCCTTTAATTATTATGACCACATAATTTCAACTAGTATTAATCTTACATTTACTTGTCACCTTGCACAGAATTAATTTCCACTCCCTCCATCTAGAATAAACAAACAGTCCATTTTATATGGAATTTTTTTTTTTTAATTTTCAGAGGAAATACTATCTTCAAAGCAAAAAACAAGCCGAATATGGATTTGAGAATAATATGTAAATATTTTGTGTAAGCAAAAAGTAATAGGTAATCTATACACAATTCTATGACCGTAACTCAAAATCTTCATTAAGTCACGTATTTCTTCTCGATCATTAGTATAATGTATTTTGATTCCTCATAGATTTCATTCATTATGTCTTTCAAATGAAAATTAAACCTTAAAACAGTATCGTAACATTTATTATATTCTATCATTTATTTTAAAGTCTTTTTAAAGTTTCATTTCCAATTAAAAAAACATGATAAGTGAAACTTAAGAGAAATCAAAATACCTTATAATAAGGATCGGAGGGAATATATACTATTTTCAATTAGTTAAATGTAAGGATGGAAATTATTATTATTTGGAAGTCGAGAAAGTTCAATTCTCGCTAGATCAATACTACATTTTTTCAAGAAGAGAAAGTTGTGTTTGTATTTATACTATAGATATTACCGCTCTAATGACAAAAAAGTAGTTAAAAACGAATATATGATACAAAAGGAATCGAGAAAGTAAAAATAGATTGGGTAATAATGAGCTGGGCTAAGGCATTTTCTTTCACCCATTGAGAAGACTAACAAAGTCCTTCTTAGTGGGCCATTGTTTTTCATTTCTAATATTCTTTTGGGCTTTCAGATAAGTCATCAAAAGTTTATTGCGTGATGGGAGGAATTTCTTCTTCTCCTTTTTCCCATACTTTTTTTTTGACATTTCAAAAGCCTATTATACTAGTAGTCTCTCTAAATCTTAGTATGAATCGATGTGAGTTGACGGCTGAATTAGCCAACCAATTATTACTAACAGTAAATCAGCTACATGTTTATAATTTTTTTTCGGTCTATTTTGACTAAATACGGATTCTACTACAAGATGAGATCTATAGAGAAATGAATGACTAATTGAACGGCTTTTGGTATTCTTTTTTTTTTTTAATGTTGTAAGATCATATTAAGATGTTGTTGTTTTAAATTTCATAAATTGAACCTCATCATTGAAATAGAGTTACTAAATTCAAATTGCTCAGACCATATTATACTATCTATTGTTGTGTAGTCTATCACATAAGGATATTGTACAAGAATTTCCATGTTTACTCAAGATCATATTGACTAATGTAAAGGCACTTTTGTTTTGTGTGCGTTCACAGGATCCTAATGGTACAAGATTAGGTACATGATGCATCCAACTCGTTTCTTTCTTTAGAATTCATCCCTTTTATCCTAGCATATTCATCACGGGAAGATTACAATCTAGCTAATTATTGATTTGATGTATGCCATGAATTCCCTGCCAATGCCAATAGGTCTCACTATAGTACAAAATGGCTAGGGAAATGATGTGGCTTTACTATTTTAAAATTATCATATTAACTTAAACGTCATCGTAACGGTCTTTCTATTCACATTTAGATATATCGTAAATATGTTTGCTAGAGCTTCATAGGAACGGAATAGTGCAAATTGGATAAACTTTCAAAACCTTTACAAAACTTCAGATTAATACAGTGTCACCCAATCTCGCTTTCCAAACAGTCGTCAATAATTTGACCAAATTGGACGAAGAAGGGACCAATCTGAAAGTATCAACATTGTTTTGGGGCCAAACACGAATAAAGAAAGAAAATAGTTTCTAAATACCGAAAATAAAAAAATTTCGGACAAGATTCCAATAGATTCTCATAGCGGTACCAGAAGAATTACATTGGCGGCCGCGAAATGGCACAAAACTCAAGGACAAGGGATCAGATAAGATGATTTACCGCCATTTAAGATTGAACCCATTTCGCTTCAGCAGCAGCTTAGGCATAGTCGGTAACCATTTCTTCAGCTTCCCTGCGGTTAAATTTTGCTCCACAGGTTGGTTAAAGCAAATAATCCATCTTTTTTCTTATGTTTCTTCCTGGTCGAAGTTCGGTTAGAAAGCATCTTGATTCTCAATTTCAGTTTTTTAGGCACAATTGTCTGATGGGCTGTCGTGAAATACGTGTTTTGTTATTTTGAAATTTCAATTTTCTTTAATTCGTGGGATAAATCTTGTCTGCTGGAGATGGACTTGATCACCTGACTGGACTCTTTGTTTATTCAATTAGTTTATGCTTTTAGTGCAATCTGGTTTAAGGTTAAAGTGTCAAGTCAATATTTTAACTTCACCGCGTGGCCGGGTTTTCAGGATTGTGCAAAGTGCCTAGGATTTTTCAGTGGGAAGAAAAAAAAAACAAAACATTATGATATCAATTAATATGGCTAATTTCATATACTGGCTTCTGCTTGTCCTGCATTTCTGTAATCTGCTGTCTTATTAACCTTTATAAGGGTTAAGGGTTTTGTTTTGGGATGATTTTGGTAGGCGTGTAGTGCTGAACAAAGTTATAAGACCTGCCTTTTTGCTTAATTTAAGAGATAATTACAAATTATCATTTATGTTGGCACTTGATTGAATTGATGGACGGTGGGAGGAGGTTTTAGTCCTTTACATTGGATCGATAACATTTTTTAGTCCCCAAACGGAAAATTGATGTTTCTGAATCCTAGTCGTTCACATTGCAGTAAAATGAACATCTTAAAGCCATTCATTAAGGACAAAAAAATCATGTTTTGAGAATGTGAATGATCAGAATTGTTCATTTCCAATTCGAGAGAACTAAAATGGTTGTTTTTGTATTATTCTGCTGGTATTGTTTGGTGAAAAATGAGGAAACAATTTTGTTTGCTGGGGATATAACTCATTCTATCCACTGTCAGCACCTCTTCTATTAATATTTTTATGAGATGAAAGCAGGAGGACCAAATCTTGTTTGGATTTTTATTAATTAAAAGGAGGAGGAAAGTAAAAGGGAATCAGCATGAATAACCTTAGCAAATCTTAAGTAAGATATGCTATAAGTTATCACAAGTCAAAAACCTACAAACTATGACTACTAGGAGTAATGATAAATCCCAATCAGTCAAGCTATGGAAGCACAGGAGAAATTTGTTTATAATATCAATTAAGGTTGCTCCTAACATAACCCTCCTGGGCTGTACAGAAAACCTAGTTACTTTGCTGCTAACCATGGTTATCTGGCTATTGACAAAGATTGGAGCTTGGATTACTTTGGATTTTCTTGGTGAACTTTTTTCATATTAGTTCATAATATGCATCAACTTATGTAAATACGTGACAGTACCAATGATGGTTGTGTAGTTGTGTACATTAATATGCTTTTTTAAATCATTAATGTGTCACCACTTGTCATTGCTTATGTTTTGTGCAAAGTAGGAGAAAGAGTACCATGAAAAAAATACCGTTAGGGGCATTAAGGTCTGTGAGCAGCACTTTGTGTACTTTGCTTTAGAACAGCAATCTGAAAATTTGCATGTACGTATATTATGTAGGCTCGTGTTCTTTATGTCTGTCACATTTGAGTTCTTTATCTGTTTTTAGTATGAAGTGTTGTTCAGTTTTATTATGCTTGTGAGCTCTGTGACTGAATGAGAAGTTATAACTGTCCAAGAAATTATCTGACTGCAGCCTGAAGTTTAGGTTTTTCTGTAGACATGCCGATTCTTTCAGCAGTTACCAGTGCATAGATATGTTCATATCAAAAATACATCCCATGCACAACTCAATAAGTCACTTAGCGAAGACAACCAAATGATACCTAAACCAAAATTTTGCATTTAATGGAAAATCTCATGTTACACATAAAGATAACAGCAGCATTTTGTGATTACTAATCTGTAAGCATCTATTACTTTGTGTGTTTGGATTGCCTAGTTCTGTGACTTGAAAGGATTCAGTCATCTATGAGTTTGAATGTATGGCTCTGTGTTTTTTTCCCCATTGAATCAACTTTGCTTATGATCCTCGATTTTTATGTTTGTTGTTAAAGGAGTAGGCATGGCGTCATTAGCAACAGCAGAAGTCTGCGATACCAACGCGGCACTTCTGGCAAGTGGTGAGTTACGGGTACTGCAGCCCGTATTCCAGATGTACGGACAATGCCGTTCCTTCTCTGGGCCCATCGTGACTCTGAAAGTGTTTGAGGACAATGTATTAGTTAGAGAAACTCTTGAAACCAAAGGGGAAGGTAGAGTGCTAGTAATAGATGGTGGGGGAAGCATGAGATGCGCCTTGGTTGGTGGAAACCTTGGACAGTTAGCCCAGAATATGGGATGGGCTGGAATTGTGGTCAATGGCTGCATCCGCGATGTCGATGAGATCAATGCCTGTGATGTTGGGGTTAGAGCATTGGCGTCACACCCCCAGAAATCGTACAAGAAAGGCGTCGGGGAAAAAGGAGTGCCTGTTCATGTTGGAGGAACCTTGATTAGGAATGGGGAATGGTTGTATGCTGATAGTGATGGTATCATCGTTTCAAGGACAGAGCTTTCTGTTTGATTCGAATGCAATTGCAAATTTGCAGGCAATTTGATTGTGACTTAATCAATCCATCAGAAATAAGTGTCATAATTTGTGGTTTTTACCTCATGAAATGTTGAACATTCTTTTCCCCTTAAAAAGACGACTCCTCTTTCAAGGATCTTTTCTACTTCTTGTTGTAAAGTCCAAAGTAGGTAATTTTTGTTTTTGTTTCTTTTTTTTTTATATATTCCCATAAAAAGTTACCGGAAACATACATCATGATATCTTACTACCACTGTGCTAAAACTGTTATCTCATCAGTCCAACTAAGATTGTTACTAACTAATTTTCTTTTGAAACTTAAAAAATTACACATTTTCATATCATCTACAAAAGCTAAAACATTTTCATTTCCTGATTAAATTGGTGAAATACACATAAAGAATGGATATAAACCACAAAAAAAAAAGAGGACATTTTTTGCGATTAAATCTAAAATGAGGTGGCAAATTTGGGAGCAAAAGGGCTAATGTTTTTTCAAGAAATAGATTGCCTATGTAATTGTGTTACTTAACAATAAAATTCAATGCGCGGGAACAACGCCACAAGAGGTGTCGCCGGAGTCCAGTCGCTGGTGGAGCTGCCGGACAGCCTCGTCACCGAAATTCTGTCAAAATTAGATTTAGAATCACTTTGCTCCGCCGCCTGTGTTTCCAAGACTCTCAACTCCTTCGTTTCACAACTTATTCCCACTCGATCATCTATTGATCTCTCAGTAAGTTCAGAGAATATTAGGGAGATATTGGATTTTTATTTTCTCCGTTAATCCGTTACTCTGGTCATTTTGGATTTTTTTAATCTTCATTTTCTGATACGGGGCTTTGCTTCTTCTTCCCTGAATACACTCTGCTAATTTACGATTCTGGATTTTTTGGTTTCTGTTGCTGGTTTTTTATGCCTTGTGGTGGTTATGGTTTAATGGTTGAAACTCAAGTTTTGTTCGATTCCCTTTTGGAGGAGCATTTCATGCATCATTATTCTACACTGTGTTTACTTCACATTTTGAGCTTTTTGTACGGCTTTGCTGATTTTTTCTTTTACTGGTGAATAACGCTTTTTTTTTTTCTTTTTTGATGGAATCCCTAATCTCGCGATTCAGGTGTTTTCTCCCGATGCCAAAACTCTGCATCGTATTCTTAATGCGTGCAAAAATGTCAAGAGTGTCACTATTGACTGCCGCCAGCTGGAGAATTCGGCTATCGTTGGCATTCTTGGAGCTAATCTAGAAGAACTTCATCTGTTTAAGGGTGGCTTGCTCACATCTCACATTCTTTTTTGTATTGAGAATAGTTGTCCTAATTTAAGGTACTTCTTAGCTTACCCTTGTTACTGTCCTTGGTTATGAACTTATGATCCACTGTCAATGACAATAGTTGTCCACTCCATTCGTTCATTTATTCTCTACCGTGCTTTGCCTTTAAAATGATATTATTTTCCCTTAACTTTTTGAACTACGACTTTTTTTGGCCTACAACTGGAAGTAGTCCATTCTATTAGTTCAACGCAATTCACGAATGAACTACTCTAATTAAGTGTTACAGATGGAAGAAACCCTTTATCAACCCTGTAAATGGAGCAAATATGATAGCAATGATACAAATGACTGTTAGCGTTGATTAATTTGCTGGATGTTTCTTTTCCTTTTCTTTGCCTTCAAACATTGTTCGCCTATACTTGATGTGCCATTTTGAATTGAGGACAGTTTTTGGATGTATGGCAGCTAAAGTCGTGTTTAGAAGAGTTAAGGACAAAAAGATTTTCTTAACCAAATGTGGCTATGGATGGTTTTGGCTGTTCACTCAATGTTTTTGTTAATGATTATGACAACTTTGTTATGGAAGATGGATGGATATACACCGCAAGGCAGCAATCCTCCATCTTTTGGCTTTCTGCCTATCACTCAAGTTTATAAGGAACTGCTTTATTTTCTGGAAGTGTTTGGATGCGAATGTAAAACTCTTGTTTTCTGTGTATAAGGTTTCTGACTCTAGAACTGCATGGCAATCAACCAGAAAAGCAGTTTAAGAAGGTCCTCAATGAGATGCTTAAAGGCTGCAAACATTTGGAGGTAAAAAGATTTAGATCATTGTCAATCATAATGTTTGATATTCATCATATACTAATGATCTTTCTCTTTGATTCACAATCTTCGTCTTTTTGCAGTCTTTATCTATCTTATTCAGGGGGGTAAAATGTGATGCAATTTATTTGATATCCAGTCAGCTGTTCCTGCCGAGCACTCTGAAAATATTAAAACTTCGGGAAGTGCGTGAAAGTGTTGTTATTCGTTTACTAAAACGAGGTTCTAATGATGATAGACTTCTGGAAAGCATATCTGGTTTAAGTGGTGCTTCTTCAAGTCAACCCCTTTGCATGTTAAGGAATCTATCACTTGTCTTGGATGTTATAAGCGATGAACTTATTCGCTGTCTCTACAATGCGCTTCCCTTACTAGTGGAGCTAAATCTGAAAGATAGACCATCCCAGCAGCCATCTTTGCCTCGTGACCTGAGTAATAATGGGTTGCTGCTCTTGAGTTTGTGTGAGCATCTCACCACCCTATCTCTTGTTCGAAGTAGATTGAATCATCCTGCATCTTTTGAGCACGTAAATGACATGGGGATTTTGCTGTTTGCTACTAACTGTAATAATGGTGCCCTTGAATCCGTTACCCTTGGTGGATTTTCTGCTGTCACTGATGCTGGTTTTGCTGCGATTTTGAACTCCTGCCGGAGTTTGAAACGATTTGAAGTTCGGAATGTACCAAAGTTTTCAGATATGACCTTTTTGGATAGAACAAGCGATCCGGATTCCCTGGTCGAATTGAGGTTGCTGTCATGCCGTCGCATAACTAGTCAAGCCATGGAGCAACTCGCACCGCATGCAGGCAAGGGCCGATTTACTGCCCCCACACTGATTTCTTGTCTTTTTGTATATAAATATATATTCTGTAATCAATTTGCCCCATTATAATTCGTTGTTTGTGCTAATATGCGCCCACTGAGTTTTGTCCTAACCCAACAACTGCGTGCAGGGTTGGAAGTGCTCGACTTGTCAGGATGCACGAATATGACAGACATGTGCATCAGCTACTTAATGTGTCTCCGTAAACTCACATCATTAAACTTGGCAGGGATTGATGTGTCAGATGGCGGGCTTGGCATTCTCGGAATAGTGCAATCCCCCATCGCGAGATTATGTCTTAGGGGCTGCAAGGCAATAACCAACAGGGGGATCTCTCTTTTACTGAAAGAAGGGGGAATTAGCAAGACGCTTACATCTCTGGATATCGGCCACATCCCAGGAATATCAGATAAAGCAGTTTGCATGATTGCTGCCTCTGCGCCAAAGATCAACGAGTTATGTCTACGCTATTGTTCTCTAGTTACAGATGCATCTGTGAGGATATTGGGCTCTACAAGGGGATGGCACCAAGACAGGAACATGTCATACATTCAGAGGCTTGACCTGGCCTCCTGTAACGTGTCGATAGAGATACTTAAACTGGCTCGGCAGCCTTTGTTCCCTAAGTTGCGATGGCTTGGTATTCGGCCTGCCGGATACACTTTTTCAGCTTCTGCCAGGGGTTCAGTTGATTTAATTCGACGACAGCGACCATGGCTATTCATTTGTTGTGATGGTCACGAAATGGAGTGTCATGATGAATGGCATGTCCATCACGAAAACAAGCTTGTTGAATTGGAAGAGGAGTTCGATGATGCATCGGAAGAAGAAAGTGATGATGAATGGGAAACTGACGAGGAATAGGAATGGTGAACATCACCTGCACCGTTCTTTTGTGCTATAATCAACTGTATCTTTCGATGCACATGAATAGAAAGGATTGTCAGTTTTCAGAGTGATCACTTGTGTTAAAGCAAGGAGTTGTGTAAGCTATGTTTGAACCATAAATTAGAGAACTTCTCAGAATCAATGCAGTCATGGATAATCACATGGACTTGTGAGATGTTTACTGATTCTATTGGAAATTTATGGAATCCAAACTAAAGAGAGAGATCAGTGTCCGTGATATAACGGTTCATGCCCTTGCATGGATTTTCTAGATTTATACCCAATAAATCAATGAGACAATTAGCACTTGAAGAGCTTAGTGGCCAGCCAAAAAGCTTCAGATCGAATTTGAGTTGTAAGTTGTAACAGATTTCAGATCGCCAAACAGTAGGTTGAGTGGAGTATCATTTAGCTATTAATTTCGCTAGTGATAACTCAAGGCCATTAGTAATTTCTTACATCTAAACATTCTACACAAGACTGCATCTCATTGCAACTTGCAAGTAAATCAATCCACGCACATGCAGCAAAAATTAATATTGTTAAAACTTGTACCCCCTTGTAAAAAGAGGAAGACTAATATGTATATACCACTCTTTCTTCTTGACATCAAACCTCTTACCATTTACGGCATAATAACAAACCCTAGCCATTACCCAGCTACAAAACAAAAGGATCCAACCACATCACGAGGCGATCACTTAAAACCCACAATAGGTCTCAGATAAAAGCAGTCCGTCCACCCCTGCGAGTATGCCTGTCATATGCCGTGTTAAATTTGTCGACGAGATCATACGTGGTCCTGTCATAAACACAAAAGATGAAAGTGATAGTCATCATTGCCGTTTTACAGATGTTAACAAAAGGCTTCAACATTTCACAGTTATATTGAAACAAATATAGCTCAAGGACATTAGGACCCCAATTTTGGTGTCGCATCATACCTAGAGCAGTTTGTAAGCATTGCCAGATACGTGACCAACAAAGTGTCATTGAACTCCTGCCAAAACAGAAGTTGTATTGAGTGAAAATGTGATTAACAACAAATCTTTCTCAACTTTGCCGAGGTATCCCTCTTGTTATTGTGGAAATGATACAGAATAAGCATTGTACCGAAGCCAAGGGAAAAGACTAACCATTAAGAAATCATCCTGAAACTTTTGAGACTCTACTGCAGGTAATCTCCTCAGGAGACTTGATACCTGGCGCAACAAAGAGTTCTCACAAGGTGTCTCGCCTGTGATAGAGAAAACAATGCAATTAATGATTCCAGTTTTTAAAAGTGTTTTATCAAAAAAGCTTGTAGTCGTACTCTCCACATGCCATCAATGTCCTAAAGTATTATACCCCATTAAGCATTTGAAATCCTTATTATCAACAAATACGGAAATAGTGACTCGTGAGGAATATTCTGCCATTATCAAATGCAGCGGCAATTCATGAAAGCAATAACATGTCAATTTAAATTTGACAACTTGAACAGCTTAAAGAAACCCCCCTGCATTCCCAATTACCACTATGCACCATTCTTTTTTGAATGAAAAATGACACCACTTTCTCCCAAAAAAACAAAGAGAAAAGAAGGTGACTAAAGCAAAAAGCATGTAATGATTCCAGACCTTAAAAACTCAGCTTTAAAATAAATCAAACGTCAAGGAGGTATGTAGTAATAATACCTTTCTGCATGGTAATAAGATGTTCAAGCAGCCATCTAATTCTGCTATTAAGCATCTTGATAGCGCTATGGATACCAGTGAGATGAGCAGCCACTAAACAAGTAAGAAGATTCACAAACATCAAATCAAGAAGAACAAAACAGCATTCATTGCTATAATTAGGCATATATTAATAAGGAAGAAGTATGAAGATTTAGGAAAGTTTACACTGGGTTGCAGCTGAGCCACCATCAGATGGTTTTAGGTGTGCAACGTGGTCAACAGAGATTCGTTCTGCTTCAACAGTCTTTACAGCAAAAAAGGTTAATAAGTCACCTTAAGATCGGGCACTTATATTTGATATACTAACATGAAAAGAAAAACAGAAAAAAGAGATAGAAATTACCATACCTCAATGGTGTAGCTAGCATGAACAAATATTAGCTGTGGGATCCCATCAATGATATGCAGCTCTTTGAGTTGTAACATAGATTCACATAAAAGCAAATGACAAAGATTAATAAATAATCATATAAACAGAATGAGAACAATAAAAAGACCATCCAACCAGCACGTTAGTGATACACATACAGTCTACTTTGAAAGTCCAATAAATCAATTTAGGGAAGGAAATGCTAAGTTCCCCAAATACTAACAAACTGAATGAGAACATAACTAGGGCTGTCAAAGTAATTATATTGTGTATGGCTTCTCAATGCAGTTACCCAATGTTGTAGAAAGAAACATTAAAAGGTACTCATCACTTAGTCTGCAATGCCACTAGGATTTACATCAATGATTGGGAAAGAAGCTTATCTCGAGCGAGCTATCCTGCCACAGTCCAATTTGGTCTACTTCTAACAGGAAACAACTATTGACTCATTGTACTACACTGTTAGCTACTTACCACTTTCATATATGTTAACCGGCAGATCCTTCTGTGAATGATTGATAGACGGATTTAGAAGAACATACACGGGGCTCTCGTTGATATCCATCAACTGTGGCAAGAAAAATGACGTGTCATAATAGTTAATCATGACAAAATCCAGAGAAGAGAATTCCGTTAGCAAGAAAATTTGAAAACTAAACCCTTAGCAGCTCCTCATGGTCAAATTGTTTCACCGCAAAGAGCACCATTACATTCACAATGCCAAACACATATCTACATCCAGTTCAATATTCAAGGCTAAAGCTAACAAAAATATGAGTCATGTTTCATGAAATACAGTTGGCAAATTCTGCCCGTAACAACAAAGTCTTGAACCCTCAACCCTCACTACATGATTCATAAACATTGCCATTGCAAGCTTTCAATTAGGGAGTTTGGGTGCAATTTTTTTTTGTCAGTAAACACCAATATTCATCAATTATTCAGCTAAATAAATATAGGAAAAACAAAATAAAATACGCATCTAATAAATACACAGGGACAAAAATAACATGGAAACTGACCGCTTTGTGAATGTGCATATCAGATTCTTGAGCATCGCTCCCAGTTGAATACCATCCAAGTATGTAAAAGTTGGGAAACACTTTCTTATCTACCAATTTCATAGTAGAAACACAAAAAGTCAGAAAATCGATTTTCTTCTTAATCGAGAAGAAAAAAATTGAGCAACAGAGGAAAGGCAACTAACAGAGCTCCTGCTTCTTCTCGAGGAAGACACGGTCCAAGGAATGTGTGACGGGATCATAGAGAAGTTCGAAGCTGTTAAAGATCTCGACAGTACGTCCTCTCTGGACGCCGATGACGCAACCGAAAACCCTAGGTGGAGGTGACGGCGCGGAAGAGGACGAAGCCGGGGCGGAGTCACCACCGCCGTTGGAGGAGGCATGAGAGGAGGAAATTTGGGGAGGCTGGGATTGGGACTTGACGCGAGTGTGGTGATCGGAGATGTTGAGGATCACTAGAGGGTGGAGCTTGAAGGTTAAGCCGCTGCTCGACGACATGGAGGAGGCGGACGACGCCATTGCGCACCGTGTGAGTGGGTGTCGGACGGTGGTGTTTACTGCGTGACTGCGTGCGCCGGGTTGAAACAATTTGGGTGAAATTGAACTTTTAGTCCGGGGGAGTTTGGAGAATGGCTTTTGAAGAGCAGGACGAAGGGTTTTACCTTTTATGCCTTTTATTTCACAATTGTCCCCCCAATGTATGTTCGACTATGTTATTCGATACCTCTTTTTTTACTTTCGTTTAATCAGAAAATCTTTCCTCTTTTTTTTTTTTGGTTCAATGAAAGAGGATAAACCGAGATGAATCAAATAATTACATTACGTGTGTGATAAGAAATAATGATAATGACGTGTGTTTTAATCACGATTTAATACCAATTAAAACAATAATTAATCGTCGATATTCACTAGTTCTTCGTTGTTAAGTATACTAAACTATTTAGAAAATTTTTAAAAATAGTAAACGGATTATAGAATACATATATTTTTCGTCCCAAAATAAAACATCGACCTAAAATCTTGACTTTGGGACAGTTTTCGTGCACCTATGTAGTATTATCTTGATATACTTTTGCTAAAAACAGAAAAATTCAAGCAACACTAAGTATGATTCTTAAAATAAGATGGATGCCAATGAAAGTTTGGGGATCATACCATAAAATTTAAAATCTTTTAGTTACACATTTCTAAACAATTTGATTTCACAAGTGAGTGACCTTGCGTGTCAATGGAGTTGGGGTTGCACTCAAAAATATAGCTTTGTGCCTTTTCAATACCTAACATACTTAATTTGAGTACACTATTGCGAAAGTTCTCCAAATAATAAGTGATTAAGATATTGTTAGTTTTTAATAAAGTTAGGACGAGAATTGCCGCATATAACTTGTCATTGCATGTGATCTTAGGGGTAGAGCTTACATGTAATACAATGACATTATTTAAGATTTACCTCCATTCGAAAATGATGGGTGAGAATTATATTAGGCATTAAGTAACATCTCTTGAAGGCTGACATAGGATAGCAATTAGGATAGACTCAAAGGGAAGAAACTATAAATACAACAAAATACAGGTCCTAACTCGGTAACTCCCTACAACCTTCGGTCCGGTTCCAACTTCCACGTTTCCATTTTAGTATTCATCGACAGTCCATGCCAAACCCAATTTTTATTTATTAATTTTTTGGTGTAAAACAGGAAAAAGAAAATCCCCCAATCGGCTAACGACCACAATTCAATTTTTTTTGTACAATTTTATGTTTTCCAGAAGAAATTCAATCAGAAAAAGAACCCAGAAAATAAAGAAAAGGAAAAAAAAAGTTCAGCTGAGCAGAGCAGACCCATAATAATCAGCAGCAGGAGTTCTTATCCCTGCTGCCCCTTTTGACCCCACCTTTACGGGTCTGCTCTTATTTTAACTCTTTCTTCCTCGATTTCTGTATATGTTGCTGATGATAATCATATTATCGTTGTAATTTTATTATACAATTCCTTCCCAAGAAATTTCTCCAAACTGGGTTGAAAAAAGTTCGCAACTTTCTTGCGCGTGATTTGATTGAGAAAGCAAGAATTTGAAGAGAAAGGAGATATGGCGATGAGGGACCTAGTTACGGGTGGGGCCGCTTGCGCGGTTCCGGGTTCATCTTCCTCATCAAATCCTATGGGTGCGCTCGCGAATGCTCTTTTGGGCTCTTCTTCTAAAACCCAGGTAAATACTACACCTATGCACTTGTCTTTCTTTTCTGTTAATTGGGTTTTGTTAAATGATTCAGCAAGCAAGGAACCTTTTTGTTTTGGCTTTATTGAATTAGTTGTGAATGAATAGTAATGATTGGAATGAAAATTTTTCCGTTGCCTTTCTGAAGTATGGTGCTGAAATTCTTTCATTTGATGTTGCATTTGGCTTATCCCGGATAGCTGGTGAGACGAGTTGAAAACCGTAGAATTGTTCACTCTTATAAGAGGGGAAGAACTAAAAAAAAGTTGATATGAACTGGTTAGAAGGACACCTGTTGATTTGAACTTAAAGTAAAACCTGTTGATGTAGTTGGATGGCAGCCATACGATGATCTATATAGTTGATCTCATTTAGTCGATAAATGCCAAGGAGGGTTGCTGTTATTACTTCAAAATTTGTATGCTTGTCCTTTGATGGCAACATTGGGATTGTTACAAGAAGAAGGTGATTTTAGGTTTCTTGCCTGCAACGTATGTTTTGGTTTGTGGTGCTGGCTTAGATGGCTTCCCCTGGGTTCTTCTCCATTTGGGTTATTGTTTTTAGCTGCTGCAGATTTAGTTGTGGTTGGATTACTAAATCATTTTACTTGCATGAGCAGGAACGGCTTCGAGAGATTCCTACATCAGCAACTCTTCCTTCTGATGGAAACGCATTTGTAGGAACCGGAGAGCCCTTGTCTGTTCTTCCCGGTTCAGAATTTGATCACCCTCCACATCCTAATGCACAGGTCGATTACTATTCTCCATTTGACTGTTGAGTTACTCCAGAAACATCAGTTACTTCATCTCACATTCAAATTTGGCAGGGTTCAGCATTCCTTCAAGGATTCCGGTCCGCCGATCAAAATGGGCTGGCTGATGTTTGGGACGAAATACATCAGCCTCAACAAATTCCTTATGGGAATGAAGCAGCCAACTTCCCTTCAGAGCGCCCAGGGCTTCAACCAGATATGAATGGTAAAATAAAGCTGAACCTATCTTACTCAATTGCTGTTCCTCCTCCTTAGAGATTTAAATTAACTTTTCTGACCAAGATCAACTTTATGTCTGATGTGTTCTGTGGCTTTTACGCTACTGATGTTAAGTAGCATATTTTTGTTACTGTTATATTGATCTTTCATCCCATCTACTTGTTGCAGGGCCACCTCAAAGAGTACTGTCAAGTTTTTTGCATTCGTTTGTAAATAGTAGCCACGGTGGTATTCCTTTTCGTCCAGCCCCACTTCCGGTTTTGGGATTGTCTGAGGGGGATAAACAATGTATACGAGATCGGAGTAGCATAATGGCTCGACATTTCTTTGCCGATAAGAGCGACGACTTCATTAATGCACAGGTTTTGATTATACTCACTTTTTGACTTCGCCGCACTTCTTCCACCCCCCCTCTCTGTGTCGAAAGGTTGTTGGAAGGCCTCGATCTTCTTTTCTTTTTTTGTTGGGTACAATAATGATAAAAGCTAACTTTGGAAGTGTAGTAGCTTGTGGTTGAAATTACTATCTGCTTAGGGATTCATGAATTTTTTTCCTTTATATATGCAAGCTGGAATATTTACTTTGTTTGATAGGCCATTGTTTTAGCTGTGTTGTGAGTCTCTGTGAGTACTAATGGCATCTGTTTATTTCAGGTTAATGCTTTGTTATCTTCGTTAGAGATTGATAATGATGTTCGGGCTAGGGGCCCGATGCATGGACGATACCGAGAGTTGGAGGAATATTGGAACGAGTCTCAAAGTATGAGGCCACCTATACCTAATGCTGCAGATGGGTGGGTTACTGAATTTGCTCATCATCATCCGGTTGGGCTTAGTGACCCTGGAAACTGGGTTCAGTCATTTGAACAAGAACACGGAACCAATGGATGGGCCTCTGAATTTGAACGTGTAAGGAATTGAAGTCAGTTATCTTTATTTTTGAGGACCAATATTTTCCTGTCAATTGCAAAAACTCTTATCACAGACAAGTAGGGTAATGTTACTCCTCATGTCCCAAAATTATTGTCCAGTTTGGATTTTCATTTTTAGTTCAAATTGTACTAAAAGTGAAAATCTAAACTAGACAATAATTATGGGACAGAGGGAGTATCAATTTTCTGGAAAATTTTACTTTTTTGCTGTGTGGCTGGTTTGTTTTTTTTTTTTGGTTTGATGGTTAAAATGCCAGCAGTCAATCTCATTATGTCTTCCATTGATCTGTGCCATGGCATTTAACCTCCAAAAAGTTTTTGTTTTCGTAAACACGCTCCTTAAACTGCTCATTTACCAGAGATAAAGCACAACACACATTTGCATTTTGCCTCTCTTTTTATCCTGAACATGGCAACTTTCTTTGTGCTGTCAATCATTGTTTTTAGTTTTTCTGAATGCTAGCCTGCTGTGAATTTGTTTCTCATATTATGTGCTTAGATTTGCTTCGAAATGCTACCCGGTTATGAAATTGCTCTTGGATTTGCTTCGAAATGCTCGTTAGTTGTGTATTTGTTTCTCTTATCTCAAGTCATCGTCTCCCCATTCCCTTTACGCACTCTTTTTATGTTTCATTTGGCACAATCCTTGCAGGAACAGTCCCAACTTTCATCATTGGACCGTATGAGAGGTGGGGTTATGCCTGACATGGCTGCTATGGAACAATCTCGCATGCTCGCTCACACTTTAGCTCAAAACAATGACCCTAAGTTTCAGGTTGGATAGTGCACTTTCAAACAGCCATATCCACTTGTCCATTTCATGAGTAGATAGCATTATTACTCAGGACTACAACCTAAATGTTAAATTATTTTTTGTATCCTCGAACTGGCTTGTTGTGGTTCCTAAAAAATTTATTGTCTTTTGCTTTATATTCTAAGAGAAATGGTGACTTAGGAAAAAGCTCTGGGATGTATATGCATCTTCTTATTGATTAACGATTTTCTCTTATTGAGAATGCAGAATTCAAAGTTTTTCCAATTTGTATCCAAAATGAGTCGTGGTGAGCTCAGTATTGAGGACAATCAATTTAAGGCATCATCATCAACAGCTGGGGATTGGGCGACAGAATATCAACATCAATATGGTAGTGGTGGTCAGACATGGGCGGACCAGTTCGTACATGAAGAGGTTAGTGGCAGCCAGAAAATCCAATTTTGTTTTTATTGAGGGTCAGGTTCAAGACCATGGCCTTTGCTTTTATCTGTAGATATAAATGCGTTTTACTATCAAATTTGGCAAATCTTTATTTTTATTTTTTTTTGACGAAGAGAAGTGACCTTGTCTTTTTAAGGCATAAATGCTCATTTACCTAGAAATGTAATAATTATCATAGGCATGTTCTGTGGGTAGGTATGTTTTCTCATTATCTTCTGCTACGATAACTGATACTTTCTGTTACATTGCTCCAATGGAGTAATGGAACTTCTTGGGTTTTTATTTCATATATGTGAGATTTTAAGCTTTGCTGTTTTCAGCTTTCTAAAGGACCTGATGGATGGGCGAATGAGTTTGCTGCCGAACGTGGGCAAATCGAATTAGTCAATGATGAGTGGGTGAATGAATTTTCTAAGTTACATGTTAACGACTGGGCTGAAGAGTTTGGGCAGCAGGTTGCTGAAGGGGCATTTGGGGATAGTTCTGCTGATAACTGGGCAAGTGCATATGATGAGTAAGTTTTTCAGTTGAAGAGAAAAATAAATAAAGTAATGGATTCATTTACACAATTTACCAGGAAGAAGACACTATTTCAAAATTTGATGGATTTTGTTCTTACCTGCCATTGATTTTTAGGTTTGTGAATGAACAAACGGCCTTGAAGCAGCGCTCAGAGAGGGGAGTATATGAGTTTTCTGATTTGAACCCTTATGTTGGTCACCCTAACCCTATGAAAGAAGGTCAAGAACTATTTCGTAAGGGTCTTTTGAGTGAAGCGGTTCTTGCTTTAGAGGCTGAAGTTCTGAAGAATCCTGAAAATGCTGAAGGTTGGAGGTTACTGGGTATAGCCCATGCTGAGAATGATGACGATCAACAGGTGTAGATTCTAATTGTTTATCTTTATAGTTCTGTTTTTGGCTTCTGTCCTTTCCATGACAAACTAGTTAATTGTGTTTTTCAATTATCTAGAATTCAGTTCAATATTCATGTTTGGTTTAGGCCTCATGTGGTTTCTTTTGACGGTGGCTGTTTAGAGGATTGTAGTTGTCTAATTAGGCTGTCAGCGTTCTTGGATGTTTCAGTTAAAAGATTGATTTTGAAAGTGGGAATTGACAGCCATTATTGAAAAAGGAAAATTGGGCAGATCGTACTTGTGCACATGATCACAAGTAAGAGCTAGGTTAACCTTTATTGAGATACTGAAGTATTTTTATTCTGTTACCAGGCAATTGCAGCGATGATGCGTGCACAGGGGGCTGATCCCACGAACCTCGAGGTTCTTCTTGCCCTTGGTGTGAGTCACACAAATGGTCAGTAACTTTATCATGAGTTTTTCTTTTTGATACAAGTGTAGGTCTGAGTCTAAACAATTGTGATTACCTTTCGTGACATTATTTATTTGTGCAATTTGACCACTTCTATAATGAGAGATCACGTATTTGAATTGGGTTGAATTGCATGTTTCTTGGAGAATGATGTTTAAGAATGTATTTGCGAACCTTCTCAGAACTGGAGCAAGCAGCCGCATTGAAGTATTTGTATAGTTGGCTTCGCCATCACCCGAAGTATGGAACAGTTGTCCCTCCAGATCAGCCTGAGAATCTTTATTACGGTGATGTAAGATTCATGTGATTATTCTTGATTTTGGGAGTGATACAATGTAAATCTAATTTGCTATGGGTTGGATTTCTCACTGGGGATGCTTCTATGAAATATGATGCTTTTTACAGGTTGCAACATATTTTAATGATGCGGCTAGAATGTCACCTGATGATGCTGATGTGCACATTGTACTTGGAGTTTTGTACAACTTATCTCGAGAATATGATAAAGCCATTGAATCTTTCCAAACTGCGTTGAAACTGAAACCTAGAGACTACTCTCTCTGGAACAAGCTTGGAGCAACACAGGCCAATAGTGTCCAGAGTGCTGATGCCATTTTGGCTTACCAACAGGTCAAGTTTCTTTCCCTCTTGTTGGTTTCTTTTTGTTCTGTTTTGTAGGGGACACTCATGAGAAAACTGAAATATTGATAATGCCCAATCAATGAAAATCCGACTTCTTAGTGCATGGTTAAGCTTAGTATAACACGCGTGGAAACTAGTTTGAAAATTGTTTTCTCTTATGAAGTATGATGGTTATTCCCTCGCTAGAGACTAACCTTCTGCCTACATTTTGAAGATTCTATAGTTGGTGTTAACTTCTCTCTTTGCAGGCACTGGATTTAAAGCCCAACTACGTGCGTGCTTGGGCGAACATGGGAATTAGCTACGCGAACCAGGTAATTTTGAGTGTTTCGTGTTATTTGTTCTTGTATCTTTTTATTGGATGCTTAGTCTTTATTCAAACTGTGGTTTACTCTTCCTCTCTACTTTCAAGCTTGAGTGTTTTTTTTTTGGGGGACAGCATTTAAGTAGAAACCAGTATCATCTTTCATGTAGTCTTTAGTTAATCTAATGATGTATGTATGTTTGAAGGGCATGTACGAGGATTCCATACGTTACTATGTTCGGGCTCTGGCCATGAACCCTAAGGCAGATAATGCTTGGCAGTATCTGAGAATCTCCTTGAGGTAATCTTTCTGTAATTTAAGTGCATTGCTCTCTTTTCAGTAATGTAAGCCGTTTCTCATTTGTCCCGCTTGGTGCAGCTGCGCTTCACGGAATGACATGTTGGAAGCGTGTGACGCAAGAAATTTAGATATCCTTCAGAAGGAATTCCCTCTCTGAAGATCTTTCACGTCTGTTTTGAAGCCTTAGTTTTGAAATCTCAAAAGTGGCTAGCTGTCATCGGTTCAGGGTTCGTGGATATTGCCCTGCCTTTCTCTGTAAATTATACATCGCTTCATGGCATTTCTTGATGCGGTTCGGTGGCAGAACACACATGCTCATGGTTGAAGTTCTTGTACATGACGAAAGAGAGAAAAATAAGAAAATAGCGCCAATTGCGTAAGCCTACTTATAAGGATCAAAGAATTGACAACATAATAAGGTAGAAGAAGATTAGTATTGTGTTTTGGAAGTCTGGAACTACATTATACTAGGACATGTATTCTGTATTTGTTTTGACAGTGGAAAAAAAAATCTGTAAATCTGGGTCTTTGATTTGATGTTGGCTGTTAAATCTATATACCAGTCTCACTCTTGGCAAGTGTTGAGGAAGCTGTGGGTTTTTGGTCAATTACCAGGATAGACTCTGTAAGTTCATATCTGCAGCAGATGATGCATTCTTTTGCATTTTGTTTCAGCAAATGATGTGTGCAACAAAGACTAACAATATCAGTCTAACATTTGTAAAATACAAAAAAAATTTGTGGTTTCTTCTACTCTCTATCTTGGGGATAGTTCACATAACCATACCATCCTTTTTTTCTTCTGTTGGACTTGGGTTACCACGCAGTGGTCAAGAATCAAAGTGGTTGTATTATTATTGCTCCATCTGAAGCTTCCGTCCATATCATTCATTGGAGGGGAAAAAAATGTAGAGAAACATCTGTAACAGGAAGAAGAAGAAGAAAGAGATGATGTAACTAGGTGTGACAGTTGCCATAGACAGCTTTTTTAGAAGTCGTGATGGACGCAAGAATTTCTCAATCTGCAATCATTTTGTCCTTGAGTTCATCAATCTACAACATTTTCCTAGGGTCAATCTCTTTCTTTGATTTTATTTTTTTTTCCTTTGGCTACAAAAATGGTTAATGATCAGTGGTGGATGAAATGAAGGAGATTTCATTTTATTTTTAGAGTAAAATGTCAACAAATTTACGCTAAACTTTGAGCATTTTCTTCAGGAAAAGATATCAACAGTTCAAGGACAACTAATAAAAGATTTAAGGTTGTATTTTATTTTATTTTTAAAAAAATCTACCGCAGTGAATCTCACGTAAATGTGAGTAAAACTCCCCTTATATGATTATTTTTCTAATTTTTATGTCTATTACAGTTTTAATTCCCAATCTCTAATTCAGAAGTCTTTATCATTCAACCGCAACCTCTCATGTGAGAAGGAATATATTTTCATATATTCACCTCGGAAATTTTCCCATGTACGTACGTAGCAATGTAATAAAAATTGGGCATAAATTGGATCGCAATAACTTGTCCAACTGAGGAAGTAACGTAAGAGAGAAAGAGCCCCACAAAAAAATATTCTGATCCTAAAAAACCAAACACCAAAACACAACACACGAGCGAGGAGACCACATTACAAGACAATTGAGAAACTCAATAGCCCCAAAAGAAAAGAAAGGAAAAGGGAAAAAGAAAAGAAAGTTGAAAAGTGCCATTGACATCTGCTATACCCATCTGTCAGATCAAATACGACCTAAAAGCAAGAACACACACACACACATTTCATTTTCAAATTCGTCATGTGCTTAGCTCATGAAACAAACATTTGGATTGAATTAATCTTTTTTTTTTTTTTTTGCATTACAAAATTGTTAAGTCTAGCTATAAGTCGACCATCTAATCATTTTTTCTTAAACCAGTACTACTGATCAATGACTAAGGAATTTTCTATATAAAAAAAAAAAGAATTATGACTTGCCCCAATATTCTTGTTTTCCTTTTTCGCTTTTTGGAATGTTGTACTCGATAGAGATTTCTTTCATATTATTCCCTCCGTGACATATATCCAGATATTCCTCTGTATTGCTTTTGTCCCTTAAGGTATACAATATCCAGATTCCCTATATATGTATAAATTTCTGGAGGTTAATACATGTGATATAGATTGATAAAAGACAACATATTAGTAGCTTTGTAACGAGATTCATCATTCATGATGTTTATTACTCCACTTCTTTCTTCCCCGTACCATATGTTCATTTAGAGGCGTCCGCCAGAAAAAAGATAAAAGATCATCGTAAAAAAAATAATTTTGTCCTTTTCATTTAGATATAGACCGCATGATAAAAGATATAAACTGCTGTAAAAAATACCATTCCACCTTTTTTATTTTTTTTAGTCCAAAACGAGTGATTCAGAGGTAAGGAAAAAAATGATTAGACTTATGAAATTCAAACTGAAATAGGCCGAGTCGGCAGAAATACCATCCGGAATTGGTTGAGGCGACGCTCGTGTCGTCCTGAACTGGCCTAGACGGTAGTTATGACGGTTTGTAAGTCCAGGGACGTCAGCTGTGGCGGCTAAAACTGTGATAGCCGCTGCCCACAATGTCCAAGGCAACACGGGACGTTGGGGCTACCGTCCCATTTTGAGCAAACCGGTGTGTCAACCGGCTCGCTTATCCTGGGCTGGTGTGGCCGGCAGCCCGGGTAATTTTTTTTCTATTTCAGTTTTATTAATTATCGCATCATAATTAAATTGAATAAGATTCATTTAAGTTATTTATTCATGCAAATCTATTATTTTATGTCATTTTAAGTTTTTTTTATTTAATAAGAGTAATTAGGTATTCTATTAATAACTTGTTTAGAGTATATGTTTGGAATTTGCAGGATACAGATGAAAACGAAGATCATAGTGTTTCTTTTGACACTAATGAGATATTCCAATAAGAGGATGATGCTATTTTGCGCGCACAAGAGATTGCAATCAGCAATAGTTTTGAATTAGTGAGAGATTCGCAGAAGGACAATGGGTATTTGTTGAAATGCAAGAAGGGTGGTCGGTACATGCCAGAGAGGTACAGAGATGGAACCACTAAGTGCCGACCAAATTCAAAGACCCAAGTGACTGGGTGTAAATTTGAGGTGTTCATCAGAAGATATAAAGAATGGCCGAGCGATGTGTACAGAATCTGTCCAAAGACCGGTGAAAAGGCGGAGCACAATCATCCGATGATACAACATCCAGAGGGCCATCGCCAGATGAGTAAGCTGAGCGAAGAAGTAAAAAAAATGATAGAAGACATGTTTGCGGCGGGAGCAAGGCCGATTTACATTCTAAAGGCACTTCAAAAGGAGTATCCAAATGACCATGTTATGAAGCGCCAAATTTACAACTACAGAAATAAACTGCGCAAGATAGGGTGCATGGTACTTGATAGCACGGGTAGCTAACATGACTTTTTAGTTGGCCCAGGAACACAACTACATAATTGTGACAGAGTCAGATCCGAATACAATGGCCTTGACCCGGGTTTTTGTGGCGCACCCTGAATCAGTGAGGTTGTATAGAGCGTACTACTTGGTCGTCGGTATGGATAGCACGTACAAAACCAACAGGTACAAAATGCCTTTTTTTGAATTTATCGGGATGACTTCGTGCAACAAGAACTTTTTTATTGCCTATGTTCTGTTGGATGCAGAGACTGCTGAGAGCAATCGATGGACGTTGTTACAGTTGAGGCTATTACTTAGAGATAAAGAGCAGCCAAAGGTTTTATTCACTGATCGAGAGTCAGGGTTAATGGCACTTATCACTGATGTTTTTCCCGAGTTTACCCACTTGTTGTGCATATCCATATCCACAAAGATGTGAGAACCAAAATCCAGACTCTCTACGGTGACACTTTAGTATTGCTTAAAAAGTTCGAGGAATACAAGTGGTCAAAAATTATGAAAGCTAAAACTGTGGAAGCATATGAAGAACAAGTCAGAACCATAGAGCAACTGTAAGTCTTAATAAGTTTTTTTTTGAATAATTCTATTTTTTTTTGAAGTAGAATATTTGGTTATTAGTAAGATTGAGTACTTTCTTGGTATTGCAGTTATAGTCCTTATAAGGACTTACTTACATATGTGAAAGAAACATGGTTACCGCACAAAGAGAATTTTATACGTGCGTGGACGAATAAAAAATTGCACCTTGGGAATACGACAACGTGCAGAGTTGAGAGTGCACATAATACACTAAAGAATTGGATTAACTCGCCAACAGGTGCTATTGAGACGATTTGGGGAAAGGCGCACAATGCGATTGAGGTGCAACTAATTGAAATCAGGTACATAATGCCTTAATTTAATATTCATGTGCGTATCTTTAATTTTTTTTTTGATTGTTAATATATTTTTCCTGATTTTTTGTCTCTCAGGAGAACACTAGAAGAATCACGAAACAAGAATGGAATACCATACCGTGGTTATCCATTTTATCACCTCAATTCTGTAGTTTCTCACCATTGTTTGCAAAAGTTGCACAAGGAGTATGAAAAGATGCAGACAAAGGGAGACAAGTTTGTATGTGCTCATAAGCTGAGATTAACTCATGATATTCCTTGTGGCTGTGAGATGAAGGTGACAGAGGATACGGGTCTGGCGATTCAGGTTTCTGATCTCAACCCGTTTTGGGCTAATCTCAATATCGACAAGAGTCTATCAATACTAGGCCTGATGGATAGTCAGATGATCAAGTCTTGTTGAAACATTTGGTTGGTGAGGTCGAGAATGGAGACCCATTGGTTATGCGCAGGGCGAATGTTTGGCCCTATGATCAAATTTACCCAGATAGAGGGCCTTTGAAGCAACCGGAGAAGAAGAAGAAAGGCAAGGGGCGCTCGGAAGGAAGCAAGAACAAGCCACGTGAACAAGTCTATACTCAATGGGAATTTTGGCAGTCCGAGGAGTTTCCTCAAGGCAAAAACCATTTATTAATATTTTTTATGATTTTTTTTATTTATATGTCGAACACTATATATTGTTTATTAATGTTTGATAATGTATTTTTCACGTTATAGATGTTGTACAGCAAAACATTTACGAATATGGTGACTTAAGGAGAATTGTGTTTTTTATGATTTCCTACATTACTGGATATGTTGATGTGGTGGGTGATGAAAACCATGGATTCCGCATTATGGCAAGCCATTTCTTTGGATCCGACATCAATGGCATAACGCTAGAAGAATTGGCGTAGATGAGCTAGAGGAACGTCCAGATTGTACGATTTCTTCTTCGAAAGGGACATTCCCAAACATTTTCACCGCATACGATGGTATGAGAGTCCTTGTTCTGAAGCTCATTACATGATTACTTTTGTGGACTTATTCTTGTATGCAACTCGCTTCAACATTGTTATCTTCTTGTACGGGCGTGGAGTAAGAGGTCAGAATATGAATACATCATCGAGCATTATATTGCCCCTCATCGCTCCCAGGGGCCCTAATGGGCCTTTAACCGGACCTGTTCGGGAGATTGCCACTACTCACTTAGGCGATTATAAGCATTACACTGGGCTAGATTTTGTGAGTTCAGATTCTCCAGTTCAGTCCATACTTTATCACTGGGTTTAACCACCGTGACACTTCCGTTATTGGTTGGGAGCAGCCATATCACAAGAGAATAGATCTTTGGAACACTTTATGTCCCGTTACTGGACAGACACAATCCCCTCAGTCTTCTCCCTTTGATGTTGAGTAGAGTACTAGTTATCTATGAATTGGTGTATTTGAGATTGTAGTCTAACTATTATTATATTTAGCTCAAAATGCATTCAATTTGTTTGCAGTTATATATTTTAGTTGTAATGTACGATCAAGTTAAAAAAAATAATTAAAGAACACATTCGCAGGTCACAAATACAACAATGTCTAAATTCAAACATAATTAAACAAATACTAATAAACATGGTCCGAATTAAAAAACAAGGCAAAGTAAAAGACATCAACGCGCCTGGCTCCAGTGAAGAATGAGATCATCATATTCCTTCTGTAATTCCGGGTCATAATCGTCATCGGTCACCCTCAGCTTGTTGATAGCTCTAGCAGTAAGGTCGGACCACTGATTTGTCCACTACACAAACAAGAATAATTGTTATATAATAACATTTAATATAAACTTAATCAGGAAAATATTAAACAACTTACGTATTGAACACTAGCGCACGATGGAATAGAGTTGACTATCGAAGAACCCTCATTCTCGGCTAGAAGTTTAGGATGAGAATAATGGTAGAACCAGTCAAGATAACCATCAGCACATGCTGCCTTCTCTGAACGAGTGTACGAGCTCAGAATAAAGCATCCTGACGATGGGAATCTAAGCCAAGCATTACCCGCATATACTTCAGAAAACTCAACCTTGTAGTTGTTGCCACTTATCGGCCTCAATGTAAGTTGTGGGACGACAATCGGCAAAGGAATTATTTTCACATAACCGAGCTGTCGAAGCACGCGATCTGGCATGTATGGCTCAACAACATTCCTGAAAGCGAGCCATCCAGTGAAAATTATTTTAGGCACCATCTTGTACATATCCTTACCGAATGGCTTCCACACCACCTACAAAATAAAAAATTATTTATAGCTATTATAAATATTTAATAAAAATTAAGAAAAAAAACAACAAAATCAGAAAAATTAAACTTACCCCATCCGGGGATAAGTTGTCAAGGTCCTTCCCTAACTTCTTTAATCGCACCTCTCCCTCTACAGCAGTACACGCGGCTGGCTTCTATTGTGCAGCTCTGAGTCCATTGCCCACCTAGTGTGGTTTATGAGGCCGGTAGATCGGGAAATACTCATATATCCAGGCTAGCAATAGGGCCAAACAACCCCCCTCTGCTTCACACCACCTCTATTAGCAATCCCTAACTGGTGGTAAAGGTATGCTAGAGTCACAGATGCCCAGGAACGACTTGAAACACATCAAACTCATCAAAAAGCTAGTGCAACAACTGTGCATGTATTCTGCCGCCCCCTCCCTCCCCCACTCTTGTTAACAAACAATGTAGCACTCAACATCATCCACATCTAAGCAGTGGCTTGTACCTCTGGGTTTGTGCTACCCCGGACTCGGTCCTTGACAAATGACTCTAACATAGCTCCACTCTTATAGTTCGGGGGTTTCATATCTTCCGCAGATATGTTCAAAAGACTCATACACTGGTTCTTCGCTGTTTCCCACTTGGGATCGTCCGTCATCATCTCTCCCTCCACAGGGATGGACAAAATGCACTGGACATCATGAAGCAGGATGGTTATCTTCTCAAAAAGCATGTGGAACGAATTCGTGTCTGGCTGCCATTGCTCCATGAACGCACATGCTATTTGGACGATGTCCATACCGTCCAAATTGGTGGTCGACGGCACAGGTGCCGTCTTTGGCTTCTTGGGACGTCAGGCCAGTCGGCCGGCGGCTTTTCAGATGTCACTGTCGCCGGCCCACCGGTTTTCAGATTCAAAAAAATAAATTTCAGATTCAAAAAATAAAAAAAATCAACGATTTGAGAAAACTTACTCGTTCCAGTGGATGTTTCCCGTGACGGCGATCTCTTCTGGCCATCGATTTGAAGTCTACAAAGATTGAAGATTGGAGATTAGAGTATTTGAGGTTGAAAGAAATTGGAGATTGGAGTGTAGGGTTAAAAATTAGTGTTTTAAAGTTTGAATTTGAATTTTAAAATATAAGAGTAGAATTAGAAGTCAACTTTTGATCGATGGCAGTCTTAATATTTTTCCTGGCGGCCTTTAAACTTCCAGTTCATTTAATATTCGACTTCCCACCAATAAAATTGGACTATAATTAAAATGAGATTAAGGGGTTGAATGGTGTAATGATTTCAGGTAGAAATGTGAAGTCATAAAGAAACTGAAGGAAGACAGATTCCAAAAAGGAGTAAAAAAATGTAGAAAAATGACAAAAAAAATTAATGTAACAACACCCGCATTTTTTTTTTTACATACAACAAAATAGTGGATTCCTTTCTGTGACCTGTAAAAGAAGCCAGTGAATGATTCCCTTAGAAGAAATACTATCATGATTATTAGTAATACTTTTTTTTCCCATTTTAATTTTTTTTTCTTTGTCCCAGTGTTTATTCTCCTGTTTGATTTGTTCATGCACGAACTTGCTATCCTGAATTTCTCTGATCGAGTAAATCCAGATTCTGGACAAGGACCAAAAATAGTAGTGGGTGGACAAAGGTAATAATAATATCATATACAATGTTTAATGATAAATATTCTTTTCTGGCTTTGACTGTGTTCCCTCCAACTTAAACAATTGTTGTTACCACAAACCTCGTATCTGGAAAGAATCTTCTTCCTCTTTTTTTTTTTTTTTCTTTTTCAGATACACTTGCATATATTCTTGCCTGTGCTGGACATTGGATTTCATTGATCAATCAGAAATGCAGATTTCTGAGGTTGCAAGCGTTGAAAATTCCAGCAAATACTGAAAATCATGGTTGTCGTCTTTTTTCTAAAAAAAAATTCGCTCTTACTAACTCAACCAATGTTACATGTGATTGTTCTATACAGACATGGCACGTTTTGAAAAGAAATATATGATTAATGAGAAACATATAAAGTACTTTGTCCAACTAATTAATGCTGTTTGGCATGACAAAATATTACTCCAAAATTCTGTTATAAATAATTTTTATTTGTATTTACAACTGAAAATCATATGTAAATATCAGGACATTAGAACACGAATGCACAATGATTAGGGCTTGTTTGGCCAACCATTCATTTTGTATTTTGTCTCATTTTACCTCTTAAAACACATCTCAAACACAAATCTCAATACTACCCAAACAATTTTTCAATTTACTTTTTATAATTTATTTCAAACATTATTTTTACATCATTTTTTTACACCACTGCCGGCCCACCTCGCCGCCACCGCCACCGCCACCGGACCGTTGCCGGCCGGCAACCGGCCTGCGGCGGTGGCGGTGGTGGAAGTGGTCCGATAGTGATCTAAAAATATTATTATTTTTATTTAAAATATTACACAAATAACTTTTTAAGTTTTCTCTCAAACCACATTTAAAATCACATCTCAAACCTAAATTAAAAATTAAAGCAAAAACTAAAACAAAATATAGGCAAGTTTACTCTCTCCCTACCCAATGCATCATGTCAACTTTTTCTTTTTTTTTAAGTCCTCTTTTTTAGCAGAAAATACAGTAGGTGAATATTGCAGGTGAAATAACAAGGAAGATCATCTAATAATTGTTTTTTCTTGGAGGAAGATTCTTCGTATGAGAGTAAGGAGAGTAAAGGGGGGAAAATAGTTAAAAAGGTTGGGACTTGGTAAAATGTCAAATCCAGAAAAGGGAGCAGCTTTTTTATGCTTGCACTCCAAATTTATTGAAGGGACATGACACTTGCTATTTTGCTCATCCCTTGAAGGCAACTTTTTTTCTTCTTTTTTTTCCCCTTGAAAAAAAAAGGGCATCCCCACTATTATGTTTTTATAAAATGAGCGAAAATTGGGAATTCTTCAACACATCCTCTCTTCACTGTTTGTTTCTTCTTTAGTGCTTCCTTTTTGTTTACTATCACATCCATCCAACAGTTGTGTTTAATTTCCTCCTTTTAATTGAGGTTGTTTTATCATAGTTTATTTTTAATATAACACATACTGGATATCTAAAATTATTATTCCGACTAATTCATTGTTAAACCCAGAGTGAACCAGCTGCCTCAGTGTTCTTTTGAATGGAATAGAAGTTCTGTTTGGACCAAAAATCTTGGACAAAATTGTTGATATTACGGGGAAAAAAACTCTTACCATCATCATTATTATTATCTGGAACAAGAAAGCGACAGAAATTCATGGGTTGATGTTGATGGGGTCAGTGATCAGGGTGTGATTAATCAGTGTTATCTCTTCAATATCAGTTTCTCCTTGTGCTTCTTCCATCAGTCCATCAGTGTTAAAACATTAGTGGTTTTCCCGTAGATTCTCTGCAAAATAGTCAATCTTTTAAGAATTAATTACTTATTAATGGGGGGAGAAATTAAGAGGATTTATTTTAGATTATATGGTGGAACTTACATTTAATTATTACTGTTTGGAGCTGATTTATTCTGTCCTACAAAATTTGACAAAGGCTATATATAGCTAGCTAGTTTCCAGCGTTTTCTTCCCAAACTTTCATATGGCCTTTTCTGTGTCTCTGTGTCACAATCATGAACGAAATCTTGGACATAACAAATATTTGTAGATTGTAACTAATGTAGATCCATCGACTTTCACATATTGTGTTCTGCTGCTGTCATAGTCCTTAAGATAAAATAATTTGTGTAAGTAGAAAATACTGACGTCATCGTTATATATGTTTTATAAAAAAATAGTAGTACAGAAACGGAAAAAAAAAATCTCTTATGCAATTTGATAATTACAAATAGAACAACAAAGACACTGTTGACGTGAAGGTGTGGTAGCAAACCAGTTTCTCGTCTTTATTATAAAACATTTTGCTTTGTTCTGAATTTTACATAAAATGTATTTTCGATTGAAAAAGAAAAATTTTTAAAAAATATTTTCATATCTATTGTATTCTCCTAATTATTAGAAAATATTTTGAAGTCTATTTTTTTTTTCAATTAAAAAAGCGTATTAGGTAAAACTTTGAACAAATCAAAATGTCTTATAATAAAAACCGGAGAGAGTAATTATTAAGGCCGGGAACAAAGGGATCTAATGAAGAAATGGGGAAAGAATTCTTTTTCTTTTTTTTCCTTCCCTAGGTTCCCTCAAAAGGATAACAGATATATAGGATTTTGCTAATGGAGTGATTGAAAAGAGATGCTTTATTTAGGATACAGAATATAATGCTACCCCCATAAAACGCTACAAATTGCATTAATAGCAATATGCATTTAATTGATTTAGCTAGAAAGTAGTATACAATGATATATGCCTCTCTGCTGCCTAGCTAGTATACTCACATTTGATTCATCTTTTGCATCTGATCCCAAGTAATCCATCAATCAAAACAACTATATCATTTTCACTTTCAGAGTTTCAATGATCTGTTATCTCAAACTCAATTTGGGACTTGGGAGCTTACATTTCTGCTACGATTGACAAGAAGCTACAACATAATCACCTTCCGAAAAGATTGCCATTTCACATAATTTTTTATCAATAAACACAAAACACGACTCTGTATATATTTCACGGATATATTATAATCTTTCACATATTGGAATTTGGACATGTTACTCTAATATTGAAATTTGGATACTTTACGTGGTTTTTGATATGTGAAACGTACAATACGACCTTGTAATGTGTTTTTGTGTTAAGTTGACTTTAAATTTAAACCTCACGCAGTAAGTTAAGGGCAGCTTCCAAATGATAGTGATATTTGAGGAGAAATATTGTCAAATTGGGATGGGAAAAAATGCTGGCAATGAGCAAAAGCCAGAAAATCAGAACCCAAAAACCACAAAACTGAAAGACAAACAAAGGAAAACCGGTGTGTGTTTTTGTGTGTCAGTGTGAAAACCATACTTATATTCGTAACCTTAATAATGAAGGGGGGAAAAAGGTGGGTGGGGGTGTGGGGAGCTTTCGACACATTTAAGGCTTTGCGTGTGATTGTATTGTATTGTTTTGTGCACATCAAAGTCGGTTTTTGGTGTATGGAAAAAACTATTCCAAGTGGACCAAATTTCAGGCATATGTATGTTAGACACACACATGCACAACAATGGTTAGGGTTTCTAATGCTAAAAAAAGCAAGTGAGAATTTTATTCATGATGATGTATAGAGTGATGGGATGGTTGAGAAATGAGGATCAACAAACATGTTGATAGAGTGTGTTTTAGTAGTTCATCATTTTCAATACTTTCTTAGTCCTTATTCAGTTTTCAATTTATGCGTTGTAAATATTTTTTTACTTCACAAAGTGTTGAGGAGTTTGTCTAGTTCAACGAACAGAAATTATTCTTCGAGGCGTATCAATGAGTTAGTTAATCATTGAGAACATTAAGAAGATAGAGCAGCCATGCTTTGGCAATGTATATATTGGATTTGCATGCTTTGAGGGAAGAGGTATATGAGATGAACTATAATTGTATCTAGTTTCGACCCTTAAAAAAAAGTGATTTGATTGTTCTCTACTTGTAAAGAAAAACTTTTCATCCAATTGTGACACTTCACCTTGCTTGCCTTCATATATATATATATATATATATATATATATATATATAAATGTGCGTGTGTGTGTGTGTGTGATGGATCAATGACTGCTCATTTGTTAGAGGAAAAAAGTAATGGTATTCAATTTTCAATGATAGAATATTAGTGGTAATACCAAGCCCACAAGTAGTGAATGTACACCATCAAATTCCCTTTTGGCATAATTCCAACATCAGTTTTGTTAATCTCTCTTATCAATTAATAACGAATTTTATCTTATAAAGATTCCTATATTCCAAACCTATCATCAGCAATGCAGCAAACCTTACATGTATATGTCATGGACCACCACGGAGAAGCATATATGATCTGGCCCTCCAGACAAATGAGGAAATTTTTAAATTAATAGGTGAATGTGTGATTCTTTTTGTGTTCTTTTCATCAACTACTATTTAATCAATAATGCAATGGGTTTTTAATTAATTTCTGATAAAGTTTCAGATAACACGATTGACTGCATTAGAAGATCCGAGTTCGCGTACGTCAAAGTGCCAATTATTTTTATGATCCGAATCGGTCATTAGAAATGGAATATTGAATTTATGGATTTCAAATAGTCCAAAACACACAAATGAATGTGGCCAACTGATATATTATTAAACGGTTAAAGTATTTGTTGGAAGGATTGAAAGAACCCCGACTCAAACATTGATAAGTCAGAAAATGATTTTGAACACCATTTTTTTTTTCTTTTTTTAGCTTTTGACATATTTGAGCAAGTGATCCAAGTAAAACTTTCTTTCATACATCTTTTGTTTTAAAATTATTGTCCAATTTAAATTTTCACTGTTAGTATAGTTTGTACTGTAAATAATATTTTAAAGTTCAAACTGTACAATATATAATTTCGGAACAGAAGAAGTATAATATAATAAACAAATGAAGAGCGCTTAAATTTTGTGGACCTTGAGGTTTGAGATATATGTTTTCTTATGTACTGATCCTACTACTAATATTCCTTCAACCCCCTCTTAGGTATAATAGTTTCATTTATTTTATTAATTAGCTGAATCCTCCAATTCATTTTTTTTAATAACAAATAATAAAAAGGAAGCCCATCAAATACAAACCTAAAGTATTCAAAAGTTGTATCAAATATTAATGTTTTCCTCTAAAAATAATAAAATAAATGTGTGTTTGTGGACAGGGAGCCTTGGGGGTTTCCTGTTTCTTATTGCACCTAGCTATATGGAGATAATATATACATCTTTCGTGATAGACACTAGTAATTAATATTATAGGACAAACAGCACATTCTCTGATATTAATCATAACAAATACATATGTTTGTTTGTTTGCACTATATTTTAAAGACAAAGAAATATGCCCCTCCCAAAAACAAGAAAAGAAAAACTATATACCTAGCTAGTAGTCTTCAACCCCAACAAAGTCCACCACCCCCACCCCCTTTTTCCTACTACTACTGTTAAAGCATTAAATTTTGAGATGCCAAATGAAGCATCATCAACTCCCCTTTTTTCCATCTCTCTCCTTCTCCTATTCCTCCTCCATAAAAACAAAGAAATCCATAAAAATGATTCCTTTTCACCCCCTTCACTCATCTCCCCATAGCTAGGGTTTCTTGATGAACTTCATTTCAGCATCATAGCTTAGCCAGCTAGTTAGCTAGATACATATATCCATTCTTAAATTCTTGCTTAATTTTTTCTAACAGATTGGTTTTTGATGATGTTAGGGTCATCATTTGCTTCATCATCTTCCCATGAAGATCATGGCCAAGAAGATGATCCACCTTCTTCTTCCTCATCAGTGATACCATATCATCAGATTCATCATCATCAACTTGGCAGCTTGATTAGTGCTAGTGCTTCTTCTCCATCAGCAATCCATCATAACATGAGGCAATTACTCATCAGCTGTGCAGAGTTAATCTCCACAAGGCCATCTGATCTCACCTCAGCTCATCGCCTCCTCACCATTTTGATGGCTAACTCAAACCCTCATGGTGATTCTACAGAAAGGTTAATCCATCACTTCACTAAAGCCCTCTCCCTCCGCCTCTCCACCACCACCACCACCACATTCTTCATCACTCCTCCTCCTCCTCCGGCCACCACCACCACTTTGATGATTAGTACTACTACAAATAATAATACTCATCATGATCGTCATCATCATCAATTAGCCTTTTCATCTAGCACTAGTACTACCAGTATCATTAGTAGCAATATTAACAGCCCTCAACAACAACAATATTTATTAGTTGAATCTTCTTCATCACCAGCAGCACAAGCAGCACTTATTCAATCATCATATTTATCACTCAATCAAGTAACACCATTCATTAGGTTTAGTCAACTCACTGCAAATCAAGCAATCTTGGATTCTATCCAACAAGAAGCCATTCATATCCTTGATTTCGACATAATGCACGGATTGCAATGGCCTCCATTTATGCAGGCCATCAAGGAGAAGTATCCACAGCCAACACTTCGGATCACAGGCACCGGAAATGACCTAGAAACCCTCCGGAGAACTGGAGACCGCCTCGCGAAATTCGCACATTCGCTGGACCTAAGCTTCCAGTTTCACCCGCTTTTAGTCCCTAATGATGAGGATGATCCAACTGCACTTGCTTCATCTGTGGTTCTCTTACCTAATGAAACTCTTGCTGTGAATTGTGTCCATTATCTTCACCGGCTGCATAAGAATAGAGATGGGGTGAGGTTTTTCTTGCATGCCATAAAAGGGATGAATCCAAGCATTGTAACCATGGCTGAGAGGGAAGCAAATCACAACCATCCACTCTTCTTGCAAAGGTTTGTGGAGGCATTGGATCATTATGCAGCTGTGTTTGATTCACTTGAAGCAACTTTGCCACCAACAAGTCGGGAAAGGCTGAATGTGGAGCAGGTTTTGTTTGGGAGAGAAATCATTGATATTGTGGCTCAAGAAGGAGATGGAAGGAAGCAAAGGCATGAGAGATTTAGGTCATGGGAGTTGTTGTTTAGGAGCTGTGGGTTTCGCAGTGTGCCTTTAAGCCCTTTTGCTCTTTCTCAAGCCAAGTTGTTGCTCAGACTTCATTACCCTTCTGAAGGTTACCAACTTCACATTCTTGATGATTCTTCACTCTTCTTAGGTTGGCAGAATCAACCCCTTTTCTCAGTTTCTTCTTGGAGATAGAAATTATATAGATAAGGTAGAGATATAAGGATTGTTGGGTATATGATTCATCTCTGACTGGTGGCAATCAAGCTAGCAATATTAATGTTGTTTTCTTTAATCAGGAAAGCAAAACCCTAACCCTAGTTTCAAAAAAGCCTGCCTTAGCTGCACGAGACATGCAAGAGTGACTTGGTGGGATTATAGGAATTAATTGGGAAGAAGAAGAGGAAGCAAGCAAGCAGGTGCTCTATCATGAACTGCAGAAAAGGTTATATTTTCTTGAGGAGGTCTTCAAACTTAAAAAAACAAAAACTGATGAATGTTTTTATTGATGCTTTTATATATATAAATATACTAGTTTGCTGTAGTTAATAGTTTCATCCACTTCTTTCAGGGAGTCAGTTGGATTAATTTCATTAATTACTATACTTACTTCTTCCTTTTTTTCAGTTAGTTAATGACCTCCACCTAATATATTCCTTTGTTGTTTTTTGGTTCAAGAGATGAAAGATTCCCAGATTAGGGAGCTACCCCGGCCACTAGTATTGATTAATGCCCATGTATGTGTACGTAGTACAAACACAACATTGATTGTTGTTAATTAATTCATTAATGAAATTCAATGGTTGATGATTTGATTTGATTTGATGTTCCATTAATAATTATAAATAATTTATAAAGTGTGGAACCACCATTTTGCTCTTTGAGAAATTCTGTTTGTCATCTTTGCATTACTCATTGGATGGTTGGGTTTGCTTTAATTTCTTTTGCTTTTCTGTAGTCCTCATATATAATGCTTCCCCTACTTTGTGATAGGATGAATAATTGTAAGACTAGTGTTTAATTTACAAGGGGTACAAGAGCATTTAGGCCTTAACAGTGTGCAGAAACACAATTCCAGAAGTTCTTTTGTATTTTATCATTTTTCAAGAGGGATTTTTTTGAGCTAGCTTAGGAAAGAAGAAGAAGCCGGAGAAGAAGATGAAGATGAAGATGGTATATCTGGAAGTGCATGAAGGGTCTTGTTTTCTGAACCCAAAAATTTAAAGTCAAGTACCCGCATATATGTGTTGGCTTGTCTAAGAGAAGTGTTGATAAATTTGCCCTAAAATCCTGCCTGGTTGTCCCCTCCTCAACAAAACCATCAATTTTCTCAAAACCATAGCCTACCTTGCCCCCCTTCACCACCAATTGCTTGTTTCCTCAACGGACCATAATACACAAATCTTTAATACATCTCCCAAAATCTTCTGCTTAATTTGGCTTCCAATTCTACAGTAGTATGTATATATGGGGAGGATTCTCTCTCGTGTCTTGTGGTTTTTCCCTTAGGACCCACACTTACTTATAAGGAGTACTTCTGTGTACTACTTACAAATAGTTGTAGCTTCTCTCCTTTGTCTACCATGCATTATTTCTTCTCCTTCTCAATTTATCCCAACAATTTACAAAAATCTGCATGTGTGTTTCGATGCAAATATTCTGGGTTGAGTATATATAAATATATAAATAAACGTCGTGCATGCGTATATAGCTCCACCTAATTGATATCAGTTTGTTCAGTAATGCTGCTTTATTTTCTGTGTTGCACAGAGAGAGAGAGAGAGAGATAGAGAGGGATAACTTTTATGACCATAGTTTTCAGCTCCATAACTAAAACCAAAAGAGAGGATCATTAGCCAGAGCTATATAGTAGATACCTTATTATTCTCACCAAATAATCTCTGAATGTGTGTCTGTGTGTATGTGTGTGAAAGAGAAAGAGAGAGAGAGAAGGTGTATGTGAGTAAGCTATACATGTTGTAGCTTTCAGCTACATAATATAGAGTATAGGGTGTGAGAGATAGATGGATGATCAGTCTGAGAATGATGGAGATGGTTTTTACTACATATTATTATTAGCTTAAAAGCACCTTCAATTCCACGCAAAATATCACATACAAGTCATCAGCATCACTTCAGGTCAGAAATACAGAAGCAGCCAGGATAGACCGATATGACTAGAAGCCATCTCTCTCTCTCTATATATATATACATAAAACACACACACACACACACACCATTTTATATATATATATATGTGTGTATTTTCTGATCATTTTTGTGAAAATGGAGTTGGTATTTCTGGTGACTTTAAGTAGTACTAATTTGGTAATAGATGATGATGGCTTTTGCTGAAGTAGTAATATTTATTAGTAGTAGTAGTAGTATTTGACACTTCATATTTCCATCCATCCATCCATCTTTCTTACATACACTTCATGCATGACCTCATACCTAACATTTTTGGCCTGCCTACTGCTTCCCTATTACCTTTACCCTACTATATATTCTCATATTATTATTTGAAGGGGAGAAAAGAAAAAAAAAAGAAGAAGAAGAAGAAAAAACTTCGCACTAATTAGATCCTTCAAGTTGCAAGGTCTTTTTAGGGTTTTCAGTTTACAATATGGATCGATGCATTCATCATAGGAAAAAGATTAAGCTAAAATGATTGAGATGTATAACTTCTTATATCCAAAATACGTAGTTAAACCATTTACGAAGACACACAATCATTTTTTTTTGACGTGGGACGAGATATCACATAAAGAGACATGGTGTTTAATGTTTGTAGCTAGGCCGTTTAATTAAATATAAAGCAGTACTTGTCAAATTATCTTAAGGATTTAATATTATTGAGGCAGGAAGGATGGAACATTGTTTAGTGGAGTGTCATGATATACATAAATACTGTTTGGCAAATGGGAAAAATGAGCCCAGAAAAAATGGTGGTTAGGGAAAGGAATCTAGGGACATTTTTGAAGCCAAAGAAAAAAAAAAACCTTCAAATGGTTATTGGGCACTTCAAGATCCTTTGCTCCTTCTCCTCTTTGCTTCCTCAAAGTTAATATTCTGCAATAATACTTCGTGCCATCGCATCCTCTAATCTATAATTAATTAATTAAACTTTGTTGTACTATCTCTGTGGAATCTAAGCTAGCTAAGGCCAATTAACACCAATTTTTAAGTTGGATTTGTCACTTTTTAGTTTAGTAATCCAATGATGATTATTAATTATTTTTAAAAACAGGGTCATCGATCAAGTTGATTGATCCCAATTGGCTACATACAACAAGGAGGATATTCTTTCATTTAGCTTTTATTTTAATATATATATATATATATGGTGACAAAATAGGGGGTTAGTGGGCATCTCCTTCTATCCCCAATTTGATGCCACTTTTTACATCAACTCCACATATCCCAAAAGAAAAGAAAAATCCCATTAACTAACTAAATAATTAATTATTGATTTATTTATTTAATCAAATGTATTGTTTTGTCAACCTTTGTAGTTGTAGCGGCCACCTTCCAAATTCGTGTGCATTTGTCTACGTATGTTGCATATTAAGGAAAGTAAAAGGCATAAATTGCGTCTCATCGAGTTTTGCTAATTTTTCTTCTCTTTTTTTTTCGAGTTTTGCTAGTTATACTATGAAGCTACTTATTTGAATTACATGCTTATTTGCTCATTCCAAAAATAATTAAATTATGTTTTATCCGTCTCAAAATAACTAGTGTGCTTGTTATTTCCTCATGTCCTAATTATAAAGCACAAATGTAAACTATCGCTAGTATTCATTTTTATTCTATATTTAGGATCACAGGAAGCACTTTATTAGAGTATTAATTTACAACAAATATAATAATTATTTTATAAGAAAATAGATATTTTTCTGTTCTAAAATAATTATTCAGTTAAATTTTCACTTTTAAATTTTCAGTTAAATAAAAGTGAAATTTTAAATTTGACAATCATTTTAGAAATGAAGAGAATATATATGTTAACTTTTGGTTAAATGGGATGAGTAATTTGGTAGCTGCATCCTAATATACATACACTAATGCGTTTCTGTATTTCTCCGAGAAAACATCATTACACTTTACGCAACTCGGTTCCTTAGAAACATAGAATCAAACAACATTTGATTTTCCCACACATACTCATTTGTTGTTTTTCATTAAACTAATATAAGAGCGTGTGACTTCATTTCGTTTAACTTAATTTGTTTACTATTGAATTATAGCTTTAGATATATACTAACACAAAATTGACCAAAATAAAAGGAAAATAGGGAAATGCACATAATAAGGGATAAACCAACAGACCGAAGAAAAAAAAAAACTAAATGGAGATTAAATTGCGAATCATGCAGTGATTAAATAATAATAATAATAATAATAATAATAATAATCTATTCTTATTATTATCAAGAAATTCTGAGTTTGATTCTCCACTCTAATATGGATTTAGAGTTTACTTCCTTTCTATCAACAGACACTTACCTTTATTTTTTCATGAATTCTTCTACTGATTGACTATATATATGTGATGAAGTTGACAGGAGTAGTTAGCAAGCTAAAGCTAGGTCATGATGAATTACAATACATAAAGTACGTGTGTGCACAAAAAAAAAAGTTAGGAAAAAACAATAATAATGAAATTAAAGGATTAGTTCCGACATAGAATCTTTGGTATTTGAAAACAGGATTCGGCTGTGGGGGAAGATGGTGAATTTCGATTTATATAACCTTACGTGCATATAGAAATCTGGAGTATATTCCAATTTCCATGGAAAGACAAAAGTCATAAAACAAAAACAAAACCCATATATACATAGTGTTACTGTGGGATAGAAGATGTACGTACGTGCGGGGATTGTCAAATAAAAGTTCGTATATATAACAGTTGTTGCAAGTTCCCCCTTGCCTCCCAGAAAAAGAAGAAAATAAAGGGGAGAAAAAAAAAACACGCACACACACAGCTGTGAGGCCCCGGAAATTGATTGGGAGGGGGTCGACTGATTATCATCTATCCATCAAGGGGTGGCCATATAGGATTAGGGCTTGGCAGAAAATAGTATCGAAACCTTGATCTTTCTGTTGCATTGTATCTATCGATCAAACACACTTTTTTACGCATCAATTCATAGATCGATCCCAGTACATAATGGACGGCTAATGATCATTATTCATTAAGCATATGTCAAAAAGTAAAATCATCTAATTTATACACACATATGGTTCTCTGGTACGTACGTCTTATTTATTCTTCCCACAGTTCAAATGGTAAAAAACGAGACACCAAAAAAACAAAATAAAATGAAACCTGAAAAAAACGAGACACCAAAAAAACAAAATAAAATGAAACCTGAAAGGAAGCATTGGGATGAATGAAGAGAGGATGATCGATGCAAAATTCCCCAAGGGGATCTCCTACATTTGATGCTTCCAAAATTCACATGAGTACACGACCATTGCAATCATGATGCTTCCTTCATGAGGCCTATATGTGCCTTTTCTCTCCCATACTACCAACTAATTCCAAATTAAAACCCAATATAATATTTCAGTCCCTACTAATATTAACCCCAATTATAATATAAAACATCTAGATACATCCACGCGCTCAAAAAAGAGGATTAAAAGAAAAAGATTTTTCAAATTTTTAATTTCCTAATATCTTTCTTAATTTTCAGTCATCATTAATCATATCCATTCAACTTCCTATTCCAATTTAAAGACGTCTCAAACTAAAAAAAAATATGAAAAACAAAATATTCTCTGCAGCGATTTGGTATCGAAACATCTTGTCGGCGGTATTTTAGAAGACGGAATCCGATTGTGCATCAAATCTCGTGAGTTTAGTTGCAATATACGCTGCTGAATATGAGAATTACGGTAAGATTTGAGATTTTTCATCTGTTTTGTATTTTGTCCGGTGAATTTTATTTGAAATTCTCAAAATCTTTGATTTGTAATTTTGAATTGCCAGTTCAAACCCGTTCGATGAATTGTCAGAGGTTTATGGATTTAGATCTCTTGCGAAAAAGAACAAAATTCAGATCTTTTGAATCGCCAGAGGTTTATAATTGAGTTTTAATCTCTTCAACAATTGATGTGTTTTTTGATTGGTTTATGTAGATATAAGGTATGTGCATTTGATTATAGATTTTTGTTCATCATTTTTTAAGTTTTCTTCATCGTTCTGTTGTTAATTCTGAAAAAGACTAATAAATCTGGACATTATTCATTAGTTCGTATTCGATATTCATCTTTGAAACTAGCAGATTCATCATAATAATTGTGTTATTAGCTAGTTATTCATATTTAGATTTTTGGTCAGGTTATGTATATCTAAGGTCTCTGCATTTGATTATAAATGGTTGTTCACCAATTTGTTAGATTTGTTCATCCATTGGTTGTTGATTTTGGAAAGGTTCCAGATCTGTTCATTATTCATCAGTTACCCTACCATTATTCATCGATAATAAAGGGTTATTCATCATAATAATTGTGTTATGCGATTGTTATTATTTTTTCTGTTAATAGTTATTCATATGAGTAGATAAATGGAACATGTAGTATATTTTGGTCATATTTATCTGTAATATTTAGTTATTCATCTAGCTGTATGTTCAACGTATTGTTCGAATGACATATGCATTTACATAGATAAAGTTATTCATCGTTAAAACTATAAGTATTCCTTCTAACGAATTTATGGTCCTAATACACTATATTTTCTGATTTAATAAGTAAAACACGATAATTCATCATCCCTATCAATGTATTCATCATTGGTGAAATAGTTATTCATTTAGTATGTAATGGTTATTCATCATATTAACCTGACATGTTATATAGTTTTAATGGTTATTCATCATTTTAAAGATGATTATTCATCTTTAATATCCTTCTTATTGATAATTAACAGAGTTTTAATTGAACGTGAAATCTCACATATTGTAATGCTGTTTTTGTTTAATCAACGGTAAGAAAATGCTCATCAAAATGAACTCGATCGGTCGCGAATCAAATATTTAGCAGAGTTGCTGAAATCAAACAATCAACATAAACGTATCGAACATCGGCAGATCTTTCAAGACTTTATATGTTAAAAACAATGACTAGTTTTCCTGTTCAATTTTGATATAGTATACTACATAATTAGAATTTTGTTAACTTAGTTGCTAACATTATCTCATTGTAAAATATATTTTTGTTAGTTTTCATGATCAAAATTATTCATTCTGTTGTGCATTATTAATCCATTAATGATATATTATTCATTTATTAAAATACAATTATTCATCTTGCAAAAACTACATATATTCTTCATTTTAATATTGTTATTCATCTAGGATGAGATCATTATTCATCAAGATTTACATTATTATTCATCTTTGTGAATATTGTTACTCATTCATAAATTTACTTGTACACATATTCAATTTTACCAAAAATAAAATCCATCATTTTTAACAAAAAAAAAATCTTATGAAATAAAATAATATAAAAACTAATAAGATAAGTATTAAAAAAATCAGTTTGAAATTAAACGTGTGCTAAAAAAATAAGGATAAAATTTAGAGAATTTAATGTGCGTATTATGTCTTAAAATCCGGACTAAAAATTATACTTGTGTAGAAGAAAAGTGTATTACACATACCTATAAGGTATAACTTGTAAAATGTACATAGGTACTTGTTATTATTTGTCATATTAACCGTACTAGTACTTAATAAATGCGTTTTAATGTTTCCGGATACGTCCGCAAGTTAAATTTCAAGAATGTTCACAAGCTTGACAAGGCGGTGACAAGGAAAATAATAATAATAAATAAGAGAGATTAAATAGCAAATAAATTAGCCACACATACTGTGCACATATATATACAATGTAAGTTTCTCATCAAAATTATAATGGAAGTTCATAAATTTTGAGAACAAATATTATTTCTATCAATACTGATGTAAGTCCATAAGTTTACGTTGCATGGCTTTAAAAATCATGACTTACTCTGAAGTCTGAAATGCTCCCAGGGACATCAGAACTTTGAATTTGTTAACTAAATATACGTTGATTCATTACGGTATTACTCTCTTTGTCTTAATGAAATAATCTATTGTGCCGTATTATTTTCATGCAACGGGAGTAGGCTGCTACAATCAGGGTTCGTAAAAGACTTTCTAGGGGACAAGTAGATTAGATTTTCTTGGTCCTCCCAAATCCCAATGTCTCCATTCAAACCCTTCTCCGTGATAAAACAATCAAATCAGAGTTCTGACTTCAGAGCTAAATTGGTAAAAAGGATCAATTAGTAGGTTACAATTTACAAAATCAAATTTAGCTGTTAAATTCGAACCATCCACACTACAGGCCCAAATGTTTCTCTTGGGCCAAGCTTAACTATATAATGCAAAACCAAACCAAACTGCTTTTGATTCTAGTTGTGTTCTTTTGGTTATTAGTTGACAGTTGTGTTCTGGAACTGTCTGATACTAAATACTCCGTATCATAATTATTGTCCAATTTTAATTTTCATTTTTAGTTCAAATTATTTCATCCTATAATTATTGTCCAGTTTGAATTTTTATTTTTAGTTCAAATTGTACTGAAAGTAATTTTTAGTTCAAATTGTACTGAAAGTAAAATCTCAAACTAGACAATAATTTTAGAACAGATGGAGTACATTATGAAAATCATTCAAACTGGACAATAATTTCATTTCAAGAAGGATATAAAACACCAAGATTGAGAATTTTAATTTAAAAAAAAAAAAAACAAAGAAAGGAAAACATTTACAATGTTCTTCTCTACAACCACCAGCACCCAAAAGCTATTTTAGCATGGAACCAGAACCCTTCCCCTTCCCTTGCAACAACAACACAAGTATATAGACTGCGATACTGAATCTGTGAATCAAAAACCACCCATAGCTCAGATTTAATTTATCAGCTTTGCCATCGTTTCATTACTTAGGAAAAGATCCAACCAGTCAAACTTTTTACATTACAATCTGAATGGTGGATTTGACTTACTAGGCATCAAATCAATCTTTAGCTGCTATCAAAAAGGTAATAAATACTCTTTTTTAAGTCCACCAATTCTGTCACATTCATATGGGTGCCCTCCAACCAAAGCAACATTCAAGCTTGATATTTTTCCCATGATACAATTCAATCGGAAAAGATGATCATAACCACTTCCGCCAGCTGGCCGATCTCTTATCCATGGACAGGAACCTAGGAAGACTCAGAAGACTGTTAACCCTTGTAATACCTTCGAGGGCTGACCATTCCTCGTCTTCGGCTGTGGACAGGCACTCGGCTAGGCTCCTTTTAGACTGACCTATGCTCTTATCTGGAACCTGCTTTTCCTCTACTACAGGTTCAACTACTGGTTCTATCTCGGAAACATTTGACGAAGCTGCTTCGTTCGCAGCATTTGCTGGAGATGATGCTGACATGTCATCATCAGTCACACTTGAAACCTTTGAATCTGAAGTCGTAATTGCTCCTGATATGTCACTAGTCGCACTTGAAAACCTTGAATCTGAAGTTCTGCTAGCATTCATGAGAGATTCTGAAATATCGGGAGCATTGGCAAACATTGTATCGCCGTTTGCAGCAACTATCACTACCTCTTGGGGTGCTATTGGCAAATCATTTTGTACTTCAGCTCTGTTTGAGAAAGCCAACTGTTCCAAGAAAAGGCAAACAACAGCACAATCGTCGTTCTTTGATGTAGGATATTTGAGCCTCCAAGCTCTCGTAGCACAATCAACAAGAGCTCTTGCTGCGGTAGCACGACTTGGGGCCGAAGCCACGACATCGACAGCCTCTTTGTTAGATAGAACATCCCAAACCTGTTTCAGCACACGTTAATGCAGGTTCATCAACATAAATAACAATCACACAACAAAAAAAGAGCAGCCTTTTGTAATCCAAACGATATCAACAACAGATACAGGAGTTTAAAGGTCTCAATATTCATATTTTCTGTCACTAGCTATTAAAGTAGCTACATGAGACGAGAGAGTACCCCATCAGTGGCAAGAACAACAAACGCATCTTTCTCAGTTATCCGGTGATAGTACACATCTGGGACAGAGATTAAACCAAAATCCTTGAGACAGAAATCTCCAAATGCTCTTGCCATTGCCAAACCAGGCGAATCACTGTTAGGCAACCAGACCCGTGCCACCTCTGGCTCATCTTGCAAGGCAAAAACCCTTCCTTTATATTTCTGTATCCTAGCAGCTTCTCCTGAATGCCAGGGTAAAAGCACAGATTTCAACTCTCTTGAACTTTCAGATGTTTTGTATGTGAAGAACTAAAATGCATGGAATTCATTCGATGCTCATCAGTTTGTGTCGATAATTGAGAGGGGAAAAGAGAGAAAAATACCCGGAAGATTAGGTTTCAAGTCCACAGTTAACTGCACAGCCTTCAAAAAGTTATCTTTATCTCTTGTAGCCAAAACTGCCCTTGAGTCGCCAACATTTCCAAGTACAATATCTTGGCCCTTCAGATCAAGCAATAAAATGTACTTGGTTAAGTCTACATTCCTTAAATCCAGGACAACAATGAATCTACCAGTGACATAAAGCAGAAAATCAAGCATACGGCTGTAGTGCCCTCCTCATATGTAATGATGCTTTTATCCAATATCTCAATGTTCTCCAGGAAAAGAAAAATCCAGAGGATCCATATAGAAAAAAATTCAAAAAACCTTATTTGAATATACTGGAAATAGTTTGAATCAAGCATGTGTAAATTGGCTTTGCATTGAAGTTTCCCAAACAAGGATCATAATAGTTGTTGTGCCAATATCTAAATCAATAGAACCTGAACCTATAGATACGAATACTTTAAATGATAGCAAGGTACGCAAAGTGGATGATTTGGTAACTGGTCTATTACTTCTTCTTCACAGTTTTTTAACATACGTTTCCATGTACAAAGTTAAAGATGATAAAGAAATTAAGGAGCTCATTTTACCTGAACTACCAAAGTAACTGCAGTCGTTCCACTACAAAAACAGTCAATTGTAGGATGCAACTTTAGTTCCTTATCCATCAGCTTAAAAGCTTTTAAAAAGGACTTCTTCAAAGGCTGATGGATGTCGGGGAACTTGACCGTGGCCTCATTCTCAGTTGGTTCACAACAATTGTCATCCAACATTTCATCGAAATGGGTGCTTCCATTCGGAGTTCCATTCTCAGCTCCACAATTTTGATCACTATTGGATGAAGACTCCCATTCCTTCCTCAGCAAAAGAGGAAGGCAATCTCTCACTTTCCTAGCTACCATATGTCCATATGGACCGTGACCATCAAATACCCCACAAAAGATCGTATCATTTCTCGAACAGAAATCCTGCTAGTACAAACAATTCCAAGAAATAAGTCATAAACCGAGCCCAGTAAGAAAAAACTCACTCTAGTTTCATCATTCATAATAAACACTTAAAAAGGAACAAAAATCTCACAAGCGAAAATCAATTATACCAACATTTTCCAACAGCTAACAATTACCCCAGCAGAAAATTAAACAAAGTACAACAATTTTGCAGCCAGGGGAGATATGGAGGCAGGGCAGATAAGGGATGTGTGACTTAAAATCCCAACATTAACAAAGCTACGGAAACAACTCATGATAATAACAAAACCATGACCATAGATTCAACAGAATTACGAATTTAAGGAAGAAAGAGGAAAAGATCACCTCCCAAACAATCATGGCATCCTGATTGGTTCCTTTCTTGCCTTGCTGAGTATACAAGCTGGCCAAAGCTGTAGCACCATTCCCAAATAACCTTCCCGGAATCTGATGCAGGGCACGCTCCTCCGCCGCCGCACCGCCGCCGCCGCCACTTATTTTGCTGATAAAATGTGCAAAATCATTAGACCCACTAGTAGTTTTCCGCAAATCAATCACCCCGCCACCAGCTGCTGGTTCATCGTATTTACTCTTCCACTCCCTTTCCCTACTCCTTTTCCCAGTTGAAGAATAACAAATGCCCATTCTTTTTTCCCCAGCTTTTCGGTATAATATCAAAAGGGCATAATAAAAGTATAAAAAAGAAGGGGTCTTTTTTAAATTTCTTCTACTTCATCAAAGAAACCCATATGGATTCACTCCAACAATTTCCTTAAAAAACCCAACAAAATACTAGACAATGGAACAATATCTAACCAACCCATCTAGAAAAATAAACAAAAGAATATAAAATTGTGAAGCTCGGATAGAGATATAGAGCGAGAAGAAGGAGGAGGTGGGATTTTGCAAATTGCAAGGATCAGGACCATCAGGTGATGAGGTGCGGAGGTGAGTAGGTATGGATTTACTACCAAGATTATGACTTTTTTCTTTTTTTGCGATTTCTTTAATGGGATTCTTCCTTTTGGTACTGAAATCAGATTTCAATTAAGAAAGTGTAAACGGTGACCAAGTGGTGAAATGCTGATGCTACTGTTTTGTAGTTGTGAAATGGGGAAAATGGAAGGTGGCCCCCTTTCTCACTCTGTGTGTGTGTGTGTCCTTAACTTTGTTCTTACAGTTTCAAAGTTTTGAAAACTGTCTGCGGTTTTGTTTGGATTCTGCATTTATGATGAAATTTACACTTTAACTCCTTGATGTTTTGTGTTTGTACCGATTCTGTCTGGATAGTTTCCGAAATTCATTAGCAAGAGTGTGCCACAAATCAGCTTTTTCTCTTTTAAAGAGGATATTGTTACACTTTTCTTTCCTTTGGTGTTGTTTACTAGTCATTTTCAAATAGTGACTCAAAAAAAAAAGGTAAGATCAATTTGTTTAGCAATAAACTCTGACAATGAATTACTTATGATGTATTTATCATCTTGTGAAAGTTATTGTAAAACGCATCTTATAATTTTAATAAATTACCTTAAACTGCATGAACAATAACTCATTTGATACTTAAATTGAACTATACAGGCTTGCAGAATGAAATCTTTTGCATGTTTTTAAGAGTTGTAATGACAACACTTTTTGCCAGAAAAAGATGAAGTAAAGTTATCAAAGTTATTAGGATCGTTTAAAGAGCAAAACAAATACATATCTTATCTATTCACTCAATTAATTATTTAAGGTCCTTTGAAAGAACAAAAGTAACAAAACTAACAGCATAACACTTCCCTACCATTCTTTCTAGTACAACAATTTCAATACCCTTAGTTTGAGGCATGATGAATAGTCAAGCTTGTACAAAATAATTCTCACACTCTCATAAAATAATATCAAGATTCGAGAGTACTGAATTCAAATTTGTAACACATAATAGTTAATAAAATTATTTTTCTATACATCTATCTAACTCATCAAAATAGAGTAAACGGCCAATGAAAACAAGTAACCATTCCAATCTAAAAGTTGTATCCAAGTTTGTTATACTAATAAAAAAAAGAATTAGAGTATAAATAGTGAATTTTTTTTTATTTATGCATATTTTGATCAATATCACAATTTATATACGTTTTAATATCTCTGATTTATACTCTCCTAGGGTTGTTGATGCCCGGTGAAGGAGGCTAGTGTACAGTTTCAAAACTTGAAAATGGGAAAAATAAAAGGTATAATTGTGAAAAGCTAGAACACTGAGAGAGAGAGAGTTAGGATAAACTCTTGGGGAGGTGAGCGTAATAATTGTAAAATGAGCTCTTTACTATTTTTTAAAAGGAATAAAATTGGAAAACCGACCTAGTCAGCGTGACAACACAGCGCACACGTGATAAAATTAATACACTCATCAGTCATCCAGTACTTATTATATTTATAAAGTTTTTACAATGGAAAAGGTAAAAAATAGTTTCTGAGGTCGATGAATTTTGAAACTGGAGAAAGGAACCATGCAACCATGAAATTGTTTAATTCCAAAGTTGCACTTTGCAGAGGTCAACTTCAAATTACTACTTTATTTACCATTTTACATTTTTATACTCCCTCCGTCTCATAATTATTGTCCAATTTGTGTTTCCATTTCAAGTTCAAATTGTATTAAAGTTGAAATTCCAAACTGGACAATAATTTTGAGACGGAGAAAGTTTTTGGTAAATCACGTTAAGGCTTTGTTTGTTTCATTTTTTTGATGAATTTTTAAAATTAATATATTAATAACTGTTCCATCTCAGCATACATTTTTACATTTCCAATACACCTTTTTACATTCCCAATACAAAAAACACCTAAAAACGCATACTAAAAAAAACATACCTTAAAAATTATGCTGCTTTGTTGTTTCCTTCAACTACGTACCTATGCTGCTTCTTGTCCTAACTCCTCCATTTCACTAGTATATTTCTTCTTTTCAACATAATGTAAATATTTTAGTACAAATTTTAAAATTTAATTTGGACAGAAAGAGGAGGTGCTAATCAAATGGAGAACTCGTTACAAGAAATGATTCTTTCTGTTGAGAAATGAGAGTTTTGTTTAATGTAAAAAAAAAACTATGTATTGGAAGTTTGGAACAAAGTAATAATGCTTGTTTAAGAAACCTACAAATATATAGGCCACTTCATTTTATGATTTATCATGTATCCAACCATTAATTTCATATACTATCTTTTTTGCGTTATAGTTTTTGGTGTTACTTCTGCACCTTCATATGTCATATTCGAGTAATTCTGGCAGTAAATATTCTGATAAAATCCGACACTGTTCTGTGTTGGTTTACTTGTAAAAGTACAAGCAGACAGAACAACAACATATGTACACACTCAAACGATAAAAAAGAGGTAAAGTCGCACAATTTTTAATACTCCCAACATATTAACTAGCTAGCTATATAATAAGTAGTACTAGTATATACCACAAAAGTGAGAATCTGTTTTTTCTCTTCGAATTTTTAATACGTAGTATATAACAGTACTATTCGGCTACTTCTATCAAGTTCTTTTCCAAGAAAATTAAAAAATTTACCTCATACTAGTTGAAGATTTAAGTATGACGATTTGAGTTGAGTATCTCGAAATAAACCTAATATCATGGTGAGATATACACTGTCTAGGATACTCCGACCCAACTAGGGGAATCCTATGCTTGTTCACAGAATGTGATAGAAAGATAGATAATACAAACATAAAAACTATTAAAAAAGAGAGAAAAACCCCAGTTATGTGATTCAATCAATGTGGTTCATGCAATTGTAAACTAATATATTTTCCTTTCCCTATTTTTTATTTGATTTTATTATACCCTTCAAACTTCTTCTTCCCACCAATTTTTACATATAGAATCGTGTTAATTTTAATTGAGTTTCACAAGAGATTTGAAACCCTGAATATATAGCACCTACTATGTACTTACATTGATTTCTGTGACTAAATGATTTGGTTTATGATCTAAATTACAGTTCTTACTTTGAATCAACTCAATTATTAAAGCGACGACATTACAAAAATTCTCAAAATTAATAATATGCATTAAATGTATAATGTCAAGGCTCTAGAGGAAGAAAGTTTGAGTGGTGCGTGCAACCATCAATCATACATGTATACCCCATATGGATGGAGAACACAAAAATGGAGTTAATGGCTTTTTTTTATATTCAGCAGAAGGAGTTGGGTCAAATGTGGCCCGTGGACCAATTGTGTTTCCCTTGGTAGGTAAAACCCAACTAGTAATGTGGCCCATCAGAATTCAGTGCCTTTCAAATAATCAATTCTTCTCCTTTTTTTTTCACAAAAAAAAAAAAAGAAAAGAAAAACCCCACGCTGGTCGATGGACAAAGAGAAGGAAGAAAAAGAAACGAAAAAAAAATAAAAATCAACTAAAAGGATTGTAGTGAAACGGTAAGAACTCTTCTAAACTCTTCCACCCTTAATCATAGATCGAGGGTGCAGAAGAAAGAAAACATCAGTGTGGCAGAAAAGTACTAAGGGACAAAAAAAAAATAAAATAAATAAAAAGCGACCAGTTTAGCTTATAATCCAAAAACGACTCACATTTTATCCATAAATTTTATAGAGAATCTTGAAATTTTAATTGTAATTATTTATTCACACAAAAGAATTGAAAACACTCCATATGGGATTATAATTCTAATTCTTGGACATCTATATTTATCAACCAAACACAAGAATTAGAATTGGCGGGTAGGCAACCATACATAACCTTAGTATTGCACAGTTCAACATACGAACGATGATCCCCGTCGATTTAGTTTGGGAAATCCTGAAAAGGCTTCCGGTCAAAACCTAAACCTGATTCAAGTGTGTCTTTCGAATTTGGTTATCAATTGAAGAAACCTGGAATTGTACCGCCGGCTTGATAGTGGAACTTCGGCGAGGGTTTCCTACAAAAGGGAACCTCGGGAGTCTCTCGAGGGTCGACACTCCGATACTTAAGTTAGAAATAGGGTTATGAAAAAGTGTATATACGGTAATTGGAGCTAGAGATAGCGTACCGTTATTATGGTGTGATCAACCCTATTTATAGGCATGAGATTACCTGGTAGATGTCAAATCCTACTAAGTTTCATATTAAGGAACCGCCTCTGTGAAGTCGGTTGGATCGTAATTGGTGACTGGGCCGATCCAGTGCTCCTCGGTGGATATGGACTCATCAAGTGTTCCTGTCAAATATTAGTTGTATGAAATAAACAAGACTTAACATAAAATAATTCTAACTTGGATTTGACCCAAAGTGATTGGACAAGTCACAGCCCATCATACATTGAGTAGGCCTGATAGGATTGTTCGCGGGTCAAGATCCAAATCGGGAAGTCGACCCGCTTCAGGATCCCGCCCAAAACATCAATCCGCGCGTCTTTGGTGGGCACTTTCCCCAAACGACGGCACCTTCATCATTGATGCTTCCTTGAAACTCGCCCAAACTGTTGAGTCGTGGGCATTAACAGCAGTACATAAAAAAACCCCTGGACTTGTTGTTTTCTTTTTTATTTTGCAAAGAGAAACAATTCTCCCCTACTCTCAAAACACAATCTGTGAAAATCATACTTTCTATTCTCGCTGTTGTGCCCCAGTTATCATCGTCGGATGTGTCTGTTTCCGTCGGATCGAGGAGAACCACAGTTGAAGAAGGCTATCTCGATTGTTCCGTCGATGACCCAGTTAATTGCCCCTATCATCGTTGGTATTACAACTTCTAGCGGGTGTTGTTGCCTGAGACCGCCGTAATTCTGGTAGGCTACAACTCAAAAGGCCAGTGGAGACCCCTTCCGATAGTAAGTTCTCCGATTCATCTTTCTCAGTTTCATTTTCAGCTTTTCGTTTTTCGGCGTTTTAATATAGATCACTATAAATCTAGGTTGCTACAAGTAGATAATCATGACTAGGAACCCAGATATGAAAATCGTAGATGATTTTGCTTCCACCATAAACTCCGATGAGAAGGTACAATCGGTAAGAACGAGATATGACTTGGCACCAGATCTAGAAATCAGAGCCTCCTTAGGAACCGAGAGAGCCAATACTCCTTCAGAAGGAAAAATCACCATCTATGACCACTTTATGTATTTAGGGTTGAGATTCCCCCTTTTTTCTTTGTTCGAGGAGATTTTGCAACATTACAAAACCCCCTTAGCTCGATTTACACCAAAGCTGATAACATATGTTCTCGGTTTCGTGAGGAAATGTCAACGAGCAAAGTTGAAACCTTGTTTGATGTTGTGGAGGTATTTCTTCAAAGTGTCAACACCTTCAACGTCCTTTCAAGATTGGTATATGGTAAAAAAGAACCCACATCAGGTGCCAAGAAGATAGTAGATGCCTATAGTGGTTCTCCCATATGGAAACCAAACTTTCTGTATGTGAAAGTACCTAAAAAGTATTGTGTTGCCTGGAATTATTGAGAGACCAACGGTTTCGAGGCAATAAAAGATGAATGGACGAAGGAGGACAAAGAAAAGATCAAGGAGTTTGCAAGGGATCTAAAGAAACTTGAGAAGTATCCCAAGATAATCGAGTGGAATGTTGTGCAGTATTTCATTCCTGACATGCCAGTCGAGGAGCAAGAAGTTAATAACACCCTCGATACTCCTGTCGCGGAGGAGAAATGTACTAATTTCTTTATTATCTCTTTGTCTTTAGGTCATGTCGTCGGAAAACGCCGATTCCGGACTATATGGTGACTATGACCCCTTTAATGTTATGAACTTAGATGAAGATACATCCACGATGAAAACAGTGGTGGAGAAAATAAAGAAAAAGAAGAAGAGGACTGCAAAGGAATCCGAGAAGGGACCCAACACCAAGAAATCAAAGATTAATGCCCTTGTCGCGAAGCAAACTGAATCGGCAAAACAGGGAGAGAAGACCATTCCACCTGTTATCGAGGAACCCAAGGTGCCACCAATCGTCGAGAAGGAGACGCATGTAGTGAAGGAAGCTGGGTCGAGCACCCAACCCTCATCTGTGGATAAAGGCAAGGGCCCTTTCGAGGGGATGTAACCATTCTGCCTGCTGAGCTATTTGCAGGAGGCCCTTCTGCCGTGCTGTATACCTTCAGTGATCCACCCACAATTGAGTGCCCCTTGTTGGAAGAGTTTGACGCCAATCTAACTGAGGCAGACGGATTGAGAATGGTAAATATCTCACATCGTACTATAATCCTATATCTGCATATGTTGGCATGAATGTGTGCATATCCCCTTTTTGTTTTATTCTTACAGATGAGCACAATTATGATGAACTGCGCGAAAAGATCCAGGGACCTAAGGCGAGAGCTGGTTGAGGCTCGTGCCGAGATAGATCAAGCGCTGATCAAGAAACAGGCGCTTGAGGAGAAGAATCAGTAGCTGCAGTCCAAGGAGAAGGAACTGGTTTCAGTCCAGGCCCAGCTTGAGAAGTTGAATCAAAAACTCCAAAAGTACAGTAATCTACACATCTCCAAGGAGGATCTCAATAAATGGTGCTCTACTTTCTGGTGGAGGACGTTGTCCAGAGGTGGGATGGCTGCGGTCGTGAAGGAGATCAATACAGCCTCAGTGGCTTACGGAGGCCACGGAGTTGCTGTTGCAGGCCTGAAAAGACTTCATTCAAAAATATCTATCAAAGCTAAGTGGCTTAAGCAATTCTTGAAGGGAAACTCAAAGAAGACAATGCCCGAGGCCTTGGTCAAAGGACTTTGTGACCGAGCAGCTTCCGTTGTGGGAGCCACTGTGCAAGGCTTTATCCAAGATGTAATGATGCTTGTTTCATTTTAATTGAGAATAGTCCAATAAATTCAAGCTTACTTGTTTAGAGAATTTAATGAATTTTTGGCAGAAAGGAAGAGTATTGGGTTTGAGGAGGGGGACAGTGAAAGATGAACACTAAATGCCACCCTTTTTAAGATGGATAATACAAACCCTAGTATCTCTAATTCAGTATTAAGGTCATTCGTGCTATCAAGTCACGATGACAATTCCAAACGATTTGGTCGAAGGGATTCTGAAACGACTTCCACCGAGGATATTGATGCGATTCAACTGCGTATCTCGAACTTGGTTATCAATTATCACCGACCCAGAATTCACCAGTGCCTGCAGTGGTGGTTCCGCGGGTCTTATCTCCATTGAACTTGATCCGAAAACCTCGTCAACTTATCTATGGTACCTCCCCCTCAAGGGTTGTCGCATCACTGGCCAATATCAAATTCTTCATCACCATACCTTACCACTACCACTACAACATGATGATCACAACTACCACTCAGGCGAAGAAGAATTCACAAACACAGTCAATGGTCAATGGTTTACTGTGTTTGTATCGGGATAACAAGTCCTGGCTCTACAACATTGATACCCGGGAGGCGTTAAAACTTCCCGATTCGCCACCTTCCAACTATGAAGATGGAATAGTTTATCACTTGGGTTTTGTTCCTGTCAACAAATGGTACAAGTTACTCAAGACATGTTGTTGTCAAGATGATGATGTGGCCATTCTCACAGTTGGGGTGGATTCTTGTTGGAGAATGTTATTAGGTGTCCAGAGTGAGCAAAATATAGATTCTCAAAGTAAATGCTTGGGTGGAATCCTTTGCTGGGCGCAGAGTAATAATCGAATTATTGCTTTTGATCTGACTAGGGAGAGGTTTATCCACATTGATCCTATACCTCAAGGAGTATTCCCTTTTGATTCGTATGAGTTGCACTTGCATCTAGCGAATTTCAGACCTAATCTAGTTGTAACAGGCGAATCTTGGTATTTTAATTCCAAGATTCTTCGTTACGACCTTAATACGAGCAATGGATGCGGAACTTGGGTTGACGAGCTTCCAGAGCTACCACGGATAATACAGGTCCCACAATATGGAGCATCAATTTATCACCCAGTGTATCTTACTGTGCTGGGGATTGTTCCGGAGGGAAAGATGATGATAGTATATGATCATTCCATCAATTGTAAATCACCGACTCTTTACTTGTATCCTGACCTGTCAGGAACAGGAAGGCCTAATAATACTCTGGAGTCTGACCAGCGTAGGTTAATCGAGTGGGTTCGTCGAGTTGCGATCAACACTACGTTAAGAACTTTCGAGGCTGGTCCTATTTTGAGGAGAATATCATCTCATTAACCCGTTTGACAATGAGAACCGATGATAATAGGAAGATTTTGGAGGAGCAAAATAAGAGGAAAAAGAAGTGAAACTCGGCGCCTCCTGAGATGGATGATGATAACTTGTGATGATGAGAAGAAGAGTGATAAAATTAGCTCAACAACAAGGGAACCTACAGAATTTGAGAAAGATAAATAAAGTTTGATAAACTATTAAAGGAGGATGTTGATGATGATGGTGAGGACTGAGGAGAAGAAGGTTGAAGAATGAGGAACATCTTGATCATAGTTTTGAAACACTTCAGTAAACAAGGTGCTTGTTTCTACTTGATCAAATACTTAAATTGGTGGTGATGATTAGCTTTTGTGTTAATGTTCGTCATTTCAATAACTTGATTTAGCTTTGAGCTTATAAATTTCTTTTCTCATTATAGATGTTTCTGTTTATGGGGATTTGCTAGGGTTTTTGTAAAGGTCAAAAGATTGTATATGCAAGAAATGCGATCTATATCGATCGGTTGTATAACTTTATGCTTCTTTTGTTCGTGTGTGTGTGTGTGGAAGTATTATGGATTTTGGATATTTGGTGTTTTGAGATTTCAAGACTTTCAGTTTATTGAAATTTGATTGGCGAGTGGCATTTGGCTGATGGAGGAATAACTAGTTTTTTCTTTTTTTTTTCTTTTGATAATTGGAGGAATAACTAGTTGGTTTCATTGTAAAAGTACCATCAACAGACTGCACAAATGATTCTGATGTCTTGTCCCGCAAAATTCTACTCCAGTAATCCAACGAAAATGGCATATTTTCTAAGATGAACACCTTGTTATTGTCCCCGAAACATAATCACATAGCATTAGTCCCTTTCCTGGTCCAGATGGTCAAATCCTGAAATCAATGAATTTTGGACCCAAGATAATGCTAATGGGACGCCGAGGTGGGCAGGATGATTTGGACATTGATGCCGGACAGGATTATAAGTTATGATGATCAAAAATCAAAATGATGATAAGGACGGGACATGGAAATGGAATCAATCAATAGCTACTGGAACTAACACCCGAAGTACAAGTTTACCTTCACAAGCGCAAGGGATGGTCACTTTACTCTTGTGCTGCGGGTATAATTCCTGATGGAAAGATGATTATAACTGATAGAGGACTAATGGATCGTCGTCGTCCTCTTCTTCTTATTACCACCACCATTTTCAATTATTTGATCCCCCAAGAAATGAGTGGGAAAATATTGTGGCTGATTCACCAGAAACCGGCTTTGATCACTCCTCCTTTGCATATTTTGAGGAGAATATCATCTCCCTCGCTCATTTGATTTCGCGTGTCTAAAATTTATTGTTTATAAGCTGGCATTGGTTTAGATCCTTCATAGAGGTTTCCAGTTTATTTATTAGTTCATTTCGATGTCTGTCACCCTTTTAAGTTGCTTATGATTTGATTTTAGGTTTCTCCCCTTTTCTGTTGTCCTAACGTGTATTCATTTTCTAGGATTTAATTAATATAATCTTTTTTAATGGTCCGGATTCAAATTATATAGGTACATATAATTAAAGTAACTATTAGTAAGAGTTGCAACGTGACCTGATGTTTCCGCAGTCCTTAAAATCAAATTATTTCTATTTACATTCCTTCACATTTGGAACATGTTGAGAAGAAATTGTATTGGGAGCCTTCAAGAAATGGTCTTTATTCTGTCAAAAGTGGTTATTAACATATGACACGCAAATAGAGCATGCTTCAAGCCAGCCTGTTACCTCAGCTTCAAGGTTAATCAGATATCTGAGCTTTGAGTGTTGGGAAATTAAAATCCCACCCAAACTTCAGTGGCTACCCTAGAGATCTATTGTAAAAGCCCAAGACGTGGAAAAGAAGTGGAGACAATAGAGCACGCGTTCTTAGAATGTGAAATGGCTGAATAATTTGGCTCATCCATCTTCATTCAATTGTCATTTCAAATCATGGGATGAAATCAAGGAGAATCCATTTGTGATGTGCTAAAGCTCGCACAACATGTACTTGAATTTTGTGTTTTATTAAAAAAAAAATCATTCAACTTTGGATTGGGTTGTTGATCCGCAGTTTGGGCTGAAGCCGTGGCTGGAGCACATCGTCCGAGTTTCTTACTCTCGCAACATTTTAATTTAAATTTTTGCTAAACTTTCGCCTCCTCTTTTGTATAAAAAAAACGACATTATCAGGGGCTAGTAGGTCTCATTTTTACTAGAATTGGTGCTCCAAAGTAAACAAGTTTACAGCTAAAGAGATTAATTAGTTTCTTAATCTTTTCAAAAGTTTTGATTGTTTTCCAAGTCATATAAATTTCGATGATTCACTGTTTCAAGTGGTAAAGGCTTGGCAGGTTGCAGTTGGAAGATCTTTAAATCACCTGATGAACGGGCAGAAATAGGCATTGCATGCGTGGAGTCGTCTCCCCACTAGACTAGATAAATCACCTGATGAACTGGCAGAAAGAGGCGTTGTAGGCTTGGAGTAGTCTCCCCATTAGACTACACAAATCACCTGATGAACGGGCAGAAAGATGCATTGCAGGCGCGGAGTCGTCTCCCCATTAGACTAGACTAAATCACCTGATGAACGGGCAGAAAGAGGCATTACAGGCGTGGAGTCGTCCCCCACTAGACTAGACTAGACTAGTAGTAGGTTGTAAAAGTCTAGGTGCTTGTAAGAATTGTACTCCCTCTGTCCCAAAATTATTGTCTATTTTTATATTTTACTTTTAGTACAATTTGAACTAGAAATAAAAAACTCAAACTGGACAATAATTATGGGACGAGGGAGTATTAAAAAAAAAAAAAAACTGTTCCAATCAGCTTATCGAAAGGAGTGTCCATAATTTCTACTACAAAAGTGTAGGGGTTGTTTAGTTTCTATAAATATTACTAGAGGTATTTTAATAATTAACCTCATCTACGAAGAGAATAGAAATAATTACCATTAGGGATATGTTTGCAATTCAATATAAGTTTCTGGGTGCAAATGTACTATAAATTAAAACAGCGAAGTTGCAGAAGAGGTCGGAGGGGCCCACAATGGTTACCTTCATCCTCCGAGCAGCTTTACGGCCTCCGAGTCTTCATCTTCTTCAATCTCTTTCCATCCATTCCAAACCCGTTCCCTTTCAGAAACCTCAAATCCCTCTGTTTTTGAGGCCCGCAAACTACACTGCCACACTTCAAGACTTTGAAAAATGGCACCTTTGGGCCAAAACAATGGCTACCTCAGTCGGGTCCAAGTTCCTGGACTTGGATAATGGCCCCGATTCGACCCTTTTGCACAGAGAGCTCAATTGGCTGATTCAAGATTCACTTGGTGAGGGGGAACCCGCCACTCTATCATGTGCTGCTTCAGCTTCATCTTCTGGTTCTACTTCATCGAAGAAGGTTGTGAAATTAAGGACGTGTTTGGATGATCTTTACAGGTTATGTTGCAAATTCCAAATCGAAATTCAAATTGGATTTCATTCATTTTTGTGTAGAGAGCTACAAATTCATGGCTACTATCTACTGCAATTTAAGTGTAATTACTTGAGAAACGCTTAAATTTGATTTCTTTGGATGTCTAAGGTATTAAAAGGAAAGAAACAAACAAAAGCAAGTTTCTTACTAAGGTTACTTATCTCTGTTCTAAATTTGTTAACATTTTGTCCAGCAGTTTAATGTGCTACTTCAATTTTTTACTTTGTTCAAACGGACTTCGCGTTTCTACAGGTTGTGGAAGGAGAGGATTGAGGATAGAAGGCCATTTCAGTATTTGGTTGGGTGTGAGCACTGGAGGGACTTGGTTTTGAGTGTTGAAGAAGGTGTATTGATTCCAAGGCCTGAGACTGAGTTGATTGTGGACTTTGTTGAGGATGTTTTGGCTGAGAATTATGGGGATGGTTTGAAAGAAGGTTTGTGGGCTGATTTAGGAACCGGGAGCGGGGCACTTGCTATTGCGATTGGGAGGATTTTGGGTTGCAATGGAAGAGTTATTGCTACTGACTTGAGCCCTGTTGCTGTTGCAGTTACTGAGTATAATGTAAAGAGATATTGTTTGCAGGTGGGGTAGTCCATACCTGTTTTGTAGGGTGGTTAGCAGATAATGTCTTGTGTTCACAGGTTGAAGTTTGGAAATTTTCCTGTTGCAGTCTCAATGTGTTTATGAGGCGAAACTAACAATATTTGACGTTTTGATTTTCATATCGGTGTATGCATTAATCGCAATTTAAAGAGGTCATTCCTTTGTCATATGAATGAATATGAAGCAGCATCTGTATTGTTCAAGGTTTAGCCTTTGATTAAAAATGATAAGGGTTATGAAACTGAGGTTACGTACTTCGCAAGTTTAAGTCATAGAAAAACAATCGCTTATACTGTTTTGTTCATTCTAATAAGTAACTTTTACTGGTACCTCAGGACAAAGTTAAAGTAAAGCAAGGATCTTGGTTCGAACCTTTGGAGGAGAGTGAAGTTGAGCTTGGAGGGATTGTCAGTAATCCACCATATATCCCAAGTGATAATATCGCAGGATTGCAAGCTGAAGTGTCCAAACATGAACCGATACTTGCTTTAGATGGTGGTGCAAATGGCATGAAAGACCTTCTTCATTTATGCAATGGTGCTGCTTCTATGTTGAGGCCTGGTGGATTCTTTGCTTTTGAGGTAAACATTTCTCCTTTTCTGTGTTTTTTTACCTATAGATATAAGACAGTTTTGGTACATTTGACAATCATTTCACGTTCTCCATTAGCAGACAAATGGGGAGCAACAGAGCCAGTTTCTGGCTGGTTATATGGAGAGTGAATTAGGGGGAAGATTAGTTGATATTAAAATTGAATCAGATTTGGCTGGCATACCCAGATTCGTGAAAGGATTCAAAGCAAGATGAGGCTGTTAACAGGGGGTTCTAATATGGAGGCAACCTACAGTTTTAAGAAGCTGATTAATAGTGCTTTCAGAGTTTCAGGCAATCATTTACTTTGTTGACAATTTCCACCCTTGCTGATTGGTTACTTCTAACAGACCTAGTTTTGCTGAATCTGTAATATCTTGTATTAGAAAAAGGTTGCTAGGATAAGATGAAGAACAGCTTATGGCATTGCCAGCCTAAGAATTTGTGCATACATTTTTTTCCCTTTTCAAAAAGAAAAAAATAAAATTGCACTTCTTGATTGAGTATGCTGGAAAAGGGGTTCATGTGTTTACTTAGAGAACAAATGACAATACTGCACTTTCATGAGTGGTTTTCATGCATCTCAATAGTTGAAAATACTCCTTCCCTGCAGCTTGAGAAAAGCTGTAGTCCATCCTGGTGAACTTCAAATGGCAAACAAGCAAGACATTTTTAGAACATAGAATCAACTGTCTGCCAATTACTACAATAAAAGCTTCCTATCAAGCTTTTCGGTCATTTTTCACCCTACTTCGATGCTTTTATTACATCAAGTGTACAAAGCTAAGACTGAAAACTCACGTGTATACAGAGAGCATTTGCTCATCATTTTGTGCCAAAATGGATCTACTACCAAAGATCAGATATGTTAATTTCTTCGACAGAAGAAAATACAGCAACGACTTCTCAACTATATCTACATAGAAGGATCAGCGATACAGCTTTGTTTCCAGTTCTTTCCAGATCATCCAACAGCCCGTGTAGCCTTTTGAAATGTGCAATCCTCAAGCAGTTAGATTTCCGCAAAATGCCTTCTACAGAAGATTGTTGCATTCTTGCGTAAAATAATTAGTTTGCGACAATCCTTCGCATTTCAGTCATGATGATCTTCGCCAGTGTTTCTTTTTCTGATGAAGCTTAAATGGACTCCAGCTCTTTCTACGCTTCGAAGTTTCACAAAAGAGTCCAGAAGCCAAGGCTTGTTGGAGCCACAGTTCGAATTCTTCATCTTCATCCATCATTTCGGCATCCAGATCCCACGGGTATCTGCTAGAATTGGATCTCTGGGAAGAAGACTTGTCCAATCCAACCATGTTTACATGGAAGCTTGGTCGATGCGTGTTGGGCCTACAAGCCATTCCCTGCAAATAATACGTGAAAGATAGGGTTTCCTCAAGGTTCAAATAACATGATTGCAAAAACTCTCACAGGCCACAAGCACAACAGCTGATATGATTCATGCACGTAAAAAATAGACACGAACCTGACATATTGCCCACTCTGACACATCAAAGATCTTGCTCTCGGCGCAAACAAAAGCACGAGGTATTTCCACCTAAAAGAAGGAAAATATTACATGTCATTGTCACCAAATATACAGCACACATCAATATTATCATGGCCACATTAGCATTCAGGATACATAACACGTACTGCTTGCTGAAGACTTTCCCCACACACAACTTCTTTGAGATTGTCACATTACCAATTTTGACAAAAGTTCAGAAAGTAACTTTATGATGGAAATCCCTCTTTACCAAGTAGTTTATTTGTTAAAACTCTCAATGAACTGGTTTTTTTTTAACAGGAAATCTGTCTGTAGGCAATAAGTTTTGGGCAATCTTAGCCATTCACAAAGACATTTCAAATGGAATCGGAGAAAGATAACAAGGATCGAAACCAATCAACTATGTACCTTCTGAGGAAGATCAAAAACCAAAGATCCTTTGTATTCAACCCAACCATCTCCATCTTTGGCTTGATGATATTGACAACAATCCTGCGTTTTAAAATACAATCGATTTAAACAGGATAAATATAACAATCAACACATTCATGACAGATAAACTACTTGGCCCACCTGACACCATCTAGCCTTGGCCTTGGTCCTATTGGTGCAGACCCAAATGTGTGAATTTCCACATTTTGTGCATTGTATACGTCTCGACTCGTCCAAGCAATAATCAGAGCTATCCTGCAAATATACCAACACATTATCAGAGAAAATATGATGAACAATGTCTCATGGCGAAAAAGATTGAAGACCCTGTTCATGGAAATTGAAAAGAGAAGGCAGAGTGTCTCAGCTCAACGAACACTATACTAAAATTGCAATAAAAAATTTATCAAAAATTTATGATCCTAGTTGAAATTCAAAAAAGTGTTTCACATTTATTTGAAGAAAAAAAATACAATAATATAGGGTAAAAAGAAGCTATTGGTAAAGCTGCCTACCTGACGAGCAGTACTAGGCGATCTCAGTAGGACACTCTTAGAATCTTCTTTCCTGAGTTGTTCATCGTAATCCCTTCTCTTTACAGCATCAGAAAGAACCTACGAGCGCGAATTCGCAGCAAAAGATATTATTTCCATTCTATACAATTTGTCTAGGTAGAAACAACCAAGATGCAAGATTTTATACCTCGTAAGCACATTGAAGTTTCTTAAACGATTCACTTGCAAGTGTACTTCCCTTGTTCTTGTCGGGATGAACAAGCATGGCCTGAGCATAAATGACAGGCAAAATAATAATTGTTAGGGGTAAGACAGCACCAGAAACTATATAAATCAATTGTACTAAATAGTATACAAGCAACCAAATCAGACCCAGCTACAATCTTTCTTTCATTTTCCTGATATAATAATAATTCTGTAACCAAACACAATTCAAGGAATTTGAAGCTATTAATGCATTTTGAGGCTTATCAGATCAGAGCTCCTTACTTGTAATCCATCAAGCTCTACAAGCGAAGTACAATGAATTATTACCAACATCAAGTTTATACAAGATCTAACCTTTTTGCGATATTCCTTCTTCAACAAAATAGCATCAACCTTCTTAAAGCGTGGAAACCCAAGGGCTTCATAGTGATTGGTACAACTCATTATTCGCTTCATCTCAATAATGGAACTTTCATCTTGTCTCACAACTGGCTTCACAGGAAAAGGTTCTTTTTCTTTGTTCACCACAGATGTCAAAGCAGCAGGTTTGCTGGATGATTTACAGGGTTGCTTATGGAACTTCTCAGGTGGTTCATCAGCAGGTACAGAGAACTCGCAATCAGTGGAAAAGTCATCTTCTGTAAATGACTCGGTCTCAGTTGGCTCCTCAATAGGCGCACTTTCACTCAAATTATCACACCACTGAAGAATGTAGTTCAATACATCATTCGATAAGAAAGCGAGGTTGATTGCAAGAAAAACTCCATGCCAGCCAACCCTAACTTTGACGGAATACATGGCGTATGCCGTAGCCAACAACACTACCAGTCGAGCATGATTTAATGAAAAAAGATAGCCTGCACTCACCAACCACCAAAAAAAAAAAAAAACACAAAAGGAACCACTAAGATTGGTCATGGAAAAAGAGAGGAAAAACTAAAACATGAGCGGAGTAACTAGACCATGGAGATTACATGATTTACTTCTTGATAATGACAAAATCACAACTGTACTACAAAGCAAACAAACCACACAGAATGCGCGTACAACTAAAAGGTACATTGATCTGGGGAGAATAGAAGAATGAACTTCATCAAGCATTCCAGGATTTTAATTTAGATGCCACAAGACTGCAAGTACCAGCATGTCAACAAGAACCAAGAACACTAAACTCTCCAAAGCATTGATCTAATATTGCTTAAGAGCCATCTAACCTCACATCAGTCAGAAGTGCAACTTCATTGAAATTAGTCCAACCCCACAATGCTGGTATGTATATGGAATTCAAGAAGAGAACATACGACATCAAAAGCTTTGCAATGGTTTACCAGCTATGCAAAAGGGGGAATGAAGATAATTTCTTTCACAAGTTTCAAGGTCAGTTAATAGGCGTGACAAGATCTTTCCTCAAATGTCGGCACAAAAAGAGGTAGAAAATATAAATAGACCAGATGAAGCTGAACACAAACAACGCTAAGCATTTTACGACCCGGGGGTCTCTATATTTCTATGCCTTCTTAGGCAAAATTCATTTGAGAATTCAAAATAACATACCTCCGACAATGAACAGAGTACCGGTTATCCAAAAGTTAGCATACATCCACAAAATCAAGATGGCGAAAATCCCTACAATGAAAAGTCCTGGAGTATAACCTAAATACTGAACAGCAGCCCCAGCAGCAACCTGAGATCAAAACAAGCGACCCTATCAATATCTGATTTTCAAACATTGTGATTATCTACAATCTAAGTACTCAACCCTACAAACAAAAAAGAAGAAGAAGAAGAAGAAGAAAGAGAGAATAGCTGCTTCAATTAACATGGTAATCAAATCATGCCTTCAATTTCCAGACGATAATAACATGACTTCAAATCAGCTACTTCCACATAAATAATTGAAGGTAAACTAGGAAAATAGGGACAGCAAACGAGCAAGCAAAAGGGATAAAACATAAGAGTCAATGGTGGAGAGGAGAAGATCTATGAAGTAAATATTTACCATACTAAGAAGCACATATACAAGACATGACATTGAAGTCAAACTAAGAAAACAACTCCACATGATAACAAGCAAAGCTGCCGAGCCAAGACCGATTAAAGACCGGCATCCCCTGACTACACACTGTTTCCATCGAACCAATGAAAGTAACAACAACCTCCCCAGCTTTGTGCATCCACAGCAAACTACAGGCCAATGCCTCTCCACCAATAACCCAATTTTCTCCCTGAAACAGCTTGCCCCTATTCTCACAACAAAGTAACAATTCTTCTTCGATTGCACCCATTGCCAACCTTGTTTAAACAATCCGATATCCTCCATGCTAGCCAGAACAAATATCCAATTAAGTTTCGACTATGGACCAACTAGTCAATAAAGATCAATTAAACATTACATCTTGAAAATGGGAGCTCGTTCATTTTCTGGAGGAATGTGACAATCTATAAAGTAGACCTGTGATCCCAGCAAACTACATAAATGAAACCCAGTTCAGAAATTCACAGAATTTCTGGGAAAAGGATCCCACAAGATAAAGATACCATCTTTAATTAACTAACTTCAGTCAAGTGTTCAACAAGACCAGATAATGTACAGAGTAAAACACACCAAAATTGCTTCATCTGTACGTTTCCCAAAAAGCAAACCCTCCATAAATACTACCCACACCCGGTTTCTACCATTTTTAGCCCATTAAGAACCCACAAAAGAAAAAATGAAAACTCAAATGGGAGCAGCTCAAGTTCAAGAATCAATCATCAATGATTAAACCCAGAAAATATTGAGCAAATTGGGCCAAAAAATCCTTTTTTCTAAAAAAAAAAAAATTATTCTGGAGCCAAGAGAGAGGAATAAGAAAAAGGGAATTAAGGAATTAGATGAAGAACAAAAAGAACCCTAAGCCAAAAATGTTTGATTCTTGAGGCTTTACTAATTCCCTTGACTTGATTTTTTTCCTCCTTTTTTTTCTAGTGAGAAAGAAAACCCTAGCTTTTATAATTACACACCACCACTACTACTATAATCAGAGGATGCTTGTGAAAAAGGGGAAGGAGGAGTAACACAAAGGCCAAAAAGTTTCAAAAAAGAAAGACGGGCCCCACTATCTCACTCTCGCTCTTCACACACCACACATCTAGTGGGTGTAAGAGAAAGAGAGACAGACAAAGTGACAAACACTTTCTTCTAGTTCTGGGAACATCAATAGTGGTGAGGCAAGACAACTACCAAAATTAGAGGGGTTTTTTAATTAATTACTACTACTAATTAATAGTAATGTATTTGTACTAACCTCTCGGCTCTCTCCAATGATTTTCTAGGGAGAAAAGGAAAAAGAAAATGTTTAATGATGTGGATAGTGAATGAGAGATAATAAACTTATAGTAAAAGCTTTGAGTTTGATTATAATTATACTGTTCAAGAATTTGGACCATTTGAGTTCAGTGACTTTACTATAATAGATCAATTATCTGTAACATTAATGTAGAAACCATGTACTTTGGATATGAAAATGGATGGATTTTTTTATTTACTCCTAGAAATCTAGAACTACTTGACATGAAAATAAGTTTCCAGTCACATGGAATACGAATAGTACTCCCTCGGTCCTTAATATAAGGCATTTTGATTTTGTCCTAAGTTTCTCTTAGTATGTATTTTTTTATTGAAAAAAAAAATTTAAAATATATTTTCACATTCGTTCTATTCTTTTAATTGTTAGGAAATATTTTTAAAACTTTTTCGATAATTAAAATGATCTATATTAAGGACCGAAAGGAGTAATATAATGACCTATTTTGTGATTCTTTTAGTTAATTAACAGGTTGCTATCATAAATTCAGAGAATCAAAACTGAATTTTTCGGCACCAATTCTTCTTGAGAAAAGGACAAGTTAGGGAAACTCTGCTGCATGCCATTGCCAATTGACAAAATGTCAGCCATTCTGCCATTAGTGTGTTTCTTGTTTCTTTTTTTTTTTTTTTTTTCCCACACACTTTTCTGGTTATATATTATGGGGAAAAATACATGGAAATGTTAGTCCTACAAACTGAATTTAAAAGAAACCAAAATCCCCTACACAATGTTCTACAAATCATTTACAAATGAAGTCCGCCCTTGTCATGAAACAACGGGAGCAAGAAGGTTAACAAGAAGAACTGAAAAGGGTTTCACATATCAAGAATCTGCGGGTTCTTCGCCTTTTTCCTTGCAAGAAAACGTTGTTTTGCTTCTGCCAGTGCATCCTGACTTCTCTTGTGATGATTGTTCGGTTGCTCAGTTGCGGAAGATTTGCCTTCAGCATTATCTTCTTGGGATGAGGAAACAATGGTGGAAATAGGTTTGGAATCTGCCTTATGTTGCTGTTTGATAGCAGAAGTATGAACATTGTCATCCTCATTCTGTTCCTTAGCAACCTTAGATAACGGCGTGGGATCTGTATCTCTATCTCCCTTAGATGATGAATCAAGCCCTGTATCTCTATTTCTTGAGGGAGGGTCCTTTTCCGGTCCACTGCTTATTGCGACTTCTTCACTCTGTTTCTTGTCTCCACCACCAAAAGCTACATTTTTATGAAGGCCAAAGTAAAAATCAGTCATGTCTTTTTTCTTCGTAACCTGAAAGAAAAACCAATGGAATGAGAGATTAGTTCTTTACCTTCAAGCAAAAGGGAAATGTAACATCCTAGATTCAGCAACACACACAGCCACAACAACCCATTACCACGGCAATCAGCAAAATAATAATATAAACCTAAAAGGCAAAGCTACATAGACCATAGTACACAACCCGGTTTTGAAAACACAATTAACTACCAATTACGAGTCAAAGCCGAAGACAGAGATCATGCGAGAAAGAAGCAATGCTAAATTGCAGAAAAAGACCGTAAAGTACATAGTCACATCCTTATGATGATCAACTAAAACCCATTACACATAACAAAAGCCTCGGAGCCAGGACGCTTTCGAAGCTACAGAAAGTAGACATATCAATCAGAGATCATCAGCAAGAAAGAACAAGGTTATGTAAAGAGACTAGAGAAGAGAAATTACATCCTCTTTCTGTTCAAGCAGATCCCGAAGACGTTCCTCTGCCAGCCATTTTTTCTGCTCCTCAAGTTTCTTTTTATAGGCACTTGTGATGAATTTATCTTTGTTCGGATGAAGGTGCTGATCCTGTGCTAGATCTTTTGCAACCTTTCTCTCATACACTATCTCATGCTCTCGCTCCCTTTGTTTTGCCTTCTCCATCAGTGCTGCTATGTATTTTGGCTGCAACATAGATGCAAAAACAAACTATGAGCTTGTAAAAAATATGGGATGCTAATTTGTTCGCGCACGTCACAGCCAAAACAGAAAAAAGAATAAAAACGAGACTATAGCATTGAATTCTCTATTTTGAGCATAAGGAACAGGTTTAAACAGAAAATGGCATCCCTAACTAGAATACATGTTATCTTAAGTCCATTTACAAACCCACAAACATCATACTAGTTCCAGAATTAGATAGATCAAAATCAGCATCAACTTATTTTTGTTCCCAAATTCATCAATGAGTCTAAGCAAGGATAAAATTCCATAAGAAGAATCCTTTCAGTTTGCCACAAATTCCTCAAAAAAATCACCGTCTCTACATTTGAATAGCCTCCAGATAGGGCAAAATAGAGTAAAACTAATTGCTTCATTTGCTTTTCTGATGCGTTTACTACCTCAGCAAGCTGATTCAGAAGTAATACCTTTGATCCCTTCCCAACAACACATCACAATGACCAAGATTCAACAGCCATCTCCCACTTCCTCATAGAGACAATCAGGTGTTCTAGGTGGTAAGATAGCTAGAGTTACAGTGCTATATTAACCCTAGGCAAGCAAGAAAAATCTACTTCCAAGTTTCAAACTTCCAAAGATAACAAAAAATACAACTACTCAATCAAACAGAGAATTCAACTCACAAAGAAAAAAACACAAAAAATATTACCTTTCTTTCCTGCTTATCATGGGCAATAGGACGAGCAGCTTTCTGCTTCATCTGATCATAGACTCCATCATAGTCAAACGCGGAGGGGTCCTCCTCTAACGCCTTCTTCTGCAGCTCCTCAACCTGCGAATTCAATTCAGAAAATCATTAGGAGGGGGGAACTCTTTTATTGCTGTTAAAAAAAATAAAACCAAATCAGAGAGAGTACTCACGTCTCTGAGAGACTTGTTTTTGTGAGCTTGCCTGATGATGTCCCGTTCAACATTGTCTTCATCGTCATCATCGTCCCGAAAGGCGGCCGGATTTGGAAGAGGAGGTTTAGCCTTCGGTTGAGCTGGTTTAACCCTAAGCTGCAATCCGTACTTTTTATCCATACCTTTTTTTTCCTCCATAGCTTTTATTATTCCCCTAAAATTCACTCAAGCAGAGAAAAAGAAAGAGAAAGAGAAAGAGAAAGAGACAAAATCTCACAGCAGCTTCGAATAATCAATCGAAAGCCCTAATTGTGGGCAAATCAATGGTGGTTCTTAGTTAAACTAAGAGGAACTCCGGTGGAGACAGAGAAAAGAAGAATAGACAAAAACTTCTCCCCAAACCGATTAGTATTTGGATGAGAAAAGAAGAAGTTTTTTTTTCTTTTATTCCTCAATCGATGGGCCTGTCTTATGGACTACTTTAATTTGGGCTCTCGAGCCCATAAAACAAAGCCCACTAAGAATCCCATTGTCAGATTCCGGTGGCAGAATCGACGGCAAATGGAAGAATCCGACGAATGAGAGGTGGTAGAAGGACAGTTAGGGTTCTAACCAAAGAGAATTGAGAATTAATCCACAAATTCAGAAAATATCAATTCAATTCAACATTATTCGATAATGATTTTTTCACCCCTGGACTAGTATTTATAGTCTCGGTTATTACACAATTTCTATAATAGTCCCTATACTATGAAACTGGAACAATTGAGTCCAGGTTCATGACAAACCCTCCCTATCAAGACTGTGATGACTCAACTGAAACTGCAACACTGTTATTCAATGAAAATGGTAACCAGCTACTCCAGGCTGATCTCTCTGGAATTATTCAAGTTTGAACAGTTAGCTAAATAGCAACCCAAACCTGATCACATGCCATCTTCAAAGCTAACCCTTAGCTACCTCAGTCTCAAACTCCAAAGTCAGGTTGTTAACATCAATCATTTCCCCATCTACGGTCCAGATGATATTCTCGCACAACATGACATTCACCTGCCCAAACTTACAAATGTACCCCGGTTTATAACGCTCTCCACACTTATAACAGAGTTGGTTGTTTGATCTGTACTGATATTCTTGAGGCGACATTTTCTTTACATACTTATCGCCAAAACCTCTGTTTCCATAAGACTTCATACTGCCATTAATACTCTGACCATCCACAGGTTTATTCTTCTTTTCTAGTTTATAACCTACTTTACTATCAAAATTCGAACCAACAGAAATTGACAGCAACGGGTTTCCATTGCCCTTATTACCAAGTTTCTCAGAATACATAACAATCTCATTACCAGCAGCAATGTCATCAGAATTCACAGGCAAATTACCAGACTGACCAGAATCAATATGACCAACACCAGACAGAACAGATAAGTTCAGTTCCTGATACAATGCGATATCAAAAACAGCAGCGAAAGTCCTAGGATTCAACATTCTAACCATTGGTTTGATAGTTTTCTTTAATCCACTAACGAAATAAGCAACATAGTAATCTTCATCAAACTCATAGCCTAGATGCAACAATCTGGAATGTAATTCCTCGAAACGTTCCTGATATTCATTAACGGTTCCACTCTGAAACAATTTGCAAAATTCTGCCAAACAACTCTGTCTACATTTACTACCAAATCTTTGAATCAACAACTCAGAGAATTGAGTCCAAGAAGGCTTACCAACCGATTTGCTTATTCCCTGGTACCATATCTCAGCCCTGCCATCCAGGAAGATTTCAATCAATTCCAGCTTCTCATTCTCTAGAATCTGATGCATCAGAAAGTACTTCCGGCACTTTTGAAGCCAGCTCTGCGGGTTGTCACCCCTGAACTCGGGTAAATCGAGTCTTGGTTGTTGGTACCACATCGGGGCAGTACCTCCTTGACTCTGATGACCATTATGAGACGACTCACCTAAGCCACTGCTTCCCTGAGTTCCACCGGCAATCATCAGTTCCGGAGGAGAGATATTTCGGCCAGAATTGCCCACTGGTAGATTGTTTTCCTTGTCAGTGCGCAAAGAATTGACAGGAGTACGGCGATTTCCTTTTTCCAGCACTGATTTGAAAGAAGCTCGTGGATTATCAGCCCCAAGAGGAGTGAAAGGAGGCCTGTACACCGCTGGTGACGACGGAGGAACCGTCTCTGTCACCGGTGAAGTCTCTGCAACTGGAGCCTTTTCCGGATTTCGAACTTGCTGCGCTGAAAACAATTTGAAAAGCTTGTCCAATCTCGCATCACGCTCAGTGTTCCTTGCTTCGCGCTTGGCGTCTCTTGCCGCTCGCTCAGCGTCCAACCGGCGACTCTCCACTTCACGCGCCGTCATCAGAGCGATCAATTGATCCAATTTCGTCCCCAAGTCTGAATTCGCATCAGCTAGCTATTCCTTCACAGTTTCATCAAGTAGGGCACGAGAACGAGTCATTTTGAGAATTGATGATATCGAATCGGAGATTAGGGAACAGATTCAATAGAATCAAGAAAGAACGATTGAAAACCCTAACGATTCAGACGGAATCGAAGGAGAGAAGAAGAAGTGGAATTCCAGAACGAACTCGAAGGAAACGAATTCGCAGAAGAATTGAGATGAGTAGCAACAAATTCGATTTCAAGAAATCGAACTCGGAGATGAAGAGGAGGAGAAATCCGAAGCGACGCGAATCAGATATGGACCAAATTTCAGAAAGAAAGATTGAATTCCTCTAAAAGGAGATGAATTTGACAAACAAGAATGAACAGATTGATTTCAGAAACCCCGAATTCGAAGAGGGAGAACAAATCGACCAAAATCGACTTTCAATAATCGAAGAAGAAAAACCGAATCAAAATCGAAATTACGAAGCGGAAGAAATGGAGATTACGGCCTAGGAACGATTGCACTCTGAAGCCAATTTGTCAGAATCTAGTGGCGGAATCGATAGGAAATGGAAGAATCCGAAAATCGGGGGTGGTGGAAGGGCGGTTAGGGTTCTAACCAGAGAGAATTGGGAATAAATCCACAAATTCAAAAAATATCACTTTAATTCAACATTATTCGATAATGGTTTTTACACCCCTGGATTAGTATTTATAGTCTCGGTTATTGCAGAATTTCTATAATAGTCCCTATACTATGAAACTGGAACAATTGAGTCCAGGTTCATGACACCCACAGTCTTAAAAATTAAAATGACATAATTTCGTCATTACGACTTATAAAATCACAACTAACACTAATTATGGTCCAATGGGGATACCTTGCAAATATGATGTTTTCTTTTAAAATGGACTATTTTTGTGGGACGGAAAGAGTAGCAAACAAAATTCCATTATTTGATAGTGATCACCACCCTGACCATAGAGAACAACAATTCCTCCATTAACATCAGTTATATGTACAAGTAATAATGTAAACACCTGAGCTGCAATCCACTTCTTCTCTATGCCCTTTTTCCCCATGATTCCCAATCAAAAACAAATCTCACGATAGATTCTGATGATCAATCGAAAGCCCTGTTTGTGGGCACCTTAATCAATAGGTCTGGTTTTGATATATAGGCCTATAAGCTGCTGAGAAAGAAAAACTCACTTCCTTTTTCAGATATTTCTATGAGCTTTTGTTATGGATTATTTAGTTTAGGCAGTCACAATTTACAATTCACTTTTCAATTTACAGCCATAAAGAAATGCCTGCCCATTAAGAAAAGAAGGACCAATCTTCTTTCTTCAGCATACTGTATAGCAGCTCCATTCCAGTGGATTTTAATTTTAATATATATATATATATATTTATATATATATAATCTTTTTAGTACATATTGCACATAATGGTCCAAATCACTGTCTCGACCATCCTAGATTCGTGACAAGTAAATCTCTGACTGCATGAATAATCTTGTGAAGTTCATTACATAAATAACTAAACTAGAACTTCTACTATATCAGGAAAAAAAAACATAATTTTTCTTTTTTGTGAAGTTCAAAAAACATTTTTGAAAGGGCAAAGAGACAAAAAAGATGCATGTCTAAATGGTTTTCTAGGAAAACTAAAAAAAGTTCTTACTGAAAGTCTACAAGAGATGAAAAAGCAATATGTAGTTCTTTCTGAAGTCTGCATAGTTCTTTCTGAAGTAACATGTAGGGCAAGCTTTTCTAGACGAATTGAAATGGTTAAAAAATAAATAAAAATAAAATAACTGTTAAAAGAGTTTGGTATATACACAAAAATGCCAATCACCCCTAAAACCCAAAATTGACATAAGAAAACAGCAATAACAGACGCTGCTATGTGCTCATTTTTTCACAAGAGATTCTACAAAAAGGAAAAAAAAAAAAAAGAAAAAAAGAAAAGAAAAAAAAAAGAGAAGCTCTACAATGAATCATCACATCACATACTTGTAATGAATGCATGGATCAGCCCTAATATATATCCATCCATATACAACTAGCCTAAAGTAGAAACTCCTGATGCTACACTACTCCTTGTTGTTGATGATGTTGTTGTACTACTGTTATCAGAGCCAGAAGATACTTGAGAATTGCACAAGTTATTGCCGCTGCTGCTGCGATTATTATCCGGCTTTGCTGGATTATTACTTCTAATTTTGAGCTCCATGAAATCAGTGATCAGCCCTGGTTTTGTGATCGTGTCGTCATCGATGTCTATCTCTCCCGTGAGCATTTTTACAACGTTGGACATGGCAGGTCTTAATTTTGGAGAATCCTGTGTGCAGATGAGTGCGATTTTAAGAACCCGGCAGGCTTGTTCAGCATCAAAGTCTCCGTTCAGGGAAGTGTCCACGAGCCCCACGAGTTCCCTTTCTTTAAATAGTTGCCAAGTCTGCACAACATTCATTTGCAAATCAATATTGTCTCAATAAATACTGAGTTGGATGACCTCCACAAAACTCAATTTTGATTGAAGGAGCCTAATTGCTCAACTGGAAAGGAACCAATTACTGCAGTAAAGGATGCAGAACTCTCCTAATTATTAATATTACTGTACCTTTTCGAGAAGATATTGTTCATCAATTGGAAGTCTTGAGTCGGTGTTGCACCTTCCACTGACTATTTCAATTAGAAGAACACCGAAGCCATAAATATCTGCCTTGCGTGTCAACTGTCCTCGTACTGCATACTCTGGCGCCAAGTAGCCTCTGCAGGAATATAACATTTGACTGTAAATTTGCATTTCATGGTTGCATTGACGAATCAAGTTTTTCTATAAAAGATAGATGGAAAAGCTGAATTGCTAGGCTAAAGTCCGCAAAGAGGAGCTTAAATGGGGTCAAATGGGAGCCCAATAGCACGACTAAATATGCACAAGTGCAGGAGTCAAAACAGAGATTGGCAGCTACCTCATAAAGGCAAATCTTAGAGATCGAAAACAGAAATTAAAGAAGACAAATTAAGGTACTGCTGACTAACATTGTTCCGGCTACACGTGTACTTATGTGAGTCTTGTCTTCAGGGAAGAGTTTTGCTAGACCAAAATCTGATATTTTTGGAGTCAGGTCTTTGTCTAGAAGAATATTGCTTGCTTTGATGTCCCGGTGCACAATATGTGGTCTCACTTCCTCGTGAAGGTAGGCAAGCCCTCTGGCAACTCCTATGCAAATTTTAACCCTCGTCCGCCAATCAAACTGGCTTTTATCAGCCCATTCATCTGAAAAAAGGAACAAACAGATTAATATTCATTCCTCTATCAGAGACCGGGCTTAAGTAAATTCTGTATACTTTTATCAGTTAAAAACGAACTGATCCTTGGAATATCTACACACACTATCCTAATCGAAAATTTCAAACAGAAGTACCTTCAGAACTTATGATTATAGAAGAGCCCTATAACTTGCTATAGCATTTCAAAACTTCATCAGAAAAAACCCAAAAAAAAAAAAAAAAAAAGCTTCTAAAAAAATAATCATTGAAGAAGCTCAGAAATACTACTACTGCATAAAGCTTTTTGTCATTATTTCACACCACATAACTTTAACTTCAGCAAAGAATGTCAAACAAAGGAACCAAATATAGATAACAAATGTTTAAAAGTGGCAATACCGAGAAGCATTTTTGCAAGGCTGTTATTTTCGAGGTAGTTGTAGACCAAAATCCTGTGATCGCCTTCGACGCAACAACCGTATAACTTCACTAAATTTTCGTGATTTATTTCTGAAATCAATCGAATTTCTGTCAAGAACTCCTGTGCTCCTTGCTTTGATTCGGCTGAAAGAACTTTTATCGCAGCCATATGGCCACTTTTTAGCTTTCCCTACAAACCAAAGATATTTGTTAGCGAACAAATTCAACAAGGTTAAGGAACATGATAGGCACCAAATCCTTGTTGAACTTAATTATATACCTTGTACACAGCTCCAAATCCTCCCACCCCAATTTTGTTGGATTGGCTAAAATCATTGGTGGCAGCTCTCAACTCCTTGTATGTAAAAATGTTGAGGTTGTGGATCCCAGAAAGTTCTGTTTGTAAATCAACTTTCAGTAAGATATTTGTTATACAAGTAAGCAATATCATCGAAGGAACATAATTGGCAATCAACCTGAGAGATAGTCTATTCAGCCTAGACAACTAACAGAGAGAAATCTTCATTTTAAGCTTACGAGAGAGCTTACCATCATCAATGTCACTTGAGAATTGTGTTTTTGAATTCAATCTTCTTCTACGGAATAGAAAGGGGAAGCAAGTCATGACTGTAGGATTCAGCAGTGATGTCACTCTCTGAACAAAAAAGCTACTCCACTCAATAATACCTGCAAAACAGGAACATGAGCAACATGTTAGTCCACCAGTCGAATAACCATTAGGGTTCAATTCAATATAGACAGTTTGGTAGATGAAGGTGGCAACTGCAACTGACGAGAACATCATTAATCAAGATATACTTGATTGCCAAAACAATGCTACTGGCTAGGACTCCTAAGGCTAATCATCTCTGGCAACAAACACAGGCAATGAATACTGATCAAGCCCTTAACATAGTACAGTCCATACCTATCCAATATGCTAATGAATAATAAATTTGGCAGGAAAAAAAGGAAAAATTGTTAATAAGATAACAAGCTGATACACTGCATATAAGAATATACCAAATTTCTAGAGCTAAGTAAATTCTTCTACCACACAGTGAACCATTAACATACTCCAGTTCAAAACAGAATAAGATGGAGAATATTCACCTAACCGCGGTAACTCAATCACAATGCGATTATACCAAAAGCAACGTAAGAAAGGGAGGAAAATAGTTCCAGCCAGAATGAAAAAACTTCACAACAAGATTCACTCACCGACTCAGATAGGGGGGGGAAAGAAAAGAATAAAGTGGTAACCATTAAACAATGTAGTCAACGAGGAATTAATTAGAACCCATGCACATTTTCAAACAATTTTTTTCCAATAATAAAAGAATTAAATTGAAGAGACAACATAAGACCAGAAGATGTGAAACAGAGATTCAAGATGCAAAAAAAAAAAAAAAAAAAAAAAACCAGAAACTACCATAAGAGTTACAAACAGAAACAAAAATTCATGAAAGAATAAAAAGAAAGGAACCCAGAATCAGAAATTGGAAATTGAACCTCACTGATCAGAAGAAGATGAACAAAACAATCAAGAACATCACATCCCACCACCAACACCAGCTTACGGGCGGAGTTCAGCTCAGATGAAACATTCAAAAAGAAACAACAAACAAAAAAAAGTGGGAAAAGAGATGCAACAAAAATCCCGAATAAAGGAGTAGCTAGAGAAAAGATGGCTGTCTGCAAATAGTAAAGATTGTAAGTATAAATATTTGGTAAAAAGCATTCGAAAGTCGCGAGGAAAGCTCCCCAGTGGTGGATTAGTGTGGCCCTTTTGAATTTTCTAACACCAATAGTTTGTTAATTAAAGTAATTTAATTAATTAATTAATCATGTTTGTTTTTCTGGTTAGCAGCCTTAGCTGAAGTTTCTTACGTTTCTCGGACCCACTGCCAACGACTAATAAGTTGACCAACGAAATAATATCTCATAATCTTTTGAATTATACTTAATTATTATTATATTTAAAATAATTAGGCTTTAACGACCCATTTCAATAACAAAAGGGAAAATGGTATGAAAACATTAATATGTTTCAAAACAAATAAAACAAAATTGTAATAATTCATAACTGAAATTTAAAACAAATTAATTAATTTAGTCTGTTTGTTTCTTTTTTTAAGCGTGCATTTTTAGGCATTTCTTGTATCGAGAATGTAAAAAGTTGCATTAAAAATGTAAAATGATATAGTGAGGATAAGATAATTATTAATAAAATAATCTGAAAAAACCAATCCAAAAAAGGAAACGATAATTTAAGTATGCCTATCATGTAAAATAGATGGATACAATTGCGATTTTTTTAAAAAACAAATTGGGAATATTGATTTGTTCATAAATAATAGTGGTACTCCTTATGTCTCACAAAAATAATTCACATTGAGTTTTGAATTTTATATTGTTTTTAGTACAAATTTGAAAACTCAATGTGAATTATATTTGTGGGACGAGGGTAGTATATAACTGTAAATATAATGAACATTTTTATGTTGATGATTTTCAAGTCAAAATGACGAAATAAGGAGGTTATCCCTTAACAAGAGGGGAAAAAAAAAATAGAGTGTGAAAGCAAGCTCTGAAAAGTCAACGTGTGGCGTCACGCTTGGGTATTGGTAGTATTTTTTCCAAGTCAAGGAGAAGAAGTACGAGAAAATACGGGGTGAATCATTTCTTAGAAAGACACGTAATTGATGAGGTTGGCACTTGTCACCGCGGACTAGAATGCATTCTTCGTACTCGCCACGTACTAAAATCGCACTAATTTTGGACAATAACCTGAAAATAAAATTTTATTTTTAAGGGAAAAAAAAATCGCTGTCGAAATACGAAAAATGGGAAGATATCAAATATACAGGTTTCTATTATTGACTTTTGTAACAAATTTATACCGTACCACTTTGAAGAATTGTACATTTCTTTATCAGAAATATGTGGAATTTCGAGGTGGTGTTTTTCTTTAAAAAGAAAAAAAAAATCGAATATGGCAAAACTCTTTATCTTAAGTTATTACATAGCACAATTAAAGGTCCTAACATTTATTGAGTGAATTAGTTTGTTTTTTTTTTTTGGGTCAAAAATACTAGTATTAAAATGAACAACTTGTTAAAACTTAGATATTTTATTTATTTATTTATTTATTTTGTTAAGGCTTAGATATTTATTATTGCCAAAGATTGATTAATCCTGTTGTACAAAAGACTCCTATTGCTAAGGCAAATTTGGTCAATATGATTTGTTTAAAGTCAAGGAAACGTGCGGAAAATGACCAACCAAAATTTCATTTCGTTAATCCAGTGCATGTGAAGCCAAATGAACATCAGAGTATAAAAGTCAAATAAATCTGTTTTAAAATTCATTTGATGAATTCTTTCATGGATATAGGTCAAATAATCGAATGTCATTTCTTTACAAAAGATTCCTAAACGGGTTTGACGAGTTAGAGTAAATGTACAAATCAATAAAACTGTTTCACACTTTAATCTTGCATGTCATCTTTTTGTCAAATGAAATTGTGCATGTGACTTGTTGACGTAGAAAAACACTAATTTGCTCCGTGGAGTTTATAGATGGAAAAATAACTACTCTCTTAGTCTTAAAATTATTATTCAGTTTAGATTTCCACTTTTTTAAAAAAATAAAATAAAATTTATTAATGTACTGGAAACCGCATAGCAGCGATTGATAAGAAAAGATACAGTTAGAGAAACACAACTTACAATTGGCCATAATCATAGTGCCTTTGTTGTGTTTTATATGGATAAACTTATATAGATCTACCCTATTAAGCAATGGTTGTATCACGTGCCGAAATAAAGATACAACACTAAAAATCAGTTGAAACTCTCAAATCATAAATCTAACAATTAAATCTATGATGACTGAATCTTTTAGAGCCATACGAGGGAACTCTAACGAACCCGTCGCCGTACCTGCAAACATCACCGACAAAAATGTCGTCATATTAGCGAACATCACCAGGGAAGTAGCGGCCATACCAGCGAACATCCATAAGGAAGTCGCCGCCATACTTAACTAGTAGATGAGATTATAATCTCACTTATTGAAAATAAATTAAACAATAATAAAAAGTGTAAGGATCGGGACAGAATTATCTCCCCCATCCTTCCATAGTGGAAAGATGGTGGAAAAAATGGAGTTTTTTTTTTTTTTTTGGTTTTAGGGTTTTAGGGTTGGAGAGGGAGAGAGGGGCGGCCGAGAGAGTGTTTTCTAGTTTGGATTTTCACTTTAATTTGTATTAAAAATGAAACCCAAACTCAATTGAAAGAATGATATTTATTTTGACTGACACGTGCTAACTATATTATTTAGTATACCTAACAAAAAATTTACTTTAAGACGAAAAATAATTTTTCAAATCGAAAAGAATAATTAACACTACAATGTTTGTAAGGGAATATAGGCGGATACATCCCAACGTTTACTCTTTGCTAGTGTTAGTGAATTCATCCCAAACTTTTAAAATTAAGTGATTACATCCCAGGGTTTGTAAAATTGAGCGCAACCATCTCATGACCTGTTGTTAACCTGAAGTAACAGGTAAATTTTACTTAATTTTATAAATTTTACTTAGTTCGGTATTTACTTCTTTTGCCCATTATTCTTTTTTTTTCTTTTTATTTCAGCCTGGTTAATTATGTCATTCCATCGCCTCATCTCTCCCAATACCGTTACCGTTATTAAAGAAAATACTTAGTTTTTAATCTGTTTGGAACTTTTTTATGATTTTTTCATTTTATTAATAAATGTCCAATTTCAACATATTTTTTTACATTTTCAACACATACTTTTATACTCTCAATACAAAAAAAAAAAATCTAAAAAACACACCACTGAAAAAAAATCCAAATATAGGTAAGTGTTTCAATTTAGGTTTGAAACCGGTGGAATCAAAATCTACCATGCATTATTTTGATATTAAAAAATTAAAAAAAAAGATAACAAATCAATTACTTCTTCTTAATAAGGTCATAACTAGATTTGGAAAAATTTTATTAAAAAAATATTAAAAATTAAGAGAGAGGGAGAGAGAAATAAAAAATATCAATTTTCACTTATTGTACCAGGTCAATTTTGTTTTGTTTCAAGTCACGGAATGGTTACGCTCAATTTTAAAAACCTTGAAATATAATTACTCTATTTTAAAAGTTTGGGATGCAGAGTAAGCATTGGAATGTATCCACCAATATTCCCCTATTTTGTAACTTGTGAGTATGCCTAAAAATTCTTTTGTCTCAAAATAAATGCAATTTTGACTGGAACTTTGGTGAGGTATTATTATTCAAAAAAATCATAGATGAAGAGAAAAAGAATAATATTTCTTCTTTTCTCAAAAAATATTTCATACTAAATTTTAAGATTTGTATTAAATAATACACATTTTGAATTTTTAAATGAATTATTTTCTAGCACGGAAAATATTAAAATTATAATAATCCTGTTGAATGCTCTATACACATTCGAAATAGTACTACTTTACATCTGAGTTAGTTTTCATAATCCTCAAGCAGTTCATTATATTTTTCTCATTGCTTGAGAAATTATGATTTATACCACTCTTTACTTTCTCTATTTCAAAATGTAGGTAGTTTTAGCTTTGGAGAGATATTTTAAAATGTAGGTCGTTTTAGCATTTAAAGGTAAATTAAAGACTAACTTTCCAACTTTGTCCCCAATAAATAATGCATCACTTTTCATTTAGTATTGGTAATAATTCCGAAACAATTATTAAATAATTGTGTCCTTAGTTTACGTGTAGAGTCTAAAGTGACCTACATATTAAAATGGAGGGAGTATGTCCTACAATTATTATCTATTTAGAATTTTCATTCTTAGATGAATTTTTTTTTTAAAGTAAAATCCCAATTGGGAGTATCAAAATTAAGGATATTGAACCGCACAAAAAAAAGAAGACATTGTTTTTTTTTTTTTAAAAAAAAGAAAAGAGAAAAAAGAAAGACATAAATTAATTAGTTTTGTTTTTTTGGAAATGAAATACTACTAGTTTGTATGAACGAATGAACGGAACCAATGGCACCACGTCACTGATCCGATTAAAAACTACATTAACGCCAGTCTGTTTGATTAACAACATTATCCATAAGCAGAAGATGGTCCTTAACCATCCTAAGTACTGTGTTTATGTCACACTTGAAACCGCCCAATGATTTGCAAACGGAGACAAAGAATCTCTTTTTGATCTATGATCCAGTAAATAAATTTCGCGCGGCTACAAACCCTATTACATCATGTCAAATTTGGCTACCAAAGTTGCCGTGATTGGAAGTGGAAGTAAGCCCTCATTACCAGAAAAAGGAAACAAAACAAGAAACCATTTTTATCAGCTTATTATTCTGAATGATTGGTTAATTGTATTGACTGATGTTGCGTTGCAGTTTCAGGGGCGGTGTGTGCATCAGCACTGGCCAGAAATGGAATTTCAGTCACCATTTTCGAGTCGGGTCGAGGCCCAGGTGGCAGAATGTCCCAAAGAAGGTATTTTTTGGCAATTCCAAATTAGTCATTTCTACGGTAATGAAAGAGGATTCTATTTGAAGAAAGTTTGTTCGTTTTTTGTCATTTGCTTCCTTCAAAGGGAAATAGCTGAAGATGGGAGGGAATTTGTGTTTGACCATGGTGCCCCTTACTTTACAGCCAGCAATCCTGGGGTTCTTGGGCTAGTTCAGGAATGGGAATCAAGAGGCATTGTTGCTTCATGGAATGAGAAGTTTGGATCTTTTGATTTTGCTTCCAAGAAGTTTGTCGACATTGAAGAGGTTAGAACAGGTCCTTCAGCGCCTGTCTTACTTGCATCAATGCCCGTTTGGCAATGTCTATTATAATTGTCAATCTGCCGTGTTTTGTGTTTGCACGTCGAAGTTTAAAATTTTTTGGGGTCGGGTATTTATAGTATTCATACAAGGCAAGTGTAACATGTTTTATGAATTTCAAGTTTTGTGCTTGATTCATGTACCAAAAAAAAAGTTTTATGCTCAATCATGTTCCGTAAAATGAAACAAGTCATGTTCATTAGTCTAAATGTGTCATTTTGGGTCGCATTCTTGTTGTGTTTTGAATCGTGCCACGAATTACCATCCTATTTTTGTTGATATTCCCATATGAGTTTTAGTTGTGGTTTTGTAATAAACAAGATTTTGAGGGGAAGGGGGGATTAAGTTAGTTGTATGTTGGTGTTCCGAATTTCGATAATTCTGTTCTTTTTGAGTTTCCGGGGTTTAGTATCTCTTTCAGATTGGCTCATTACATATAGGAGTGGGTTCACTTTTCGCAAGTGAATGCTTTACCTAGATTCATGCCTACATGACTGAGAAACAACCAGCAAATCTTTCTGGGGCTTTTTATATTGATTCTGGAAAAATGTTTCTTAAATCTTATAATCGCAGTTCATATCTAGGAACCATCAAGTCAGAAATATGTTGGTATCCCCGGAATGAACTCTATATGTCGAGCTTTAACCCTAGAACCAGGTCAGTTTTTGCACTACTAAAACACCCATTTTAAATCTAGAAAACAGTCTGAAAAGAAATGGTTTTCTGACCCTCTAGCTTATTCATCCATAGGCATTACGAGTAGGTTTGGGCTGGGGGTTGCAAAGGTTGAATGGTTAGAATCTGAAGGTTCATGGTCTTTGACTGGCTTCAATGGGGAAGACCTCGGTATATTCAAGGGTGTTGTGGCTTCTGATAAGAACACCTTTTCTTCCAGGTTCACCAATGCCACCGGAAGACCACCCCCCTTAGGTATGTTTAATCCCTTTTCCATCATCTCGCTGAGTTACCAGCTGTTTTGCTATTTTTACGCATTTATAGGTTGATGTTTACCGCAGACCGAAACTTAACAAGCTTTGTACAGTCGCTTTTAGCTGAGATTGTTGAAAAATCTGCCTTAGAGGATGCACTTCAAACAATTGGTTCTATTGGTTTGGAATTTTGGTACAACATATGATACTGATCTCTAGTTTTTTGCGTGGTCCCTCATAAGTTTGATGATTGGTTTTGTATAGCAAACTCCATTTGTTATTTCTCCAGTTTTCTGCAGTTTTCGAGGTCGCTTATAATGAATTAAATTTTGGGTTTACTCCAGACCTAGCTGCTAGCTGCAAGGGTATTATCCTAGTGCATTTATCTTTACCAAAGTATTAGAAGTGGATGCTTTGATAAGAAGATAGTTTGGTGTTAAAGATTAACCAAGTATTCTGAACTCTTGATCTTTACAGATTTGAGCATAGAACCAGAAGTAGCATTAAAGGTGAAAGAAGTTCCTGTAGTTTCATGCTTCGCTGTCATGCTGGCATTCGAACAACCTTTGACGTTGGTAAGATATGCTTTTCCTCCTCCATATAATGCCCTGGTTTCTCAAGCACCACCGGAAGTTTGCAGATCAGCACTTTGATTCTTTTCCTTTTAGTTCTTTCTGTGATGGATTAATGTGATACCTTTTGGATGATACTTGACTTTCAGATACCTGTTAAGGGCTTTTCATTCAAGAATTCAGATATTCTAAGTAGGGCATTTTGCGACAGTAGTAAACCTGGCCGTTCAAGTTCTAGGTATGATTTAAGAATATAGAAGCCAACAAGGAAAAGAAGGATGTAATTCTTATTAACCGTTGAAATTAGTGTTACTTCTTTACAATTGATGTTTCCTGTTCTGCATTTGTTACATGAAGTGAAAGGTGGGTGCTGCATTCGACGGGCGAGTATGCAGATAAAATTATTGCTCGAACAGGGTTTCAGAAGCTTTCCAGTGCATTATTGTCTGAAGTAGCTGAAGAGCTTTTTCAAGAACTGCAAAGAACTGGGCTTCATATCCCTCGGCCACTTTTCCTAAAAGCTCACAGATGGTTTGTGTTTGTATCTTAGTGCTGGAAAATGGTAATGTTCATATATCATCAATTCCAATTTCTTACGGAGTTCTGTGCGTTTGCATCTCAGGGGAAGTGCCTTCCCAGCTACAAGCATAGCAGTTAAAGAGAAGTGTTTTTGGAGCGGAAATAAGAGACTGGCAATCTGTGGTGATTTCTGTGTGAGCCCAAATGTTGAGGGTGCAATATTGAGTGGCATGGCTGCAGCTTCCAAGTTTGCTGAACTTCCCGTCAGTTCCTTGTGATTTGTACAACTAAATCACTTTGTGTAATTTTGATGTTAATTAAATATGGTCAGTAAGATCGGAAGTGAGATTCAGAGCTTGGTTTTACAGCAACCCATCCAAGATTTTATATTTCACATTGCGTTTTTGCATTAGAGACTTTTTTTTTTTTTTTTGGCATTTTCAAGGAAATCTATATGGCGGGTGAAAAAGCCCAGAACAATGTCCATGAAGAACTTTTATTGTTACAAATACAAATACCATTTAATTTGGGCCAGCTTTTGGATGATTAAGATAGGAAGTAAACTCTAATATCATGCGTCTGAAAACCCACTTCCAGTATAAAAACTGGAGTGCTAATTGCTAGAAATGACTAGGTGGCTTGATGGGCGGATGGCATTACAACCAATTATTGTGTAACCTTTAGCATAGGATCATCAATGGAGTGGAATCAAGTAGTGGGTCTAATTGCTATTAAGGATGCTAGAATGTACTGGCATAAAATGAGACATATGAATCTTTGGTTGAAGATCGGAATAACAAGCTCAACCAACTTCACAGCAAAGAATTCATTGTCATGATGTCCATAAAAGCTATCAAAGTTGCGGTCATCGGATGTGGAAGTCAGCAACTCTTCCTCTTATTAAGCCCTCATTTGGTGGAAGTTTAGAGCTTTTACCAATATTTTCGAAGAAATTAACATTCTTTCTGCCATTGTTGGTGTTGTGTTGCAGTTTCAGGGGCAGTTTGTGCATCAACACTGGCCAAAAATGGAATATCAGTCACGGTGTTCGATTCGGGTCGAGGCCCAGGAGGTAGAATGTCCCAAAGAAGGTAACTTTATCAAATGACCTTGTCATCTTTATTGCCTTCTTGACACAGAAATTCACAAAATGGCTTTCTCCTTAGTTTTAAACGAAAAGAACCAAGTAGATGATCTGGCTTTCTCCTTAGTTTTAAACGAAAAGAACCAAGTAGATGATCTATTAGGGCCCTCTCCAATTGACACTCTCCATTAAACAAAAAATCAATTGACACTCCCCGTATAATAGAGCACAAGCCTATCATTGATTTAGGAAATCTCACATGGTAAGGTAAAGCCGTATTTTTGTTATTGTTTGTTGTAGAGAAATAGCTGAAGATGGGAGAGAGCTATTGTTTGACCACGGTGCCCCTTACTTCACGGTAAGCAATCATGAGGTTCTGGGGCTAGTCCAGGAATGGGAATCAAGTGGCATTGTTGCTCCATGGAATGAAAAGTTTGGGTCCTTTGATTTCTCTTCCAAAAAATTTCTCAACTTGGAGGAAGAGGTGCTCTCTAATTTTGATCTTAAATAGACGAGCTTAGCTACGTCGTAGTTATTCACATTTGCAGCTTGTTCCAATGTTTTCAATTTATCTTTGAATCTCCTTTTTTTTTTAAAAAAAGAAACAGACAAATAAAATTTCATCCTTAACATTCTTTCCCTGATTCTTGAGCTTCTAGGTTTCAATTCCCGTTAAGTCCCCTCCTTTAGCCTGCATAGATAAAGAATTAACTGCCAGAAATATGTAGCGAGTGAAAAATGCCCTGATATCTTTATGGTTCAAATGTAGGAAGCACCAACCCAGAAATATGTTGGTGTCCCTGGAATGAATTCTATATGTCATGCTTTATCTGCAGAACCTGGTAAGTAGAACTTGCTTAGTCTGGACAACTCTCCAAAAAATAAATGCAATTAGTTGACTGATCCAATACATTATCGATCTATAGGCGTGACAAGTAGATTTGCGCAAAGTGTTGCAAGGGTTGAATGGTTGGCGTCTGAAGATTCATGGTCATTGACTGGCATCAATGGTGAAGATCTTGGTCAATTTGAGGGAGTCGTGGCTTGTGATAGGAACTGCTTTTTTTCCAGATTTGCAAATGCAGCTGGATCACCAACACCTTTTGGTATGTCTTGTCTTCAACCTGGCCTTTTCATCTTATAGCAGAGTTGTTTGACTGTTTTGTGCTCATACACTCATACTAATTACTTCTCTAGGCTAGAAAAGTTAGTGGAAACATATATGAGATGCCTGCTAAGGATACTGGCATTTCATTCGTCTCTAATATATGCCAGACTGATAAGTAGGCACTTATATTCGTAATAATTTAGTGTAACGATTCACATATACCATTGATTGGAAGGGGTTGAAGATAACTCAAGAAACTTTGCAGTAGATTGCATAGCACAGAAGTTGAATTAAACCAATGTTGGTCTCCTTCCATCTTTTGTTCTTGCTTTTGCTTAATGTGGAAATTTCAGTAGATGGGCAAGCTCTATTAGTTAGTTAGTTTTAATCCAGTTTCTATGATGATGATGATTCTCACCAGGTAACTTCAGGTTGCATATAGTGAGATTTTTCTACTTAATTATAAAAGACTCTGCTTTCAAAACAATTTTGACATGGGTTGCCCCCTCCCTTGGCATCCTCAGATTTGAGCATGGAACCAGAATTAGCTTCGCAGCTTAAAGACATTACCGATATTTCATGCTACACGGTTATGCTCGCATTTGAACAGCCCTTGACATCGGTCAGTTATAGATTTCCTCCTCCATGTTGAGAAATTCAAGAACTTAACATGGCAGACTTGCTGTATAGAGATTACTTGTCGCTCTTTTGATCTGGCAAAACACATTGTTGAGAATTATAACCAGTCGTCATTTGATGGTGGGCTACTTTTCCATATTTGAACTTGTATTTGGCTTTCAGCTGATGTACTCTCTCTGCTGGCTTTCAGATACCTATAAAGGGCATCTCATTCAAAAATTCAGAAATTCTGAGCTCCGCATACTGCGACAGTAGTAAACCTTGGCGTTCAGATTCCAGGTACGCATAACATTTTACGGTTTCAAGAGGAAATCATGGAGGCAACAGTAATTAAATATCATCCAGAAGTCTGCCGATGCACATTTGATTTAGATATCCTCTCATTCACGCCTTGTTTGAAATGAAGTGAAATGTGGGTGCTGCATTCAACAGTCAAGTATGCTGAAGATATAATTGTTCAATGCGGCCTGCGGAGGCCTTCCATTGCAATGCTTTCAAAAGTTGCAGAAGAACTTCTCCAAGAGCTGCAAAGAACCGGACTTCATATCCCTCGACCATTCTTCCTGAAAGCTCACGGATGGTTGGTATCTGAATTATTACTAGGAGATTGTAGTTCATTAGTTTTCATTTTGTTTTTTCTTTCTCGAATTCTATTGCTAGGTCTGCCAATAATTTTAGTTATAATGTATTGCTTTTTCCTTATTGTCTACAGGGGAAGTGCCTTTCCATCTAAAACCACAGCAGCTCAGGAGAAGTGTCTCTGGAATGGAAATAAGAGACAAGCAATCTGTGGTGACTTCTGTGTCAGCCTAAATGTTGAGGGTGCAATACTGAGCGGCTTAGCCGCAGCTTCCAAGTTTACTGAACTCATCAGTTCTAATAATTCTTAATAAAAACAGGGTTGTAATTCTCTATTTTATTCATTGATTGTGATGAACTCAGATAAATGTTTCAACTAGGATTTGTTCTACATTTTGATTTGATCAATGTATCTGGGCGCGCAATTATATCCAAAAGCCTTTACTCTATACATTTCACCTGAAAACTGAAACAGGAAACCTTGTAAAGAAAACTTCTTGTGTTCTCTTTGTTGGAAAGTGAGAATCTGTACAGTTCAGATATTACGTAGCGTAGTTGTGGCTCCAGTTTGAAGTATACAAGTGAAGCAGTGAATAAAATTGATTTTTTGGTCATCTGTCAAGGCGTGTGTTTCTTCTTATCTACTATTATAATTTGATTTTTTTTTTCTGGTCAGGTTATTATTAGGATGGCATGCATTCTGATAATGTTGTGCTATCATATCCAGAAGTTAAACCACAAGAAGCATGCCACGTGTAAACATGACAATCAAGAATCCTCACAAAAAATCATTTACCACAAAACCCAACCTTCTATTATTTCTGCTAAAGACTGTTACATTTTAGCACAAGACAAGACTTGTCATTTGGAAAAACTGAAAAGCAGCCTGCTTCAGTGTCTTTGAGCAAAGGGAAAAAGTAATGGCTAGCACAGTAATGAGCTCCTTGAGCCTCAAACCAGCTGCCTTCAGTGTTGAGAAATCAGTGAGAGGCCTTCCATCACTTGCCAGAAGCAGTTCCTCTTTGACAATCAGAGCCAGTGGTGGCAAGAAAATCAAGACCGACAAGCCTTATGGTAAAAATAGCTCTTTCTTTTGTTATCAAAATTCAATCTTTCTTTGACAAAAATAGCTCATATAAATGGTTCATTATGATTACATAAGGCTTCGTTGGAATTGTGCATTGATTAGGAAAGCTAATGCTTTTTGTTGCCAAAATCCTATCTTTATACGAAAATTAGCTTCTCTGGCCCCTTAAAATTAGTGGATATTCATTGGGATCTTTGAATTTGTTAACAAAATTCAATCTTTCTTGCTAAAAGAGCTTCTCTGGTTTAAAGCTTTCGCAGTTTTATAATTGGGATTTTTTGTATCGTATAGGAATCAATGGAGGTATGGATTTAAGGAATGGACTTGATGCCTCTGGCAGAAAACCAAAGGTATTACCATTTTGTCATCTAGGATGATACCAGATATTATCTGTTTCTCTCTCTCTGTGAACTTGACATAGTATTAGTATAACCTATTTGTTCATATCATGGCATTGGTTCAGGGAAAGGGTGTCTACCAATTTGTTGACAAGTACGGTGCTAATGTGGATGGATACAGGTGAGACTTGAGATCAACTTGATACAGTTTTTCGCATTCTAGATGCATACTCCTGAATGACCATGAATTTTTATTTGCTTGTTTAAGATCTAATAAGTTGTTTTCTCCCTGTCAAAATGCAGTCCAATTTTCAACACAGATGAGTGGTCTCCGAGTGGTGATGTCTATGTTGGCGGTAAGATATCAACTTATTTCATACGGTTACTTCTTCACTTAATTGTTTATTAGCTTCTTCCTCCAATCTTAGTCCATCATCAAAGACTTCATCTCATAATGTTTCATGTAAAATTGTAGGTACAACTGGTTTGGCGATCTGGGCAGTCACCCTCCTCGGAATCCTTGCTGGAGGTGCTCTTCTAGTTTACAACACCAGTGCTTTGGCACAGTAAACCAGTGCTTATGTATTCAGTGTTACTATTTTCTCGCTTGTATCCTCCAGAAGAGAATGGATTGTGTATCCTATAGCTCAAAACTGTTCTAAATTGTATCATACTGGATTTGAGGGAGGGCTTAAAAGACTTGTACCATGCATTTTGTTATTCATACCTTGCATATACTTGATATCCAATAATCCAAGCAAAAATTAACTATGCTCGTAACTTATAAGCTGTAAACTCAAATTGGTTCTTTTCTCTTTTTTCTTTTTATTCTGAGTTTTGGGTATTCACGGACCAAGAAAAGGGGAAAAGGAAAAGGAAAGAAAAAAAAAGAAGCAAAAACCACTAGCTCATATAACAATATACAGACCTTGTGAAATCTTACAGTAAGAACTGATAGTACCTACCTAATACCAACTAGACAAGGCAAATAAGCAGTAATCTATTCTCTATTTGATCAATCATGGATTAATAAGAAGAAAGGCAATACTAAGAGGATGAAGAGACCTCAGTGTTACTTGCTCGGTCTTGAGGCAATGAGGCTTAGCCATAGGCCATAGCCCCCCGTTCTTGTATAACTTCTTCCTTTGATTCTTGGATCAATCTGTTGTTACATCCTCAAATTTCATGATGAATCGTGCAGACTTTCCCGAAGTCACTTGATGAAAGAACACTTGAAACCATGCTATTTCCTTAATAGACATGTCCAATATACTGTCCATTTGTCCGTTCCTTGAATCTTATAATCATCATCTCCAAAAATGCAAAATTTGCTTACTCATGTTATAGCTCTTGAAGAAAACCTTCATCTTCGTGCTGATTATGTATAGCTTTGATGTTATATGAACCCACTTGCCCATTGCCCTCTAGCATCGTAGACCTAACCATCTGCAGAGGAAAAATCAAACAACTCACGGTCCATATCATATTTATTTTTAAAAATTTGTATAAGGGCTAATACTAGAGACCTGGAACATCACAGTTTAAAGGGCACAATGTGAAGGGGGAATATGCATTTGTCATACCCAACAAATTTGTACAATCTTTTATGGCACACTCCATGGATCGACAACTTCGAGTGCGACTAGTGAGAAATAAATAACCAGATCGGTTCCTATCCAAAGCAGTATGGCCTTACATCTTTTAACAAATTCAACTCCTTTTTTCAACTTCTCTTGCAGGAGTTGATAGCTAATTCTAAAAAAAATTACTAAAGGTTGATTGTCCATTGTCATAAACAATCACACTACCTACCATCTAATTTGCTAGAGTAGCAGACATTCTTTTAAAGAGAGAAGAAGCTAATAGCAATAGAATAAGCAAATTGAAAGTACCTTCTCAATCTCCTCACTTAGCAGGGGGTTCTCTCTCAAATACTGCAACGCTTTGTCCCTTCCTTGCCCCAACCTTTTATTCAAAAACAGCAAATAAACCACGTAAATTACAATGAAACCACGTAATTACCATGAAAGGGTGTCAAGTTGATGAGTGCAAAATACAGACCTATGATCTCCATAGCTGTACCAAGAACCCTTCTTCAGCACAACATCCATAACATCAGCACAATCCAGGACACAACCCTAGAGATGGATGAACTCTATATCAGCAGGTAGCCAAGAGATTTAGAAAATATAAAAAGAATAGCTGCTCTATAAAGTAAGACGCACCAACTTGCTTACACCCTCCCCGAATATGATATCAAATTCAGCTTGTTTGTAAGGCCTTGATACCTACAAAAAGTGCCAGTAGGCTCAAAAAAAAGAAAAAATATTACAGAAATAAATTCTACAAGAGGCATTTAAAAGAATACAAATCATTGAGTTTGAGAAGACAAAAAGAGAAACACAATACTAAACACGTAAATACATATTCATAGCTGCAACTTATGTTTCAGTACGTTACCAAAAGCTCAAAACCATAATAGATTGGCATAATTTACAGAAGAACTACACAAATTTACACCCTTGAGGGTTCAAAGTTGAGGAATTGTAAGAGGCTGGTGAACACATGAAAATAGAAATTTAATTTTACAAAAAAAATTAATTTAAAGAGGCTGGTGAACACATGAAAAATAGAAATTTAAGTTTACATAAAAATTAAAATTTTTTGATAAAGTCCAGAACTCAAAATAATAATAATAGTAATTTAAAGTCCTAAAACTAGAAAGGATACTACTCAAATAATTAAACATTAAATTAAGCCCCTAGTCCAGTCATTGGAATCTAGCTGTGAGGGTGAAGTTGTCACAATACCAAATAGATTCAACTTAGGACTAAGTCAATACCACGGCGACTACTCACCTTACTCTTTTGAACCCTTACACGAACCTTGAGACCGATATCTTCATCTGACTTGGCCTACAGTGATGATTTGATATTCCATTGAGTCAGAAACAACTGCAGTACATTATACTGACTTTTGTAGAGAAGTTAAAAGATTTCGTGCTTACAGACTTTATCTTCCCAATCGGCCGTATCTCAAGTCGGACGGATGCAAAAAACTTCAGAGCAATCCCTCCACTAGTGACTTCAGGATTTCCATAATATACACCAATCTGATGACTCAGAAATTTATTAAGAGGACATTCAGCAAGTATGTACAAAAGAGTCAGAAACCCACACACCCAGATGGAAGTTAATCAATATCAGCACTGGTAACTGCAGTTTTGGTTTGTTTGGTAAAGATACATGGTACATCAACTTGGAAAATACACTTTATAGTAATAACAGGTCTAAGTATTCTCCAGACCAGAGAGCGGTATGGTGAAGTTTGTCAAACAACAGATAACGTCACCAGCATATAGAAGGCAAAATTAAGGAATGAAACCAAGTACCTTGTGTCTTATTTGATTAAGGAAAACAAGAGTGCATCCAGCTTTTGAAGCATTGCCCGACATTTTACGCAGAGCTTGACTCATAAGCCTTGCTTGTAAACCAATTTGCTGCATGCCAATTTCACCCTGGGAAGAGACAAAAAGAACTAACAATCGAACACTGCTGGGCCAGATTGTAATTGTTTCTGAAATTAACAAGGAAAAAATTGCTCTTACTTCTATTTCAGCTCGGGGGGTAAGGGCCGAGACTGAATCAATGCAAATGAGTTCCACAGCACCAGACCTACACATGCGATCAGCAACTGAAATTTACACCATGTCAGATGTGTTTTTGGTATGTATGAATTTTTGCTCTTCAAATATTAACTTTTAAAAGAAAGATATTACTGACTTTCTAGAGCCATCTCTCCATTATCAGGTTGGCAGACAATCAAATTTTCTACGTCTACTCCTAATGCCTTCGAGTAAGCTGGATCAAAAGCATGCTCAGCATCCACAAGCATCGCATATCCTCCTAGCTTCTGCACATCCAAATTGAACCAGTTTTTTTCCATTTGGATCGTACATCTCAAAATGACACTTAAAGAAGTAAGACCCAAAAGAGCTGCAAGCACTGCTGCCTTAAGACGCAACTAACGTATCAGCGTTAATAATTTCCGGAATTTCGATCCATTTGGAAAAAACAACACTTTATCCCATTATGCGGAGTCCGCTATATGGATCGTACGCCAACATAGTATTCCAGAAACAAGAAATCACAATCAATGGGTTATCTGTATATATGTATGGGTCTGTATTAACTAATAAATGATACTTTGCACTAAACAGATAACATCAAGATGCAGAACAAACCTGAACTTCTGCAATTGCGTGTAGTGCAAGAGTGGTCTTTCCACTACTTTCAGGTCCATAAATCTGAAAATATTAGCAGTGCAGATATCATTATTTCAGAAGCAAAGGCCATGGCAATCAAAGTGTAAGAATCCAACAATCAATTCAAGACAATAGATCCATTCCTCGGAATCTTGACTTACAAGATTTCATCAATTTGGCTTTTGTTCGCAGTGGAATCAACGAGTTTAACTCATAAAACTATATAACAAATCAACGAAAAACAGGATTTCCTATACATTTAAGATATTCATGTAAACAATTATTACATAAGAGATGGAAATAAAAAAAAAATAAATAAGCACAAATGTTATACCTCCACAATTCTTCCTTTTGGGAGCCCACCACCCAGAGCAATGTCTAGCGTTAAGCAGCCACTTGGAAAAGTTTCACTGCAACATCCCAAAGGTGACAAAAAAATTAATGAAAGAATAATTATCGATCAACTGTAGATGATCACTTAAGTTTTGATTCTACTCTACAGACACTATTTGTGCATTTTCTCCTGCTCCTAGAAAATCTAAGGGGAAATGGGAGAACTTTTGTCATTATAAAGAAGAACATACACCAAGGCGCCGCCTGCACTGCCAAGTCTTGTCACACTTCCTTTGCCAAATGAGTTGTTTATATCGGCCATTACTGCTTCCAGTGCTTTTTCCTGAATGAGTTCCATTAAAAGACAAATTGATCAATTAAAGTCACATATCAATATCACGAAGGCTGGAAAACAAGCAATTTAATTCGGTTGATGTATGTCATCTATCCTAAAAAAGCAAACTTATCAACCCAAGAAAATTGTCATAGTAAGTAAACTTCTACCAAAATGAATTGGAGAGAGTAATGCAAGACATAATTGAGAAAACATAATCAGATGGCACAATTAAACCAGTGGCCTCATTTTCAAGAGTTGGACAACAGCACACTTAGTGGTTCCACTAGGAAAAACTCATACTTGAAGTTCAAACAGTTCAATCAATCCATTTAAAATGAACAATGATTCTAATCTATAAGTACAATTAGAAAGGTTAACAGATTTATATTTCACAAAGCCAAAGGGCTGAGGATGGAGCTAGCTGAATTTTAAAAGATGGCAGCATTTCCTTTTCCAATTTTCATGAACAAGATACAATATTTCAGCTCCCTCCTTCCCTCCACCACAACACCAAAATGATTATATATCACAAAACGGCCTCCAACAGAAACCAAACGAGTAAGGAATAAGCAACAAACAACGAATATTGGGACAAATGCAAAGCACATCGATAAAAATTATCAAGAACAAATAATAAAATAAAAAAGAATGAATTTTTGGGACAAACCCGGTCGATAAAACGAGGGTCAGAATCAGCAGAAAGAACTCCATTCACTTTAGGATCAAATTCTGACCGAACCCTCAAAGCTGTGACTGGAAATTTGGGCTTTCTGGGTAGGCCTTGAATACCCATGGAGTAAATGGGACCAAAGAAGCAACTTTTAGAGGGAAAAAACAAACTAGTACAGGGTTTTGAATTCAAGCAACAAGAAGTGAACTCCATTATCGAAACTCAACAGAAAAATCAAAATAATTTAATCAGCAACAGATATTATCACTCATCAGGATTCTCTGTTTTTGAAAGGGATTGTTTTGGAAGTGTTTGAAGACGGTTCCGTTTGGCAAGTGTGTGAAGAAAGAACAGCAAAAGGCTTCTGGGATACGGTACTACTTTGTTCAGTTTGTTGTCTTGTACTACCACTTTCACCTTCTGGGTTTGAAAGCGCTGCTTCTGTGATTGAAGGCGTGTTTTGAATGTTTGAAAGCGTGATGTGAACCGCGCTTCCTCTATGGTTGAAGCCTTGAAGGCTACTTGAAGCCCTTGATGGCTTTCTTTTTATTTTAAACCTTGAAGGACACTTTTGTGTTACAGTTGACACTATACAAATAATTTACAGTTGACACTAATCATTTACCCGTCCTATGAGCTTGAGGAATGTTTGATTATAATTGTTATTTTTAAATGCGAGAGACTAAAAAGTTTATTTATTCAAAGATATGTTTTAGAAGAAGTAATTCATGATTACTTGAATTATGGAGCTCAAATTACTACATCCTAGTACGAATCAAGTTTACTTGTACATATATACTCTACATTTTTAATTTAAGAATTGTATTAAAAATTTAATACAGTCCGCAACTTGTAATGTAAAAGATGGAGTTTTTAGAAACTAAAATTAATTAGTACTTCCTCCGTTTCAAAACATCCAGTTTTGACTTTCATTTTTATTCTGTAGTTCCAAGGTTTTAACACTTTTTAAGGGATTCCATTACATCTGACATAGCACAACTAGAGTACCAGAGAAATGAATTTGAGTATGTTTCGTCCCTGGATAACATAACCCAACACAACATAATAATCTGAATCTTTTCGTTAATAGGTAGGTAGGTACTCGGGACTCGGGTAGCAGCCATCCACCAAAATTCGATCTTCAATCCCATCGATGTCGTATCCCATGGACATCGAATCATCTCCTTTACACTGCCACCTAGTTACCGCGACATCGGGTCAAAATGTTATTAGCTTCATTAACCTCCGAGGAGCAGGGGATTAATACGGTATAGTTGGTGATATTGGGTTGCGGGACCTTTGTATTGAAGGAACTTCTCGTCACTCAAATGAGTTTTCCCAAGTCTACCTCTAACCCGTCTGCAATTTTCACCGGAGTTTGTGCCCAAATATGCATCCCTATGGGGATGGAGAAACAAAATTTAGCTACAGAATGCTACTTCATCACATTGAAGGCGCCTGCTCGCTTGCATGATATCTGCAAAACTAGTTAGTCAACAGTCTCCTAATTCGACTGTAAACATCACTATACCTACACGGACAGGTTATCATCGGAGTTCAACATTGTAACTGCATCCGAAGTTGAGAAGCACGTTGAATTGAAGAAAACGGTGTCTAGAGAGCTCAAGTACAAATAAGTCCAGCACAGAATGCATTTTGAATGGCCCCAATTGACGACTTAAAAAAAATGAGCTCAAAGTTTGGAACTCAAAACTCCAACTCACCATAAAACTATGGGGGTCAAAGATCCATGAAAATTTACGAATACTGTTCCTACAAAATTTATCTCTACCATACGTCTGTCATCACCAAACAGAAACGGGAGTTGAGATAGATTAGCAACAGCAAACACAATAACTCACGTCATACAACAAACCAATCACGAGGAAAATAAATGTATATGCCCTCTAAAAGATACATTTAAACCCCTCTGTAAGGTTTCTGGCTGCTAACTTCTCCTCTCAAAAGGAACTAACCATTCACATCAGCTGCTCCAGATCATATAATTTCAAGTCATATTTTTGGATTCCTAAGAACACTTCAAATGAGCACAGCATTCATATAAGTAAGCCTGTCATGAGATCATATAATGTAATAAATCTGATGATCCGTGGAGTTGGGATGCCTAAAACAACTTCAAATAAGCAGCAATAATAAGTTAAATAAGCTTTTTTAAGCAATATAACATACCTAGTGCGCTAAAAAACACTATCACAGCGTCATGGTAAACTGCTTGAAGTACCTACAAATATCAAGAAGAACAAAAATGAGTAAAAATGACGTTTTCTTGTACATAATGGCAAGATAAATAACAAAAAATTGCGCATACCTTGTTGTGATGATGTGCTTCCTGCAGACATTATTCGCTCGATGTTATCAATACGACGCTGTATAGACTTGAGAACTGAATTTAAAGATGTAACCCTTTTCCTAACACCAGAAATTCTGGCAGCATGCTGCATCACAAATGGCAATGGCGCATCATCCAGTAACTGATCAAGCTCTACAAATTTAAAAAATAAATCAATCGTCAGAAACCAACAGAGACAATGTACATAACAATCCTGCTACCATGTCGTTAAGAGTGGGAGCAGTTAATTTTAATCATTCCTCTCCATTTTATTTATGTCTTTTCTTTTTAATTTTTTTTACAGAGTTTCTCAATTTAAAAATGAACAAAATTACAGTAATTGTCAACCTCAAGACTTTCCTCCTCTTCTCCACTATAATTTTCAATACTCAATTGTTCTAGAAAAATAGGGAACCATTGCCAAATTACAGGAAATAATACACAACCTTATATCGGTAAAATCAACTACCTATGGGATCCTTGACCAAAAAGGCAAATTAAGTTAACATTAACAATTAATGGCCCCTAATATTTATAGAACATATGATGATATGAACACCCCTATCAGTGGACTGTTGAACGGTTGGATTCAACTGCCAGAACTTGAGGAACTAACAAAACCAACCATAGGTTTTAAAATAACCAACCATTCAATTCAAGTTTGCGGTAAACTAAACTTATCATCCTTACATTGTGCCGGCATTTGTGCTCTTAAATGTTAGTTCACTCACCAGTCAAAGAAACACTGGTGGCTTTCCTAAACCAATGATAGGCAAATGTCTACAAATTTCATGGAGATGGAGGCAATTAAACAAAAAAGGAAAAAAATGAGTGGAAAAAACACCGAGCTCATAGCATCGAGTGAACACTACAATATTCAGCAAAGTGAACAAATTCACAGCAAATACTGATATTGCGAACCAGCAGTGCAACTATAACATAAAACACACAATTATAAAGAAAAGGAAGCTTCAAAAGTAGCAACGTTTTAAACTGAAACAAAATGGACAGCAAACAAAACAAACAGTGAGAAAAGACACCATTATCTGTTTTAAATTGGGGGGAAAGCCACCATTTTGAGCAAATGGGTTATCCTGAAATCCAAAAGTAGTGAAATTTAGAGCTAAATAAATTCACCTCCGGTGAGACGATCGAGGGCGAAGGCGAGTTGATCCTGACTCCGAAGAGTTTGTTCAGCTTTTGAATCGAATTCTTCAATCACCGATGTAATCAAATTAGAGAGGCATGCAGATGTCGGAGTCGGAGTGAGTGTAGAAGATTCCAAACTCCCATTATGGTCTCCGCCTTCTCCCGGCGCCGGCCCCGGCGGCGATTCTCCCCGGTGGTTCTCCTCAGCTTGGTCTTTCTCCATATGACTAATTTAACTGTTTTTCGTCTTTCTTTTTCCTTTTTTCTTTAATAATTTGTCTACAAGACGAATTGACAGATGGCCCCCTATAGTTTATCAAATTTTCTAAACAACCCTTTAATTGTTGAAGAATGAATTTGGATCAAATTGGTAAATTAGCCCCTATAAGATTGTCTTATGTAGCGGGAGCCCCTATAGTTGATCAAATTTTTAAATGAAAGAAGAGCTTTTTTTTTTCTTTTTTTTTCCCTTTTTCTTTTTCTTACTCCCTCCGTCCCATAATTTTTGTCCAATTTGACTAAAATGAAAAATTTTATTTTTGGTCAAACTTAACTATATTTTACCTTGAACAACCGGATATACCCCTACATAAGTAATTGTTTAACCATAAAGATTTTATGAATAATGTTTTTTACTAAGGGCAAATGTGTAACTTGATCCATAAAAAGTCAAATTGGACAATAATTTTGGAACAAAATTTTTTGAACAAAGTGGACAATAATTATGGGACGGAGGGAGTATTATATAACTTTTTTTCGGATCAAACGAGCAACTTGTTCCTCATTTTGTTTGAAAAGGTCAATTCTTATGAGCCAAAAAAACAATTTGGTTTAATCTGCAATGTCTACATTTCTTCAATTGTGTCTCTTGCCATAGTAGTTTCTTCATGTCTGCATTCTTTCATTCAAAGATTGTTCCAACGTCTAAGTACATAAAAGTACACAAGACAAGGAGAATTGTTTGATTAAGCATTAAAAGTTAAAACTCCAAGGTGAAGATCCTACTTAAGTGGCTCATCATCCTACAAGTTGGGAGCCTAACCTAAACAGCTTCAAGATATTATCGCATTTTCTTTGGCAGAAGTCATTTTGGCTAAACCAAAGAAGTGATATAGAGTACAACAGAAAAAGAAACCTCATTTTGGTTTCTCTGCAACTGGGGAAGGCTCGGACCTTCTTCTCTTTGGTTCATTATCACCCAATTGTAAAGAAAATCTCAAGTCCTCGTCTGAACTGTTCCTCAATGCTGATAGGTTCTCAGATACCGGCCTCTCTAGTTGTTGATGATTACCATCTTGGTCAGGTGGCGAGGGGCGGGCGTTGAAGTTGAAAATGAACTGATGTTCTACACTTGGACCGACTACATTATTCGAGCCATCTTCAGGCAGAAATAACGCGGCTTCTTCTTCCACCGGCGACGAGTTCATGTCAGGGCAACATGGACCGTCTTCCAAGTGTGTTTGCTGGATGTGAAGGCCCAGAGGCTGCGATTTGTCCTTTGGGAGCATTACATCAGGAGGCGAGAAATCTCCCACGGTTGAACCAACCACTGTTGCAGAAACAGCAGCTATTTGTTCCTGGACTGCAACTGGCAACAGACAGCAGTAAGTTAGCTCAAAGACTATCTTTTAATACTCAAGTCATGATTTTCCAACAGAAGGTGACATATTTTGAGTTTTGGTTGAGAGAGAAACAAACCTTTCAGCGCTTCATTGCTGGTAATGAGATCAAGCTCAAGAAAATTGAGAAGCCGTCCAAGATCAACACCACTAGTCCAGTTCTCAGGAGGTTGGCCAATCTTTAGTTTTAGCCTGCCCCTATTGGCAGTTCCACCCCAGATGATACCTATAGGACGAGGCTTTTCTCCATTTTCCCCTTTCATAATGATAAGACTGCCACTGTCACCTTCAAGGTCAAAGGTCTGCTGATTCTCGCCAACTACGAGAAAATCAGTCAAGAAGCATATCCCCTTCTCGTCATTGTACTCAAGGGCATAAGCCAATACAGTTCCTGTTGTAAAACCAGAACTTCTTCCAACCTTTGTCACTTGCTTTCCGATGAGGGAGCTTATTGGAGATTGCAAGTCTATAATCCTCACATCTCCGATATCGCCTATGCCTTTAACTGAAGTAGTTACGGCTTTCATGTCAAAATCATCAGCAAAAGGAATAAATGCACCATCTGCTCTCACAAATGTCTCTGCAAATGAATTAAATTCGACACTTTTAATAGCAGATACATGTTAAAAGTAACCCTAACTCAATGGAGATACAAAGATTACATTTTCTGTTTAAATGTGACCAAAGAAAGGACAATCAGTAGCGACTAGCTTGAGATATAGTTTCTATACGGAAGCATGTTTTTAGTCAATCTTAATTCTTTAATCAGTAAACCAACCTGGATTTATGCCCGCAAAGATGCCATACCACAGGTCATCTCTGATGAATGAAGTGGCTCTCTCAACTGCACCAAGATATACTCCAGGTCCAAGCGTAGGAGGTAAAGGATGAAACATCTTCTGATTTGGATAATCTAAATCCACAGCGACGTGGCGGTTGGTGAGAAAACCAATTTGCCGATTGCCTGTCTGGCTTCTAACTATAGCACCCAAGGTTCCGTAAGTCTCTTGGCTTGCAACCTAACAATAGTAGCAGTCAAAATATTCAAAGAACAACAACGGGGTATAAAAGAAAAACAAAAATCTCTACAAACTGTTCTTGAAAGAGAGTTGAAATTCAGACCTGAGAACCTGAACCGATACAGGGATCACTTCCTCGTAAGTCATCTACTATTTCCGTATATAATTGTTCCTTGGGTGCGGGCTCTGGAGCACCAAAATAAGAAAACTCCACAACATCTACATCACACCACACACCTCCTGGTCCCTGAAGATAAACAACATTCAACCTAATTTGAGGTGAATATAACAATAACTATGAAACCAGGGAGCATTCAAAAACCTACAGTTTATGTGCATGTCGGGTGCAGAAGCTCACACTCAAGAGACAGAGCAAATATACCATTCGGAACGTCCCAATTCATTAATCCCCACCCCACTCAGAGTCCTGTAGTTGTATTAACTTAGAACATTGACCACCAAAGAATTAAAAAGAAAAGACATGAGAAAGATGAGTCTCTTGATCACCTCTAAGGCAGTAGGTAGACACTGGATAGGGGTTAACCACTGCTTATGAACCTTCCGGGATACAAAAACCAGTATTGCAGGGATGTCAGTCAAAACACCACGCCGAATTCGAAAGCCAATAGCTGTGCCGAGGCTATAACAACGAAGGATCTTGCTGTGAAATGCCCTGATCGTCATAAGCTCCAGCAAGGTGTTTGCACGTTGCCCTTCTGGCAATCGTCCAAGAGTTTCAGGTAAGACCCCTTTTTGTAGGTTCGCAAAGTAATTCGCTCTCTCTTCGGCTGCATCATTTAATCTGCTAGGCCATGAGAAGTAAGCGGCACTGCTCTCACAGTGTTGTCCGGCTGATGCATAGGGTTGAAGCGTTGGTGGACAAAGTGAAGGTAGATTGGAATGAGAACCACATTTCTTTTCGAGATCCAAAGCTGATTCCTCAGAGGGTGTCGAGCCTGATCGCCGATCTTTCATATTCAGACAAGAACTGCTTATCTAGAGCTTATTAGCAGCGAAAAAAGGTTCCTAAAAGTAGAACAACAAAGCTGAAAGTTAATACAGATACGAAGATTACATCATCTTAATCTTCAGTGTTAATATCCTATCTGAACAGTAACAAAATCAAATAGCTTGGCGTGATATACCACATATGAAACATTCAAAGCTAAGTTTTGGAATTGAAAAAGTCCAGCATTTATCTCAAGGAACCATTTTCATGAACTGGTTAAAGAAAAACAATGGAGTTAAGTACTTGAGACCACAAACAGGACAAGGCCAACACTTCTACTTCACAGAGAAATTGGGCCATTAAGAATATCTTATTGACTCTTAAAAAGTTGAGCTTGCAAGCAAGAAGCATTCTTTAAAACAACACATGTCGATGCGTTTCCGATTCATACTAAAACCGTTGAAACGAAAAATTGATCAAATAATTGTTACCAATTATAGTAAAAGGCATCATACAGACTGCAGAGCAAGAGAAACAAAATTACTCCCAGATTAACCAAAAAGACCCAAACTTTGCATTTATACAAAACCCAACAATAAACACGCACAGAGATATCACTATGACGAACTAAGAAAAAGAACACTGGTAAATCAAAATCAGAAAGGACAACAAGCCCATCAAATTTAAACCATTAACGAAGGGTGAGTTGCTGGAATACTAAAATTCACTCCTCCTGCTATATAATTCAGGGCCAAATCAAAATCTAAAAACAAAGAAAAGAACTGGGAGAAGGATATTCAAACAGAAAGTCACTCACAGTATCCCAGAATATTTGAAAGAGGAGGAACGAGGAGCTGCATTTCAGGCTTTCATCAGCCCTACAATCTCTGCCAAAAGAATTTTGTAAGTTTGCAAAAGAACTACGAAAGGGAAACACTGTGGAGGAAGAATTGTTTAGTTGGGGAGATTATGATATTGGAGGAAGAATTAAGAATTAAGGAAAGCAAACACTTTTGAGCTTTTCTTTTTGTGAGTGGCACTTTGTTTTTTTGAAGTGTGAGAAGTGGCTTTAATAATCCCGTGCATGAGTGACTGCATGGTTACAGTGTGGTCCTCTTGCCCCTCTCTCCATCTCCACCGTCAGATTGGAATGTTACTTGAATGGAGATTGAAGGTTGACTAGTCTGGAGGCCCCACGTTAGAGCTAAGGTGTATCTTTTAAAAAGAAACGGAAAACCCATAAATCTCCTGCAGCTCAAAATTGCAAAAGAAAAAAATCACTGGAACCTCTTGGTGAAAATTCAGGGTGAAACTATTAATTATGATTATGCATTAAATATCAACTGCACCAGGCTTTTTTTTTCATATACGTGTATTCGGTATCCAGCCGCTCTCGTTACACCCGTGGGTATCGATTGATTGCTGATTAATCAAGACTCGAGGGGGTAGGTCCCTTTCAGGAGGCAACCTCTACCAACCAATCCTTTAACACGGCTGCGAACATAGGATCTCGAACTTGAGACCTCTGCTTAAACTGGAAAATTGTCTCAAAATGCACCAAGCTAACTTACAAAAAAATTGTCTCAAAGTGAAAAAGATTCAAAAAGGTAACTCTATAAAAAGTACAGTACTTTGTTTTGACTTCAGAATTTCAGCCTAATTTCCTTCACATTATTCTGACATCGCTTCTTCTCCTCTCTACAAAATTTCCTCTTTTCCCCAAAAAAATAAAGAAAAGAACGTTTGTGGCAACCTCCATTGCCCCAGGACATAAAACGCTGCCTCCTCTCAATGACCATCACATGAGAATTTTCAGGCATCATTTAGAAATTGGATTCATGATTGGCTTCAGGGACGCCTTAAAATGATCGAAAAATCTATCTTCTGAGAATCTTGCTGCACGATTCCTGGCTGCCGCTGCCATTGACAGTCTCTCGGATTCAGGCATCTCAAGGACTTTAACAATGGCTTCCGCATATTCATGCACATTCTGGGCTAGGAATCCAGTTTGTACCCCATCTTCTGCTAACACAATGTCCAATTTTGGGCCTGCCGAATTATGAGCTGCAAAGTTTCGAAAGGCCAAGAAATTCACTTTCCCGTTTCAATTTGACATAACATAACAATTTCGATTAGGGGAAAAAAGAAAAAAAAAGGGCCACCAACCAATTGGAATTGCGCCTGCAGCCATGTACTCCACTACACAGATGCCGAAGTGCTCATCGGTCATAGAATGTATCCCAGCAACCGCCCCGCCCAAAAGCATCACCAAATCACTGTATCGAAATAAGCGAAGTAAAACAACAAGGTCTGCAGCTTGCTCAATGAGAGAAGGCAATACTATGGTGCTTTCTATGATGAAAATGGATACATGTGAAAGTTGGGAAATGAAGGGTAGATAGGCAATACAAGTTCTATAATCTGCACCCTTTTCTACCCGTAGGTTCAATGAGAAGACCTTAGATTCAAGTAGAGCTAAAAGCAAAAGTGAGATAGTTTGAGCGGATTAAAAACTAACCTATACATCACATTAATATGGAACTCAACATCCTCTGCCACATTCAGTCGAACAGCTTGATTTTTCAACTTCTGCAACCTTTTTTCGTCGGCTTCATTTCTACAGCTACCCACAAACAGAAGTTTTGGTCTAGCCAAGTTCACATCACACGTGTTTAGAGCAACAGCAAATGCCTCAAGCTGAATGGGATGTGCCTGTTCCATAAAAGATGCTTCAACAGAAGTGTAAGGAGACCAAAGTAATCTCAAAGTGGGTCAGCATCTACTGAAGCCAAAAGTACCTTACATGATTATATAAAAATGCCCACCTTCTCTGGACGAAATTGGGCCACAGAAATAATCTTTGGTGGTGTCATAGACCTCTCCAATGGAAGTGCCTGTTGAAATGATGCATCAGATCTAAGTTTTCAGAATATAGAATAACAACAACAACAACAACAACAACAACAACAAGCAATTTAGGGAACACAATATAGTAGATTAAAAATTGACAGGGGGCTACTTGCAGAATATAGCAGGACCATAGGAGAATATACAACAGCAATAAGACCTTGTAATTTCTCGGAATATTCTTCATTCTGATCTTCATTCACATTTTGTTTTGCTCACCTTTTTTTCCATTTTTATTTTATTTTATTTTTCCCAACCTTTAAATGAAGTAGAGCAGCTTCCTTATTGGGTCATTAGCAAACTAAACAAGAAGGGAAGGCAATTACGGAATGCTAATATTTGTCATATCTAAGGACAAAGTCATATTTAATTAGAACCAGAGGCCAGGGCACAGAAAACATGAAAATAAATAAGAGACAACCACTGGTTACTTAAACTATATTTTGGTACTGGTATGTAGCCAAGTTAAGAGCAGTCACATCTTATGACCTTGTAATTTCTCAGAATATTCCTCATTCTGATCTCCATTCACATTTTGTTTTGCTCATCTTTTTTCCATTTTTATTTTCTTTTTCCCAACCTTTAACTGAATTAGAGCAGCTTCCTTATTAGGTCATAAGCAAACTAAACAAGAAGGGAAGGCAATTACAGAATGCCAATATTTGTCATATCTAAGGACAAAGTCATATTTAATTAGAACCAGAGGCCAGAGCACAGACAACATGAAAAATAATAAGAGACAACCACTGGTTACTTAAACTATATTTTGGTACTAGTATGTAGCCAAATTAAGAGCAGTCACATTTTATGCACAAAAGCTAGGCACTAGCTCAAAGCATGAGGTAAAATATACGAACAACTAAAAATAGAAACCTGAAGCCTTGAAGTGTCACATGGAGGGTAGACAAGCTTAATTCGATCTGAAATTCCCCAGAGCTTTTCAATATGAGATTTTGTCCAAGAAGAATTGACCATTGCCAGGTGTGCACATGAGCCAACGATCCCATACATCCAGCTGAAAAGTGTGTAATATACAATTTTGCCACGGGATAGCAACTTACTGTGCAACCAAAATTAAGAGGTGTTACACAATTCAATTAAACCAGTTGTTGGGGGGGGGGGGAGGTGGAGAAGAAGATAATATATGTGCTATTGTAGCTAGATTAATTAGATCCTACGGCTTAGAGCATGATCTTGCAAAGTAACCAGTGAATCTCAAAATGCAAAGTCCTAAGGCATCTATAGATGAAAAAACTTTGACATAGACAATTCCATAGAACATGAAGGAATTCAAAAGAGTGAAATTTACATTTACTCTTTGATGAATAAACTATAGTTAATTTCATAACTACATTCCTCTCAAATAATTCCATCTTATTTTACTAAGACTAAAACTTTCCAACAAAGTAATGTAGAATTAAACCATAAAATTTATATCATTCCTGTTATTTCTTACTTACTTAAAAATGGCATTATATGCCTGCTAAGATGGAGTGAAGCACAGTGACAAACAACTACATGTCCTCCACGAGAAATATAAGATGTTTCATGGCAAGAGCTTATCCGGCCACCCGAAAATCAACCAAAGACTTAGAAGACAAAATAGATCAAAGGAAAAAAGTAAACCTATTAGCAATTGAAGCATCGTTGTTGTACATAGAATTCCTTCCACGAACACGGGAAAGCATGTCCAAACTGATTGTTGGATAATGAGTATAGCAAATAACTTTGCATCCAAACATCCTGGCCACTGGATATGTAAAGGCGTATCCACTGGTATCTACAAAATATGAAGGAGTGAAGTTGCATAAAGCTTCCCATGCAAGATACACTGAACCAAGACTTTGACCAATCATTGTAAAACGAGGATAGGTTGCTTCTTCAACCCATCTCCTCTTGTAAAGGTGCACCACCTAAAAAAAACAATCTATCTAATTATTAAAACCATAACAAAATGGATATGTTCCTCAGAAACAGGGAAAAAAAAATTGCACAAGGCCCAAAGAAAGTACCTTAAGAGGGTAGAGCAGCTTGACCCCAAATCGATTAAAGGCTCGACCATAGAGGCTTCCGGGAGAAGCATCACGATGATCCCCAGTGTATATAACACAGTCAAGATCAGGATATTCATCTTGGATGGCCTTGATGGCACACCAAAGAACTCTTTCCCCACCACCGCCATCATTGGTGTAAGGATGGAAAAATCCAACAGCCCTCTTTTGATTGCTACGACAACCGATGACGGTTAAGATCAGATTCAACCCCAATGCCAGAAATATGGTAGTGGCAGAAATCAGAACCCAGATGATCGCACTTGACATTGTTGACCGGATTACGCCTCACTTAGAGAATAAGGGGACGACGCATAAGGAATAGTATGTCATAATTCACAATGGCAAACAAAAAATGCAACATGAGATCTTTTGACTTTATCTCCTCAGTGACCCTAACAGACTAAGATTTTATTTTCAAGCAAAAGATAAAATATATTCTCTCTTCTTCTTTATATTCCAAAAACATCAGCTAAGGATTAAAGAGAAAAAAAAATTTTAAAAAATTAGTTTTACATTCTTGGTGCTGGTCAAGTGAAAGAGAAATATGGGCATTTGTTTTAACTTTTTACCATTGTTCACAGAGAACATCTACCAAAATAAACAAAACATGAACCGCCATAGCAGGCCTAGATTCACTTATTGTCCAACCCACTGGCTTCTTTTTAAGAACTAGTAGCAAGCTTAAAACACAATTTGTGGTCCCTAAAATAGAAAACAATCTGTGGGCACGCTAACACTTCATATAACTACAGAGGAGCATTGCAGCAAAAAAGGCACTTAGCTGTTTAGGAACAAAATGAAAGAGATACAATCTTAAAAGAGTGCACAAAAGAAGAGCACCATCATCTCTATTACACTGGCTTACAATTGAGTTCACTTCCAGGTTTATTCGATTGCTTAGCTTCTTACTGCAGGCAATCTTTCAATGCGGATTAACAGCTTGAAGATAAAATTTTCAACTAAAAATACGCACAGATCAATCCGGAGCACATTCAAATATGTTATTCATTCATATTTCCAATTTTTTTGCCACAACGATTTGCTAACATATAATAATTCAGTAAAAATCCTGTCATTTCGACATTTCAGATTGAGATGTACAGAAACCCAAATGCAAAAAGATATATCATCGAGATCAAGGACCACATTTCTGAGTCTTATCAAATTCAACGTTGAAAATCCGACCCCGTAATCCATTATACTAGTAACATATGCATCATTTATCAAATTTAACCCTTTCACATCACAACCACAAAATATTCAGAAATGAAAAAAAAATAATAATAATAACAAAAGGTCCCCCGCTAGCTAAACAAAGAAGGAGCAAATTGGAGCCAAAATATGTTCAGAAAAGAATAATCCGGAAATCATACTTACCGGGAAGGAAGAACTCTGATTGAATTAAGAGGCGAAATAATAGGCAATGAAGAATCACATCAGAAGAAGAGGAAGAAAAGCAAAAACGCTCACCGATCGCCCGCCGGTGAAATTGGAAACCGAATGATAGACAGTTGAATGAGGAGCGATCAAGAGCGAACCATTCCGAATCGGCCGGCGTAATTCTTTTCTTTTTCTTCAAGAGATCATATTTTGAGGCTAAGGCCCATAGTCAACCCATTGGACTACTTGATGTATTTGACTAACCCAACAATCATTGGGCTTGGACGTTTTCTTTCTTTCTTTCTTTTTTTTTTTTTTCCAAGATTCAAAATGCTTGGACATTCAACCAAAATGGTTATGGTGGAGTGAAAGGAACTCTTCCACCCTTATCCATAGGTCGAGGGTTCGAACCTCACCATGAGCATGGAGCAAACTTAAATACTTTGGCCAACTGTCCCACTCATTAAGGTGCTTACAATTCAGCGATAGGGTTTAGTTACTATTACCGATGGTGAACACCCTGCAAACATATATATATATATATATATATATATATATATATAAAAGACGCTTGGACGTTTATTAGATCATTTGATTTCTATTCACGCTTAAGTGGTCAAAATATATATATATATATATATATTTACTTTTTGTAGATAGAATTTGTAAATCTTGTCAACTACTACAAGATTGAAATTAGTTCCTATATATAACTATAAGTGTATCATTTACTTTTGAATTTTCCTTTCTTTTCTTTTTTGTTTTTCCCTTTTGTCTCAGTTGTTTTGAAAAAACTTCTACCTTTGTCCAAAAAAAAAATAGTACACATTCAATTTTGAGATTTATACTAGTTTTTGCACAAATTTAAAAATTCAACATAAATTATTTTCTTGGGATGAAGGGAGAAATAAAACTAACAGCATTGCCTTCAAATGTTACATTCTGTAGTACGAACAAAACATACAAGTCGAATTTGCCGTGGTAACGACAAACGTAGAGTTCAGTTAATGTTGCATTGCCGACTGTTGGAAGTGAAGTCCTAAATTTATCAAATTTTATAATTACAGATAAATCGTGTCCTAATTAAAATTGTTAACGAGCCACTTGCATTTTGGACGTGCTGCAATTGTGGAGACACGCATATAAAATATTTAATTATATATGGTTAGCATTTCATCTTTCGTATATCCATGACTTCCGAACAAACTGCGACTATTTCTTATATCAAGCTGGTACGGTTTGGGATAAATTATTCAACATATAGAGTTGTATATAAAAGGGAAAAAAAAAGAAAAAAAAGAACTCCAATCCCCTTATAATTTTGACTTCTTGGTACAAAGTTGTGCACGCATGATATTCTAATATTTAGACGACAAACTATATACCATCGGAACCAAAAGAAAATCAAAACCCAAGAAATGAAGAAGAGAGATCGAAATTATGTTTCAGCAATTTATTTTTCCTTCCTAACTCTAAAATGCTTATAAGTCATTCCAGGGCTGATTAATATGGTGCCCAAATTATTTGTACTCTTGTACAGTTGTACTCACCTATATTCCCCTTATCTTACATAAATATACTCTAAATTTATGTCTTATAAATAGAATTAGGAGATACTCCCTCCATTTTAAAATATAAGTCTTTTTAGCCTCTACATATAAATTAAGGAGACAATCATTTAATGATAAATTTGTGTGTTAAATGTTTATTTTGTCTTTCATTAATTGTTTTGAAATTATAACTAAAACTAGATAAGAAGTGGTTAACAATCATTTATTGGAGGCAAAGTTGGAAAGTTAGTCTTTAATTTGTCTAGAAATCCTAAAATGACTTACATTTTGAAATATTTCTCCAAACTTAAACCGACCTATATTTTAAAATAAAGAGAGTAAGAAATAATTGTATTAAAAAAAAGGAATAAAAATTCTACGCTTTGATAGCATCGACCCCGATAATATTCATGGGCTCGAGTAGGAAGATGATAAATAGATAAACCCTAAAACATTACCATCAAACGAATAGTATCACCTAAACAATAAATTAGAAAAATAAGGGTTTTTTTATTTATTTATTTACTACTTATTCAAAATTCGTATACATGGTATGTAAAACAAAAGACGAATCCATCGCATTCAGCGGATAGTATGTGTATTCAACAAGTGCTATGGTCAAAACTAACCATGAAAGTTACATTACAGTTTTCATTTTCAAGTATCTCAGTAGAAGAAAGCCGCCGCCCATAATCAAGAATTGATGGAAGGAAAAAGAAGTTACTACCTCCATTCACAAATAAACGTCGTTAAAAGAAAAATCAAATATTCTAAAATAAATGTCGTTCTCACTAATCGATGCATATTTTGTTAATTTTTTCTAATACTATTCTTATATTGGAAAATGTAATAATGTTTAATGTAAAATTGTATTAGAACTAAAATGTTATTGGGACTACAATTGTATTAAAAGTAAATGAAGGTATTATAGTATTTTAACAAGATAATTACTGTTTTCTTAAACTTTGTGAAATTTCTCTAGCGACATTAATTTGTGAATGGAGGGGATAGTTTAGAACTCATTTACAAGTTTTCAACTGACTTATAGGCCTATTTCTTGGATATGTTCTTGTATTATTTCCTAAGCTCTCGGTAAATATAAAGTCCTAATCATGAAAGCCTCAAACTCATTCGATATTTTCCACTTAAAGTTTTGTTGGTTTAGTCTTCAAAACCATTTCGAAGGAAATCACGCCCTATATATTGTATTTTTCCTTCCAAAATGCGGGACATGCTTATAGTAAACTTTTTTTTTTGAAAAGTGCTTATAGTAAACTTATTTAAGTTCAATAAATAAGTTACTTTTTCCAAAAAAAAAAAAAAGTCCATATTGAATTTAATTTATACAAATTTTAAAACTTCACGTGGATTTTTCTTTGAAGTATGAGTAGTATAATTTTATTTGTGACGAGTCATAAATAAACACTAACCCTAATGGGTTTAGGCCGGCTACCTTGGAGGCTAAGTCACCACCTAAACCTATTACAACTAGATTTAAGGAAGCAGGTAATACCACCTCTATATAAAGAGGTGGTGCCTCCCCCATAATTCACATCTTCTATACTTTCTACACACAATACACATACTTCTCTCTCTACTCCTCTATTCCTTTATTTGACTTAAGTATCGGAGAGACTACCATCGGGAGACACCTGAAGCTCTGTCTTGCAGGTTTTAGGCCGTTCGTCACCGCCTAGATCATTATCGCCGCCCGTCCTAAGGCACCGTACCAATTCAGGCTTCGTCAAGTGACACGCCCAGTGGGATCGATTTATTTGGTCTTCACAACCAAATAAATTTCTTGAAACGAAATTGAAATTTGTTGGTGCTTTATGTTGCGCAAAATCACTAGCATCATGGCGCAAGTCAAACAACAAACACCTGTTACTGCCGCTGAAAAAGATAAGCAGCCAACTCTAACGGAACCATCCTCCACAAGGTCGTCTGGTGGTTTGTTTGATCAGAACCTCATGTAGGCCTTTTTCAAATCTCAACCTACCTTATTCAATAAGTTCTAAGATTTTGTGATGAGCTTTCATGAACTCGACAGCAATCAGCGGCAGCTCTTTGTCGATAATCTGGGTACCTTCTCAAAAGAGGGTGAGACAAACCCTAGAGCATCTCTCGAGGACATCACCGTGTAACTTGAGAAGAAAATCCTCCCTTTCGAGTAAACGTACCACCACCCCGAGTACCCTCAGTCATCGAGGAGCAACTACACAAGGTTCTCGGATCCGAAGGAGACACAGAGGAAGATGACAACCCATTCATCCAACGCATCCGAGAAACACCCATGCCCTAAAAGTTTGAACTTCCAGATTTGAAGGCTTATGGGGG